TATTGTAGGATATTTTAAACAATGATTTATTTTAGAATGAATCAATTCCATCTGGCCGATTGATAATTTTTGTTGTTCATGGCAAAATTTGACATTTTAATGTTTTCGAAATTTTCTTCCCATATGCTTTATCGCTATCAACGAGATAAGATTCGAACCTATGGTGCGAACTACTATATTGATTTGTGTTTATACTTTTATCCATTCTAATATCTTTGTGGTTATTAATTATTATTTATTTCATCAATGAAGGATTTGCGAGGAAATTCATGTTTTTATTACAAAATTTTCTGCGAGTTTTCGAAAGTGCGTTAATATTTAAAAATGGCTCTGATATCCAGATTAATCTTATATCTTTAATCATTCTTTCATAAATTTTTTGCAGTTTCTTTTTGTCAACTCCAGAAAATTTCGAAAACATTAAAATGTCAAATTTTGCCATGAACAACAAAAATTATTTATTGTCTTACAAATGTCCACTGAATTTTTCCCAAAGGAAAATCCAGAAAAAAATTTAAATATATATTTGTGGATATATGGATATGGATATTTGTGGATATAATACATATATATGTAAGGTCGACGGTTCTGCATTAAAAGATCTATTTTGGAATGATTTTATTCTTTACTCTTTCCCTTTTTATCATATTAAAATAGACAATTAAATTTAAAAATTTATTACTTTAAGTGCATTAGAGTTGCTGTTCTTAAAGTACAAGTTACTGTTTTTAGAAAACTTAAAGAAAAATGCAAACTTTTCTTCGAGTTTTCAAATAAACTGGTTTTGAGAAAATTTTTCAAGAATGTTTTAATTTTTCATGTTAAATTGTCTAATTTTAATAATAATGTAAAATGACTAAACGTGCATTTGAGTGATCCGCAATTTCTGTTTTACTTATTTTCAAGTGGAGTATTTTAGGAGAAAATTGGTTTGCTTGAAAAAAATTGGTAATCTCTCGTTAATTTCTCATAAATTTAATAAAAGCTTATCTTTTAATTTAGCATAAACTTTATACAATATTATATAAAAGCAAATTCTGTGGAACAACTTTTGATAAAAGTTTTTTTTTTTTTTTTTTAGGTTGATATCCGATTGCTACCATCACAAATTTACAAATACAATGTATCGGTGATGGCGTTATCATCAGGTCGGTTACCATTTCCGCGCATCGTACTTCGAAGTTCCGTATTCGATTCAACTATTCTTGATGAGATCATTTGGCTTTCCATACCAGCAGCTATTTTTGTTCTTGTAAGTTTCTTAGTTTTTTGTTTCACCAGCTAGTTTTCCTAGCTACTGGCTAATGATTTTGTTCCATAGAAGGTTTATTGGAATTTTAAGATGAATTTAAAACTTGTCGTTGGCAATGGACTCTCAGTTGATTACAGATTATAGTTTCTCAGTAATTTTTTTTCTTATACGAAGAAGAACAAGTTGTGAAATTGTTTTGAAATGTTGCCAATTAGCCAAACGATCATCGAAATATAATCAATCTTTTTTGGATTTCTCCTCAGAAGAGTTCTTCAATCGAAACCATATAGAATATTTTTTCACAACATTCCATAAATATTAAAATAACAAAGAAATAACAGAGATTTCGAGAACGAAAAACTCCACAAACTCGTAATGTATGATGGATGAAGCGTAAAACTGTATTCTTTCTTTATTTACTTGCATTTATTTTATGTGTTTTACATTTTTATTTGAAAAAATATTCTAATTTTTTCCTAACCTTATCCATTCATTTTTTCTTTTTTTACGTCTTTTACTTCTTAAAGTTTCAGTTCCAGTCGCAACTTTCATTGGTAATATTTTCATTAGTTTCATTAGTTCATCTAAGATTTTTTTAAAAAATGAATCATTTATCAATAATTGGTATGAAATAATGTTTACAGTCTATGTTTCCAAAAAATCTGTAACTGAAACATATTCTGTGGCATTCCTACTCACTTTGATTATCAAGCAATAAAGATCATTTTATTTTTTGCTGAATTAAAAGTAACGAAAAGTTGGATTTAAAATATTGGCCAAAATGAATTAAATATGAAATCTGGAAAATGCATAGTATTTTTGTAGAACATAGTTCCTTAATCTAATATCCATGATTTCCGTGGGTTATAGGTGAAGCAATTTGCATTTCACTGAGCATCTCTTGCATCTATTATTGATGGAAGCAATAAAACAGTATCTGTAAATCGTGATCAGTAGAAATCACTCTGATTATAGTTGCATCACTGATATTTTCACGCATATTTCACTCATATCACTTATTTTCTTTCTAATATTAAATGGTTAATGTTAGTTACTTATTCGCTGGAATTTATACTATATACTATATATTTCTCTGGATCATAGTGGTTGCAAGAAATACGAATTTAGATATTTAGATACATATTTTTTAGATACCAAATTTGTCGCTTATTTAATAAGCACTCACCAGTTCTAGTTTGGTTTGCTCTTTTTTCAAGGTGAGATCACTCCATTAGACAGCCACTTGTAGAATAGAAATACAGGTCTAGCATTTTAATTTTCAATGAGTGGTTTAATCTCATCAAGAGAAAAAATTGAGTCCTTTCTTGGAACGGTTTACCACCCTGCCATCCTGCTTCCATTTATAATTATTGGCAGTTGACCACAAAGTTTATGGTAATGCATTGCAATAGAAATGGAATGAAATATTGTGAAATTTTTATGTGATAGTACCGAAAAAAAAGTAAAAGAAAGTTTCTTTAAAAATTTTAACGATTTAATTTCCTTTTTAAAGAATGCAAAAATGAAATAAAAAAATCTTTTATTAATAGATGTGAATAATTACATTAAAAAATGAAAAAAAGCACCATGATTAAACCTTTTTAAATATCAGAATTTTTTTCGTAAAAAATTTCTTTGAAAATTTTTAGAACAATTTTTTAGAACATATACAATATGCATAGAAATTAGATTTTTCGCATAAGAATATATTTACGACAAATTTATTTTCCCTTTTTTAATATTATTATCAGTACTATCAGTATCATTATTTCTATCATTTTTATTGCTATCACTGTTATGGTTATCATTATTATTTTTAATATTGATTATTATTGATATTATTATTTCTTCTGGATTGTTTAATAATGCAGAAGACTGTTGAACAGATTTAGATTTAGGTCGATCGCACTTTGATAAATCTTTCCGATGATAAATTTTTTGTCTTATAGCATACGCCATTTCTGGTTTGGTTGGCACTTTTCCTCTTCGACTAATAGATTGAAATCTTTTCACCAAACGATTTTTTAAAGATAAAAATGCAGATAGACTTGCAATATTACCTGGGCTTTTAGTGGCTTTTAATAGCACTTTTAGTTCTTTTAAAGGACAGGGATGGAGCATATGTTACTTATCCTCAGCGGAAGCATAAGAACATGTTTGTAATAAGCATTATAACTTCAATAACTTCTTATGGAGAATTGGAATTGTACAATGATGCTTGGTAAATTACTTTTTACTGTTAATTTTCATCTTTGTTTCGTTTAACTATATTTTTTCTTGAATTTTCTAAGCAATTTGCCCGAGAACATCCATCCAGCTAAGATATTTTTATCACAAGTTTTCGAGAATAGCTCTAAAGATCATTGGGAAGGCATAATTCAGCCACTTCACTTTTTTTCTAAAATATCGTACCATAGTCACCAATATAGGCAGCCAAGCTAGCAAATTGCTTGAAGAAGGGGAGAAACTATGGATTAAAATCGTGGATTTCTTGATATCGTGTATATCTAAAGAAATTTATTATTTTGCTTTCCCTGTTACTTTTAGCTATTTTTTTCGCAATTTTCGGAACGATTATTCGTTTTTCCCCATTTAAATGAATTAAATTCATTTATGCGAATTTCGCCTCCTTTTTTTCATTTTCTCAGTCGATTTCTATCTATAAAAATTTTTTTAAAAAAACGGTTCGCCTACGCTTTATCATTTGCAGTTTCATAAAACATGTTGTTTATTGAACTTTTCGTGTTTATTTTCCATCAGTTAATTTCTATATTAAAGAATTAAAAGAAAAAAATATTTTGCGTAATCTTTAAAAATAATAGAATTTTTAGCCAGTCGCGAAATGTCAATTGTCAACCGAATTTGCTGCAGTTGAAAGCAGATGAGCGATTCAAATCAGATTTTAGTCGAATAGTGGAAATTTTTCTTTGCATTTATCAAATTATTGTATTTATTTTAATTTTAACTTTTTCGGTATTTCGGATAATTAAGAAATAAATCCGGTTTCCCTCATTTTTTTCCATCAGGAGAGTGTTATTCGGTTAACTACTACTACTCATCTATATTCCCATGTATACATGCCAATATCCCCAAATAACTCCCTGGAAAAAATTTCTAACCATACTTTCTAAGTGGAGCGAGTCTGACCATGAGTAGTGACCGTTTCTCGTAGTGTATGTATTTAACTTAAATATTAAAGTCTTATTTTTTTATATTTTTTGTTTTATCTATATTTAAATCTTTATTTTTATATAAATTTATGTAAAAAATATTTTTCCGAGAGATTTTTTCGCCCAAAGTGAATCGTGCGAAAGTTAAATTAAATGGATCTAACGGACTTCTTTTGGGATTAGTTCTTAAAAAGAGGGAAATATATTAGGGAAAACAAAAGGGGATGCAGAAAAGGTGACAAAGGAGGACTGCAGATGCGGAATAAGGTGAGGAAAAAAGGCGAAAATCGTGAACCGATAGGGGGAAGAAGTTTCGCTAAAAACTCCGCCTTTGCCATTTTTAATAGATGTTAGCCGGTTTGGTGGAAATAAAATACTTAAATGAGTGGCGCAGGCGTTGAAGATGCCTAAAGAGAATTGCAAAAGTGAATTGTTTTAATAGAAATGTTAAATGATTGAAAAATGTGCGAGGAAGGACAATCAGTAATAGATTGGGTCTTTTGAAGTAAGCAAGAACAACCTGTTACTAGGCGATCCGTCGATCGGCCGATACGGCAACGACAAAGTGTAGGAGAAGAATGATATACCCAGGTTTATTACTGATAATACCCACTGTAGGTTTACTATATCAAGTGAAAGCTGCAGTACGACAAAATGTGACAACAACAACATCACCGCGTACAGTGATACCAACAATGGTGTCGAATTGTGCGAACTGTGGTGAAGCGATTGATGAATTAGCGAAAATTCGACTGGAGCAAATAAAGCGTGAAATTCTGGAAAAGCTTGGTCTCGATGAACCACCACAAATACGACCATCCGATAATCTTCTACCATCGATGCCACAAATTGCTAAATATCTAAGGAATCAAATAAAGGAAAAAGAAGAAAACGATAATGGTGGTAAGCATCATTTATCATCTTCGTTTCTTGTCGACGAACCCAGCTATCATATTGAAAATAATAAATTGGAGCGTACAATTATTATTGCTGAACCTGCGCCCGTGATCTATAATAATAACCAGAATTCACCTGTCGCCTATTTTAAATTTTCTTCTGAAATAACGTCAAAATTATTGCAATCTGCATTGTTAAATGTCTATTTAAAAAAGCCATCAAGATTAAATTCATCACACGACAATCGCCGAGCTACTAGCACCGATTCTAATAGAATCACTGTTGGTAGTGAAAGTATTGATGCTGCTGCTGGTGGTGGTGATGGCAGTTTTGATGATGATGATGAGGACGGCGACAGTTACGCTGATGATGACGACGATGATAATGCGGGAGATAATCTTATTAATAAGCACCGCCATCGTTATACCACTGTACAAATCATAGTCAAAGAAGTACTTAAAAATGGAAAGGTTACTGGATTTTCTTCATTTTTAATAAATTTCCCAAAAACCTTTTTTCGACGATTCATTTTTTGTAAATTGAGGAATGATTTAGTATTTTACCTCAAAGAAAATTGCACAAATATTGCGAAAAATTTTAAATAAATCTAAATAAATCTTAAGGAGGAAGCTATTTGAATTGTAATCCTATGCAAGGCGGAATTATTTTTTCCTCTAATAGCACTAATCATTTTTGGTTTGATTGTCTCCACTAGAAGGTTCTTTTTAAAGATTCGTTTGGAGAAACAATTATAGATGGATCTTATCCTAAGGAATGTTCCAGTACAACACAACATATTATGGCCTTCCTATGTGCGAAAGAAATTTGAATAATTTAAAGAAATTGCCCTGAGGTTAACTACGCTGGAATATTTCACAGGATTGGGCAAATAACTGGAAGTTCCAATTATAGGTTGAAGGAGTAAATCGCGATACAAATTTTAGTAATTGCTCAAAATTTAATGTTCCTTTAGCATGCTTCTGATTCATTCAGACAATAATAATATTAATATTAATCAAACAAGTAGATAACAGTGCAATTGCCGATCACCTCCTTTTTTTCAATATTCACTACGAAAATTCGTTCATCAAGATTTGATTCAATTTTAAATCAAAAATTTCTGCATAAAATTACGAATAAGGTGCTTGCTAAATAGAATCCAAGTTTTATTAGTCGAAGATTTTTTAATTTCTTCGACCAAAACTACGATTTTCTCCTTCCAAGTGATTTTTAAAAATTTTGCCAACACTTAGAATATGGGGAATCAAAGAAAAAAGGATAACGTAAATAAAATTCTCCTCATAAAAATTTCCACCAGAAAGTAATTTTTAAAATAACTTCAAAATTATGAGAGATCATAATAAAATGCACTAAAATTTAAAATTTGCAAATTTTCCAATATTTTCATTTGGCTGATGCTTTTGCCATATTATTGAAGGGTGAGGTAGCCGAGGGTGTCGCGAAATTGCATGGAATTTTCCTACTTCGTTTATACCATTCTTTTATTTCTACTATATAGTTGAAGCTTAATGAATCTTAACTTTGGCATTAGTGAACAAAAATTGAAAAAGTAAGGTCATTGTATTTTCGCTGAGTTTGACCTTTTGTTCAAAATGCTGGAGCTACAGTTGTTTCGTTATTACCGTCCGTTAAACTCAATAAAACTGGATCTTTCACCATTTTCCTTCGATAGCACTCTTTATTTCAATAATTCTCTCTATATTATCGTTGTTCCTTTCTTTTTTATCATTATACTATGATATATTGCATTAAATATGTATATATAATGTGTAATACATTATTTAAATATGCAAAGTTTGTGGAAATTTTATAGAAAAAAACTAATAATAAAGCTGATATGGTAGAAGAATATTGATAATAAAAAAAAAAGAGATTTTAGTCGCTTTTCATTCAAAATTTATTTCTAGAAGGAGAATATTTTTACAAATGATTCTTTTTCATTAGATTCGCTCATTAGACAACATGGGAATGGATATGTGGTAGCTAGCTGTCTGAACTTTCGCTGTGACTGGTAGCAGTAGTTGGTGTTAACCGCCTTCTGCTCCATAAATGAAGTTTTGGAATTAAGAATGTGGAATTCATCCTCAGTGCTTGAAAACGACCTTCATCCCCAATTACTGAAATCTTGAATCTGAAATTAAAATATGGTTGAATTTATTCTGAATGCATTAGGGTTGAAATGAAAATGACAATCCGAAAAATTGAGATTCAAGTGAAAATATACGCAAAATTTTAAATTTGATATTTTGATGGAGCCACAAAAAGCTGGAAGCAAGTGCCAATTAGGTGGTAATTATTAATTAATGGGCTTCAAATGAGCTTAATTCTTAAATTTCTACTTATTTTAATCGTCCTTTTTTTTAGTTCCAAATAAATTTCATTATTTCCTTTCCAATTTTTGGCGTGTGAATATTACAATATTACAATAATTAAGATTAGGTTATAATTATTTTAGATTAATTTAACTCAGTTATGCTTTTATTTAATTATTTAAATATGCCGAATTGGTTGTCAATTGCTGCCATTAGTTTTGCATTTCACTTACCATAACCACATCCGGAACAAAGAATCAAAGACGCACACATTCCACATTCATGAATATTATTATTCTTTATGGAAAAAAAAGACAGCCAATATAGCATGACTGGGATTTTAAAAGCATTTATCAGTGGTCATAAAAAATTATCAACGTTTTAAGTTTTCTTCAGTTTCTTCATTTGAATAATTCTATGATTTCTCAGGAAAAATTTCAGGCCATACTAGTCGCTATTAGAGAAAACCTAATCGAAAGATATGGTGACTTAATCACTAAATAAATTTTAAATTTATTTAAATTTTTTTCTTTATAATTAAGTTTATAGCTAATTAAAATGATTTTATCAAAATTATTAATATTTGTGCTAAATTCTTAATTAATTCTTAATTAACGATGAAATCAAATTTTTTCTCTTTTTGCAGGAAAATAAAATTTGAAAATTTAAGAAATCTTAACAAAAGCTAATTTAAAATCATTTATCAGTGGTCATAAAAATTAGTGATCCTAATTTTTTTATTAAAAATCGATTTATTTGATTTAAATTTGTTTAAAAAAAAGGAAATTTTTATCTTCAAATTCTTCATTTTTTTAAATTTTTTAAATTTCATTTTAAATTCTTCATTAGTTCATATAATTTTTTGGTAAAAATTTTAGGTATTTAAAAAAAAAGAATTGGCTATTCCTTCCTAACGAAAGATCTATTATTGTTTTGGACTGATAAAAAGACTAAAAGAATGCAATTTGATTTTTTGAACGATAAATTGCATTTTCAACGCCGAAATTTCGTAAAAATTTTTGCTGCATTACGATGGGTACCAATTATCTCAATAGTTTGCGATTAGTTAATCACTTCTTATGAGGTTTTCTTCGCTTAGTATCAATAAAACAATGAGAGAGACTTGAAGATATAAATAAGTCTTCGGCGTCACTCTTATTGTACTTTTAATGAATTATTAATCCTGCTGGGAACTAGGCCATGATGCCAAAACTAATAGTTTATTGCTTGCTTGGCCCACTTTGAATTTACGTTTATATAAAGCACAGTTTCATATCTTTGCTAACTTTTGCTATTAATATGGGTAAAATTAAATATAAAGACATTTTTTTGAAACTTTATGCCTTCCTTATTTTATTTCCTTTATTATTTAGTTTGGAGCTCATATCGCTGAGCGAAAACGTCTTATGGATTTGAATAAAGAAGGCTATGTGCAAGTGGCGCTACGAGTAGATGATGTACAGCGTTGGTGGGATGGTGAAAAGGGAAAAAATGAGTTTCTCGGACTTCATGTTCAAGCACTTTATAAAAATGAGAATCTTGCAGTGCATCCACAACCCGACTTAAAGGTAAGGTTTTCTCGAGAAATTCAAACTCTTAACTCGTCAACTCATTTTTAAATATTGTTTAATTGTAATAGTTATTCAACAGATCTTCTTGACTCTTCGAGATTGTCTGAATTTGCTTTTGTTTATCTATCAATCCTTTTTAATATTCCTCTTTTGCTGATAATTTCTGCGATTTCGCGTTGGCATTATTGATGGATTATGGCACAATAACAAAGTGAGGCTTTGAGATTTTTAAGGGAGCTTAAGAGGGTTCAGAACTCGATTTCAGTGAATTCTTATTTTGATTTCAATGCTTGGCTTGCTCTGCAAATTCATGGTCTTAAATTAAACGTGTTTATCAAATCAGTTCTCGGAAACTTGAATGCTTGAAAACAGTTTATAGTTGGGGCAGCGATTTTTTAAAATTTTAAAATTTTCATCCTACTATGTTTATGTTTATTATATTCATTTTTCATCTTTTAAAAAAAGGAATTTGGCTGAATTTGACGATTGATCGTTAATGCTTAACAATCAAAGAATGAAATTTTTTCTCTCCTCTCAGAACAAAGTTTTCTCACAATTGGATTCGAAAAGTTTTTAACATCTATTCGCCATCTTTCATTTTATATATTTCCATAATTTTTAATGTAAAACTTCTCATTCGATGTTTTATTTTTATATTTTTAATTAATATGAAACATTCCATTTTGATTTTTAAGCACAAGAATGTTCAAAAAAATTGTAAAAATGAAGCAATTTTTCAATGTTTCAAATGACAAAAATATTCGGGAAATATTCAGAATTCTTAGTTGAATTTTTTTTCTTTGTTCCAAATATTCAGTGATTCCTTTAGGGATTTTTTGGGAAGAATTAGTCATGGATATATTTCGAAGACAACTCTGCCTGCCTACCCACCCACTATCTACGTGCTGATACGAATAACCGTGTGGATCACCTTTTAATTGGTCAAAAATTCAATCATCGCATTTCTTACTTGTCAAACGCAAATACGCATGCAAATAATATCTTACTAATCGCCGCAAATACATCTCTAATGAAAGAAACAAATTTATTTTAAATTCTCTAAGAAATATATTTACCAGTTTTTTTCATTATTAGTAACTGAAAAAAAGAAACGAAAATTTCTAATTCATTTTTAGTCCCAAGACTATATTTTTCAATGGAAATCTGGTAGACTGTTTAAAAGGTGCGTCCCCGCATGCACCTACTTCATACTACTTCTCTTCATTCTGTGCTAGAGGAGTTATGATATATCATTATAGGCTCAAAATTTCCCCTGACCATTTTGGTCCAAGTCTAGATTGCTTCTTATCGTTTTGACACCATCCACCATGGGGTTTATCAAGTAGCAACGAGAACATGGCCAATCCAATACAGACGACAGTTTATAACGATATTTTTAATGCAGATGGTATTCGAGAGATTGATGCAATCACTTGAGACTTTACCCACTTGGTAGGATGCACCTTAAGATGGTCAAGTGCTTTATAGCTTTCTGTTATCTTCCACTCAAATCGTTCAAGTTTGCAACCATATAATGGGAATTTCGGTACTATAGCCAGATGAACTTTCGTTATGAGACTGATTTGGGGTCGATTTCAAAGAGATTTCCAAGAAAAAAAGCAATTTTAGATGCAGTCGCTTAAGCTGGAATTTCCTAGTCTGGCCGCTGGGTCTGACACATCTTGAACTTTTATTGACTTGAAGGCAAATTTTTGCTGCTACCATCTGGTCTAGTCTCTATCACATTTTCTTGTAACCACAGGTAAAAAAAAATAGTATGCCTATTTAAGGCTCGCGAAGATCCACTATACTCTGAACTGTACACTTCTTCCCTTGAATTGCAGCGATGTTCATAATTTATTCTATGACATATTTGAAAATTGCAGAGGAGAGAACGAACCTTGACCCATCTCTGTAAGTATTTCAAGAGGTTGTGTCAATTTCTAATATGTCTGAACCATCATTTACCGAGTGGTTCTCTGAAGTAATGCTAGTAGGCAATGGAATCAACTAAAATAGAACTAATAATACCGTAGGGAAAAAGAATCAGAAGAATGTTTTTTCTGTTCGACAATAAATGATTCTTTTAAATAGCAAATTGTTAAATTTGTAGATCCCTTAGTAACTCTTTATAATCTATTTTTTCACAGGAAATAAGATCGACTTGATTTGGGAAAAGATATTCCAGAGCACAGATTTCAGATCAGATTTTCAGATATTCAGAGCACAGATTTCATCCAAAAGGTCTATGCTGTTAGAAAAATTTTAAGAAGATGTTTAAGGTCAGGATGGTCACTGTTATAAGCTTTCCCAGCATTTTTTTAAATGCTTCATTTTGGATGGAAAATGCGAAATGCATCCTGGCATTAGAATTGAATGGCGACCTTTAGATGACTAATATTGTAAATGGCCTAATATATAATAGAAGTTTCTCAGTTACTCATTAAAAAAATTTTCATCACGGAATTTGATGCGGAAACATCATATTTTAAAAATTTATTAGAAGAAAAGGCCTTTTTCAAAAATAAAACAAGTTTGTATGATAGGCGACTAATTATAAAATTGATTAATAATTAGCAAGATCAAGCTTTCAAATTTATTTATCACTGTCAAAATTTTTGATATTTTCAATTTTTTTTGATATTTTAATATTTTTCGTAGTTCTTCTATAATTATTTTCTTCTTCTTCTTACAACACTCCTCATAAGTTAATTGAAAATTGAAAATTCACTTTGTGCTGAAATTCGGCTATGCTGGCAATTATTGCGTCGCTTTCTGATAGATTTGTCGTATATCACAAGTTAAAAAACTTTGCGAACATGTCAATTCAGAAATTTCGTTACGTGCTATCCGATATTTGAATGGTATTTGCATGACATCGCTTTCAAGCATTTCCATTTCTTTTAGTAAAATTGTCATTAAAACTGAAATGGGCTGCTGAGGATGCGTAAAATTTTGACTAATGTTCGCATATGACTGAAATTCTATTTTTCTCTAAACAGTTCTATTTTTTTTTAAGAGTCCTCACCATTACTGGTTAAACTCGCTTCACTGGCTTGTCGCATTGAGCAATATGCCATGGAGTCCCTTGGCGATAGAAATACAGATGAGTCGTCAGTCAGCATCACCTGGATTTTTGTAGAGGTTTATTCGTGCTGGGAATAGAACTTCAGCATCGGCGCTCCCAATTGAGCAACAATGCACTGAGCCTAAGCAGTTCTATAAATTCAATCAAGTCAGAAATGCTGAATGCTATCAGAAATTTTCATGAAAATTAAAAGTAATACTAGATTTCTGAAATATTCGATAGTTAAACCAAGCGGTTTTATTTTTCGTATTTGTAAATCGCTAAAATTATGAAATAGTGTAAATTCACTTTTAAGCCAAATGGTTATTTAAAAAAAAAACAGTTTTTTAAAATATATTTGGAAAAAAATCTTTCAATTTCATTAAATGATCGATGTTGCAATATTGCTCTTTTCAAGGTTTTTTATCGTTACAGTCAATTAATCAATTTCAGCGACAGATTTTATAGAATTTTTCCAAAAAAAATGAATTCTTTTCACCAATTTTTTCAGGAATTTCGTCGTAGTATATCGAAAAATTGATATTAGGTTTTTTTTCTAAACAACATGAAGTTATCGCATTTAAACGCATTGAAAGCTTTCCTTACTTTGTTTCATTCAAACCGAAATCCAAGGCGGTCAGATCTCCCTGAAAATTTAAAATAATCTATCACTTATCTTACATTGGCCTCAAATGAAAGAATTTAGTATCTTTATAGCCATGAATATATCGAATAAACCGTTAAAACATTTTGGTTTTCTATCAATCACAACTACCGATAATACTGTAGAACAACAACTAAAATCGAACATTATCAATCATGAAAATGTTTCCTGGTCGATTAAAAATAATTTTTATTTGGTTCATAAATCATTCCATTTGTATAAATCACAAAAAATTTATTGGTATACAAATATTTTTGTATGGTTCCAAATCCAATTTGCTAAAAAAAGCAGTAAGTGCTTAGATCGTCATTTCTAGCTAATTTCTCGTTCTACTGATTGTTGGTACGATAAGAAATTTGAATCACTTCGAGAGAATCACTTGAGGAAACAAAATTAATTGCACCGTATGATGCTGGTGGCCTATTTCAAGTGATTCCATGAAATATTTTCCAACCATACTAATAGACCGCCAAAGCTAGCTTAACCAGAAATAATGCGCTAGTCACTCTCGTATTTATATTTTTATATTTATACTTTTATACTTTTATGCTTAGTTTTATACTTTTTATCATAATTTGATGTTGAAATATTTAACTTTTCGTTAGAATTTCTATCAGTGTTTTTTAATGTAAACTCAGACAAGAATTAGACCTTGACTTATTCCCTTAGATCACTTGACTTATGCTTCCCAATTTGCTTGAAAGACCTTGACTACTTGTCATTGTTTTTGCAATGTTTGATTAGAAGATCATTGGCTGTTCATTTATCACTCCTTTCATGATTAGAATAACTGGATATTTAAAGATATTTCTAGGAAATTTTGTTCCTTTATTATCTCTTAATTTTAGTTGATGCATCTGGAATTGACTACTTTTGATGAGTATTCGCGTAAAAAACGAAGTTATCAAGAAGTATGCACACGAGAAATGAATGAACCTTCATGCTGCTTATACAGTTTAGTGGTGGATTTCGATCAAGCTGGTTGGGATTTCGTTATCGCACCAAAGGTTTACGATGCTCATATGTGCAGTGGTGAATGTCGATTACATTATGTAAGTTCAATTTAAATAATAGTTGATAAGGTACAAAATCAAATAATAATTCTATTATCTATAAACAGTTATATTTTGAGACCATTTTTTTCAATTTTTTAATTTAACTTACGCTTTTTTTTTAAAGAAAGCGACGTTATAATTTATCATTATCGGTTAACTGATGAATTCATCCATCCATACATAAAGAAATCGAAGAGAATTAAGAATTGAATATTTGACCTTGGGCATTTCTATTAAAAACCAGAATACTTGATATTCGCAAAACGGTGCGGCTAAATTTTAGAAGCTCGAAAGAAAATAGAGATAACTGCAAGGATCCCATGCAAAATTTGAGCTACTTTGCCTTGCTTTATTGATTAAGCTTGGATTTCGGATTTCTAAATTAAAATCCTTCTCGGGTTGATTCGGTACTGAAAAAAATCATTTCCATTCATACATCATATTTACTGGCCAATCGTAATTTAAAAAACCTGTTTAACCAACCAGAACAAAGTGACCTTAACGTCAACGAACAAAGTCAATTTTATGGATACCGCAATTGATAGCAAAATTTCGATTCTCAAAACATTTAATTTTCTTTTCATCGAATTTTTGCAGATTTCTTTAAAATTTAAAAAATCGAAGAAATTTTAGAATTTAAGTTCTAAAATCTATTAATAATTACGAATTTAAACTCTTTTTAAACTCAGATATTGCTAAATTATAATTGGCAACTGAATTTACATTCATTTTAATATATTGTGGTGCTATCCATATTAACATTTTCTTTGATGATTGGTAGAAAAGAAATTGTAAATTCTATAAATCAAAAAGAAGAGCCATTTACAAATCGGCTGGCTACAGCGCCTGTTAGGATGAGGTCCCTTCTCTGAAGAGGCATTTTCACTTTGCGATAGAAATACGAGTCATACTAGATTTACTCGATTTCATTTTTAATGGTAGTTTCATTTTCACCAAATAGCAATCGTTCCTTTATATTCTTTGTTTTATAATAAAACTAAACGAACAATGCAAATGTCTATTTAAAAAAATTTGTTAAATCTAAACTAATACTAAACGATTATGTTTAGTATTGTTATAATTATTATTAATAATTATTTTATTGGAATTAATATTGGGCCACAGTTTAATATATTTCCTTGACGGAGGTCACAGACTCCTTAATCGAAAATCAACTCGCAATTAAAAGTGAAAGCGTCATTATAATAACATTTAATCATTATAGTTTTTCACCATTATCATCAAAGTCCAAGTTCCAAGTTCTACTACAGATCCACTAATGATGTATTGAACGCAGCTTTAGTAATTAGTGATAATGACAGAATACCAAAGTGGTTGTCGATTAGATATATGTCATATTCGGCATGCTCGGCTTTTGCCAAATAAGGATAAACTTGCTACTACAAAATCCAGGTAGAGGTGAGGGACTTCTTTCCTCCTGAGTGATTGTCTTTCCGTTAATTGTATCTCCCCTACTAGCCTGCCAGATCCCTACTAGAAGTAATTGCTTCTTTTCCTACTAGAAGTAATTACTTCATTTCGTTTGTTTTATGTATTTATTTTGAATGTTTTATTTAAACTTCCTCGGAAATTTTGAAAATAATTTTTTTCTAAATCTTCCAATTCCAATAATATAAACTAAACTCTAAATTGCGACCCTTAGAATTTCATATAAAATTAGTATCGTTGTAGCTGTTTTTATAGTTGCTTTTAAAGCAAAAAATGAATCAGTAATAGGCAAAAAGAATTGATAAATTCTTTTGTTAACGATAAATTTCGCAATTTCGCAACGTCAAAAATTTTTGCGGGATTTGCGCAGTCATTTTTTAAAATTGATATTTAAAAGATTTTAATTTTTTTTCTCACAGAAATTTTTAAAGCATTTTTTTACTTACTTATAAAGGTGAACAATCTGAATAATAAGAAAGTGACTGGACTTGGTTAGGCTCGCTGAACTGGCTATTAGCTATTAGTGTAGTGAGAAATTTTCGACAGTAAATCTTGGCGACGGAACATCGGTCGTCAACATCAATACTGCACCTATACAACAAGTTTAAAGATATCAGAGCAGGATTGGGACCTTGACGCTTGACATAAATAAATAACAACTATTTGCCTCCTAAATAAGCAATAAGATTTAACCGATGTAAGTATGGTCGTTCTAAGTGATTAGTGGGACCTAAGACAAAAACAAGACAAAAAAATTTCTTTAGATAATTTATATGGGTTCAGACGCTGAACTGGAGTATTAGCCCATATATTTACATATAAGGTTTCACTTCAAGGAATTGTGGAAATTATTTGTAAACAGAAGTAGAAAATTGTTTTCAAGTTGATATGAACATGCGCGCGAAACGTAAAAACAACTATGCATTTTCAATTTCAAGTAGAATTAATTCACGGAGAAGAAAGAGTTTTAGGATGCGAAGATGTCGAGCGAACTTTGAAATTCTCAACGCACCTTTCTCGATACGACGCTGAAAAATGTTCCATACTTATGCAAATCTTAGTGGTGTTAGAAGTTTATAAGTTATTTACTCACAAATAGGAAAAAACTGAAGAAAATTTGATAAAAAATTGTTTTATACAGTGAGGGAGGGAGTAAAAGCGATTTTGGAAAAAGCAAGAATTGTCTTGCGAATTCACACGTTATGGGAAATTTCGTTCTCTTCAGTTGGAACACAAATCGACTTCCCATCAGATTTTTAAAGTGCTATAAAGTGGGAGGAAGTAAAACGCTTTATAATTTGGTTAATTTCATTCACCGTTGTACAGAAATGATAACTAAAATATTTATATAATATATAATGTCCTGAAATTAATAATGGACAAAAGGCTTATTAGAGATCGCATAGGACCTCCGATAAAATTTTTGACATGGCATTCGTAAATTTTGGCAACAAAACATTTATTAATTCCATCGCTAATTTAGCTAGTTTAAGTTAAATAAAATGTGTTCATGTTCATGCTTAGCAGTTGTTAGTGTCCTCTCGAAAATAATTATCGCAAAATGTTTATAGATGGAAATTTAGTGAAACAATTACGTTTTACGTAATTACGTTACGTCTGAATTACGTTTACTCAGTTTGGACTTCCTTATAGATAAAATCTGAATTTTAATCCAAGCAAAGCATAGAAACTCACAAAAATTTCACCGAAAATTTAATTCACTACCAAAAGCTGAACGCACAACTAACGCACAACTTCGATATTAAAATCTTGATAATTCTTCTATCTCATCATTACTGATTTAACAGTGGGAGTCCTTTCACCAGAGACCTGGGGACGAAAAAGTAGATTGGCTCCCAGGACCACTCCAAATTTCGCTTTTTATAATAAGTTTATTTTTGTCAAGAGAAAAGAACTGAATCCATCAATCTTGGTTCCAATCATAACGTACAAATTAATCGATACATTTTCTCAATTGTTTGAATTTCTTGTGTGAATTCTTTTTTAAAAAAGAATGCAATTTTTCCCAAATATTCATCATATTAATAATTTAAATTCCCTCATTTATTGCAATAAGTAAAATAAAATAGATTGTTATAGTTATTTATTATCTACCAACATTTTTAGTATTAATCAATCACTTCATTTAATCGCTTCGCATGCCAAGCATGACCGCACCATCTTTTTTTATTATTGCTATTTCTCATTTAAAGCCAGAAGAAGGAAAATTTGAGGAATCTCCAACAAAATACTTCTCTCTAGGATGTATGCCGAAAGTCTGAGTCCCAAACGATTTCTAGTTCGACCTCATCATTGGTGGGAACATTCCTCGTCATTAAACGTCAAATCCGAATGCATGCGCTTGTAGTTTGGTCCCGAGACCTCTCCGACTTTACTCTTAAATGTTTCGCTCTTAAAAAGTATAACGCAGTTTTGAAAGGAAGTTCGATTTCAAAAAATTTTACAGAAAGTGTCCTATAATTATAAATAAATCATATTCCACGAAATTTATTGAAAATTTTCAATAATTTTCGATTCCCGATTTCCAACAATTAACCATAAATATTATTGAATTTACGCAAATAATTTTATAAAAATATAGAATATATCAGATGATTATTTACTATTTTTTTCATCATCCTGTTTTTAAAATTCTTAAAAGCCTTTTATTATTTGTCAATTCGAATCGCAAATTACGATTATTTTAATTGTTATTATTTTAACTATTATTATTGTTTTTGTAATAAATTGTTATAAAATTCTATAAGAATTCTGCAATTTCTAAACTAGTTGATGTCAAATATTTTCTTCTCAAGCCAAAAACAACGAAAACATTCTCTAAACTAGTTAAAACACATATTTATCATTAATAAGCCAACTAACAAGTCTGAAAACTAAAAAAGATCTAAAATCATTTTATATTCAAAACAATCGTATAGACTTGCTGAAGTAGCCTCGTTTATAAAAATTATCAAATAATGCCGAATTTAAGCACCACTCTGTATTCTTACGTTAACATATTCAGCGAGCCCTTAATCAATTTATTTTTAATAGCACTCACCTGCCAGAGAATAGGTGTTAATAGCGGGGTGAAGTGGGGCTTGAAGAACCACTCGAACAATTTCTAAACTAAATGGTGCTTAAATCTCTGAATCTCTTTGGTGATTCGCTGACACCAATGAATCAGAATGTTTCAAAATTCAAAGGATTATAACGGAATAATCTCATGGACGAACATTACTTTCGTTTCGCCAACGTTCATATTTGAAGGAAATGCTAATTAATGGAAATAAATTTTCCCCAAGAGGTTACAGGCTTAGGTCTAATGCATTTATGGGTCGCGAGCCAATAATCTCCTTCCCAGCTTTTCAATTTAATAATTTCTTGGTTAATTTTTCGAAAAATTTTGCAAAATCCTTCTACTTTAAATTAATAAATAATCGCTAAAATAGTACTTTCCTACTTTTTTGCAATTATTATTGAACATTGAATAATTTATAAATTATTCATTTCAAAGGAATTTCAAAGGAATTGTTATACGTGTCATATTCCTCACGAACAAAAATACATTTTTCCTGCAAATTCTATTTTTTAAACGAATTATTTTATAAATATTAATAATTCGATCTTTGAGCTAATTAATTTGATTTTAATGTAAATATTTATTGTTTACAATTAAAATGAATTTCTTTCTGTTTCTGCCTTTTAAACCTTTTAAAATTCTTGGGAAAGATGAAATTTTTAATATATTATTAATATGAAAAATATATGAAAAAGGAACAATCACAGACCTAAATATTATTCATGAATTGAATAATTCATTTCAGGTTGGTCGATCCGCACATAGCAAAATCACATCATCAACAACGAAAAATGCAGTGAGCGGTTGTTGCCACCCAACCGAATATGATCCAATTAAATTGATCTATATGACTCAGGAACATGAGCTAAAAATAAAAGAAGTACCCGGAATGATCGCTCGGCGATGTACATGCGCTTAATTTTTATAACAAAGTAAAGAGTAACTGTTGCCAACAAATTTGCAGCTATCAAAAAATGCTGTAATGAAACAGCCGCTGTCGAAAGCTGACAACGCCGGACCTATAGCTAAACGCTTATTGATGTAACTAGTTGCTGAACGCTTATAACAAGCGTCGCTATGTTCTTTCAGAGCGTCACCACTGGTCCACTATTACTTTTATTATAACTGATAACACTTATATGACAAGTAGAATACCGGTGAATTCGCTCTTAAGATACGCATTTTTATTGTCATTTGTTTTGCAATTTCGCATACCAAAGATTTCTATTATATGAAATCCATTACGTAAAAAAGAAAAAATTTCCGAAGTGCTTTCCCATACAAACAGTGATACGGTTCGCTGAAAGACAAGGAAAGGACCGAAGCAGTATGACATTTCAAAAAAGCTTTCTTTTTAAAAAAAAATTTTAAATCTTCAAATTTAAATTTACTTAATTTATGAATGACAACATAAAAATTCAAATTTCTTTTTAATCCTTTTTAATCCTCGGAATCTACAAAAATTAATCTACAAAAAAAAATGTTTGAAAACGATCATATGCAGCTTATTTCTATATTTGAAATAGAAAAATTCTAAAAACTTAAGAATAACAAAGGAATTTGTGATAAAAATTCTTCACCTATCTGATAAGAAATAATAAGGAAATATAAGGAGAATACAAAATTTATTGCATTCAATATTCCAATTACTTAAGAAAGTAAGAAATAAGGAAATAAGTAAAGTATTAAGAAATAATCCCGTATTTCATTATATTTCTATAATAATATTATTAATAAAATAACTAATATTATCTCTTGTACTATCGAATAAAATTATGCAACAAAAAAATCCTCAGTAAAGCATTCCTAATTCTAAAAAATTTTCGTCCCTACAAATTCATTTTTCACCCGAAATCAAGAATATTCAAAGATATATAGTAAAAAATAAAATACTCTAGTATTCCTATTCCTAGTATTCCTAGTATTCCTTTTTTTTTCTAGCACTCCTTTTCAACCTTTTAGTATAAAAATAACGTAGGCAAAGCTTGCTCGATTCCTCAAGAAATAACTTGAACAATAATGTTTCTATTATCCTATCTTTCTAGAATTAAAATATCAAAAAACAAAATGAATAAAAAAAATAAAAATCTCGAGCATTTCTATTTTGGAATATTGATAACCACTGATGCCGATCATTTTTATGAAATAAAATTTTAAAAAAAGGCTCATGAAGCAACATGATTCATCTCTTAACTCCTAAAGAGCATAGATTTACGACACGATATTCACGAATGGGAAGCATTTGATGATTACATATTGAATCTAAAATCCAATCAGCAACAACAACTTTGGCTCCAATATCTGCTTCATACCTGCAAACACGATGAAAAAAAATTTTTTTGCAAAAATAGACTTTTTTTAAAGAGCACTCACCATTGCTGGTTAGGCTCGCTCCACTAGTTCATGGGATTAGACAAATTTTGCTAGGGAATTTCACTTAAAAATAGAAATACAGGTGTGTGTCGCCAACGTCACAAAACATCACAAAATTTGGCAATACTTTTCTGCTGCATCTTTTAAATTGACAAATGAACCAAAAATAATAATATCGCATCGAAAAGAAACGATATTCACTGGTTTTGCGCAAAATCCACCACATTTTTGAATAGCTTCTTCCAAAAATTCTGAAAAAAGAAACATAGCAGGATTTACTTAATTAATTGATTAACTGAAGCAACTACAGATAACAAAAAACTTGATACAAATTTGACAAAAAAACCTGGCTTAATTATAGATGACTGGAAACCCTTGGGTAAATAAAATACAAAATCTTTGAAAATACTGCGCAAATATGAAACATTGTCTATCTCATTATACAACATGGCATCGCGCCTCCGAAAGAAATAGCGGTATTCGTCCTTAAAATATTATTATTTCAACAACTTCTTTCTTTTATAACTAGAAAAACTAAAATGCTGAAAATATTAATTTAAAATAAAAATGGGAAAAACATGATTTTACTGTAGGACAAATGGATTTATTAATGACTGATTCTTTTAACCAGGACTGATTGACAATCTCACAACCATTTAATATAGCTTGAACATATTTAATTGTCCGTAAGTTATCGATTCGACCTGAGAATAAAAATTTTTAAAAAATATATTTGAAAACAAATAAAATAAAATAAATTAATTTAGACAATAAACTTTTGGCAGAGACTTTAAAAAAATATGGAATTCTTGAATTCTTGAAAGAGGACTCACACTCATCCATAATTACAAAATGAGTACACTCTGCTGTGATATGTGGAGAATAACGAACATCTTGAAAAATTGCCAAAAAAGAAGAAACAATTTCCTGAATATTCATAAATTAAAATGAGCATGTAAAAAAAAGTGAAGCGAGAAGCAAAGAAAAATAAAATTAGAATATGTAATCATTTTTAGTTTTTTAACAGTTTTAGCCATCTGGCTAACCAAAACAAAAATTTTATTTTTTATTTTTTCCCTTTTCTTACCAAGAGAAAGGAATCGAACAAATCCAATTTCCACCTCAGCCAAAGCAAAACTCCACTTTAATATATTTTAACTGTAATAGTATATTACCTTTTAAAGTCCAAACATCACAGAAAAATTTCATAAAAATTTTTAAATTAAATCAAGCAAATTACAGTAAAATCAAGCAAATCAAATTACAGTAAAATCAAACAAAAAAGATAACGAAGTTAAACTCACATCGCCGGAATTAGAATTTTTCGACAGCGTTATACATATTCGATTATTTTTTCGGAAATTTACAATAAACTTTTTTGGACGTTTTTGAGGAGATCCATTTTGGTCACTATTTTCATAACTGCGTTTTTTGTCAACTGAAACTTAATTTATTTCAAAAATTCGATAACCACGCAAACAGTTTCCAGCATCTTGCTTTCGTATTTGCATAAAACGAATTTGAAGAAATTAAAAATTAATTTTCTATTAAAAAGAAAGATACAAGATCAAGAAGAGAAAGAAGAAAATTTAAAGAGATATTCAAATGAAAATTTAAAGAGAAATGAAAATGTTTATTATTACACAAGAGAGAGATCATAATAAATAGATTAATAATTTAAGCAAAGAATAAATAAAAAATATATGTTCGAGACAATTTCCAAAAATTAAATCAAATTTGAAATGGATCCTCATAATGAAATTAAATTCAGTTTTCCTTTCATTCTATCCTATGATCAATTTATTCGAATATTTCATCTGAGAACTAATAGCTCATAGAGTCAATTAAAACCTTTAACAAAGCACGATAAACAGTGAAACGATTAAATTGTATAAAATAAATAAAATTGTTAAGTACCATTACTCAAAACTTTTTCTTAAGAGATGAAATAACTTACATGATGAAACTTTTTCTCTTTTCTCCATTAATTGACATAATTCCTCGCTTTCCTATATATATATTATATTTACATAAGAACACAGAAATAGACGGTGGAAAAATGAACCTTCCATTAAAAAAAAAGACATACAAAATCAAGAAGAGAAGGAATCCAAGGTAATAGAGCAATCAGGCTTCGAATATTTGATATTCCTTCTTGTCCTATAATATGAATTTTAGTGAAAATTTTAAGCAAGAGCAAAAATGAAAAATGAAAATATGAATTTTTTTAACGAAACTATCATGCTAATGATAACTCACAATATAGCACCCGATCAAATCCCTGGTTTCAAAATTAATATAAAATATTTAAAAAAAATAAAATTAACTAGCAATAATGTTGAATTAATAATATTGAATAAAAATTTAATATCAAAATAAAATGAAGAGAATGTGCTTACTGGCTAATTCATAAACCGTTAATTTCAATTCATTCGAAATGTTCGAAATTGGTACAAGAGTCTCACACGAAACAAACTTCTGTTTTGAAGAAATAAATTTCGAAACACAATTTTCATGGTTTGCGGAGAACTGTGAGGTATTATTAGCAACAAGTGATGAACTGGAGGAAGAATCAATAAGATCTAAATTACCATAGAATAAAATATAAAATATTTATAACTTAAAATATAAATAAAACGAATTTTTTGAAACAAAGTATAAATAACAAATTAATGAAAATGGTTAAGACTGGGAAAATAATCCGATTAAAAATATAAAAATTAATTAAGTGGTTCAATGGAGAAATTGAAAAAAAAAAAAATTGGAAAAATAAAATTTGAAAAAATCATACCTGTGCAGTCTAAAGAATACTTCTGTAATTCTTCTGAACGAGTTGATAAATCTGGTTGCTTGTTTTCAATTTTTACTTCATTATGTTCTACTATTGGTGATGAAGGTTTTATTTGAGCCTTTAGAATTATCTGAGGCTAAAAACAAATTATAATAACCTCATAAGGCAGAAAATGAAAATAAAAAATAAAAACTATAAAATACAATAAAATATAAAATCACAAAATCAATAGAGCAATTCGATGGTATGTGCTGACTGACGTTATTTTGAAGTAAGCCTTCATTGCCCAATAAATTCACATTTTTCAACAAATTTCCTTGTAAATTAGATTGCTGACAAAGTGAAAATTGCTTGAAAGCAGAATGTGATTGTGAAAAATGATGTTCTTGGTCATGTTTTTGAAAACACTGCTGTGGAACAATCACCTCAAAAAACAATTTTAAGGATAAAATAAAAGCAGAAAAAAAACTAAACTAATATTAAATATTAAACTAATATTAAAGTAGAAAGAATTTTCTTTAGTTTAATCTCAATTTTAAATTTAAACTAATTGTTGCAACTTTTGATCTAAATTTTAATATTTTCATTCATAGCATTTGCAAAACTGAAAAAAACCACGAACTAACTTGACTTTCCAGAAAATTACATTCACTACTTATTTTGTCTTTATGTTCCTTAATGAATGTTCGCGCCAAAACCAAATAGTTTAAAATTGCAGTTTTTAGCGCTGGACATGGCCGACAGCTTCTAAAAAGATTTTAAAGAATGAAAACTATCGATCCGTAAAATCAGCAAATGAATTAAGAAATCAGCAAATGAATTTTTTAAAATAAAACAAGAAGCATTTTATGAAAATCACCCAAGAATCAGCGATAAAAAACCAACCTTCTATTTAAAGCTCTTTTACAGATTGGACATCTCAGAGAAGCCAAACGTTTAAGACACTCATTAAAGCATGTGCTAAAAAATTTCACTTTCAAAAAAGAACATCTAAAGCTAATGCAAACATGAAAATAGTCATTTCCAACATAAAATTGAAGGGCTTAAGTTTTTTCTATATTTACAACTTTTTTCAATACTTTTATATTAAGTAATTTTTGAATAACAGTTACAGTAGACTAACCGACAAAATGGATGACTACAAGTTGTTAGCAATGGATCAGATAAGGTTGAACGACTAAAATATTAGAATAAATATTTTAAGTGAAATTTAACATCACTGATTTAATAAAACAAAAATTATATTTTAATTTGCTTTTTTAAATTAAAATTTAAATCGGAATCGTTACATTTATCTTCTTAATTATTACTTAAAATCTTTTCAAATCCAATCAAATGTTAACAAAACGATAAAAATAGCAATAATAAATTTCACTAGTTAATGTTTTTTAAAAAAATTTCAAAAAAATGAAACTCAGTAAAACTCAGTAAAAATAAAACGTAAAATAAAAGTAAAAAGTTAAAAAAATTAAAGAGAAAAGAAAGGAAATTAGACCATATGGCACATTGTAAAATGGATTTAATTCGGCCAAGATCCTCCATTATTTTGGATAATAATTCTGGCTGCGTTTTACTTTCCATTATAACGTTAACCTGAAAAAATATTACGGGAACAATTGGCAAAATAATTACCAGTAACGAAACAATGTAGCGATGAGAAGTAATAAAAATGAAAGAAGAGACAAGGAAAAAAAAGGAAAGATATACGGGTAAATTGATGCCTTAATTAACGAAATCCATGAGAGAATTGAAATATGGATGAATATTTTAAGAGATAACAATGCTCAGCTCTGCGCACGAATGAAGCATTACATGTAATGGAAGCAGAACTATCAGAAGCACAATCCATGTTCTCAAAGACTGAACATTAAATCCAAATTAAGCAAAAAAGAAATAAGAAGAAATGAGGTAATTGAAACTTTCCATACAAACTGATGTCCACTTAACGGAAAAACAGCCAAATAAATTACCATATTACATATAAAACAATAGAAGAATAGTACAGAAAAAGAAGTGCAAAAAAACTGCACATAAAATTAATCGGCAATGGCTTACTATTCGTTTTACCAACTAAGATGATGAAAATATTCTTGCCAGGGAGTCTCAACTGAGTGGAAAGAATAAGCAGAAGCGTTCGAATTCCCAAATAAGACGGTAATCCGCGTCGAAGACAAAGTCTAAATCTTAATGTTGGAACGACAGTTGGGCCACAAAGAACCTTCCGATGAAATAAAAACCCTCAAAAACGAAAACTCTTTGTTTTTTATTTAATATCTCTTTTATTGTTTCAAAAGATTCTATGGAATTTTTTGAGCAGAAAAAAAAATAAATAAGGAAGTTATCGTTTATCAGATTATCGTTTTGAGAAGTAAACTTGTCATTAAAAAATCCACGAGGTGCCGACGACTCACCAAGCACCGCCAGCTGTTTTACCCCGCACCATAACTGCATTAACAGGGTCAGCCAGAACTGGTAAGCGATGACTATTTAATTACTGAACAGACTAACAATATTACAAAAAATTTAGTTAAAAACCAGTTAACTACGAACTTGCGCACAAAAATATATTGAAATATGAAAAGCCGATTATTAGTTGCTTAAACGGCATTGCTACCAGTCGGCGGCTGATGATGTTTAATTTGCATCTCCATCTCCTCATTGCTAACGTAGGTTGTCTCCCTGCTTGTTTATTTTATTTTGGTTCCATCGTTTGTTTCGTGAAGGCAAAACAGGATTAGTGTAGCGACTGTTAAGATGGGCTTGTTAATCACAAAGTTGTGGAAGTTGTGGTTTTCGCAAAAAGGTAAAATTTTGAAATTTTGTTGCAATTATAAACTCGTTTTATTATTATAATAAAACTGTTTCGATGTATTTCGTTTATATTTTATTATTTCATGTATTCGGATTGCAAAATTAATTGGTAGTTTTTCCTGGCTGAGAAAATATTAAATTTCTGGTTGAAATATCCAATTGCGTATTTGTAAATAAAAAAAAATTTCCACTGAATTCAGTGGTGATAATTCAGTGGTTCATCGGTGAAAGAAAATATCAAACGATTTAAAAAGTCCGCGGAAATCATAAAATTTCGTTGTACAAAGGCATTTTGAGATATCCACAATATCGAAAAAATTAACACAAAAAATCTAGAAATTATGTTTTCGATTTTTGTTGTTTGTGCAATAATTATTTGCAGAACATAAAATTATTATTATTGGTCTTGATAATGCGGGGAAAACGACAATATTATATCAATTGTTAGTTAGTTATCCACTTTCTTAATTTTTTTTTAAGAGTAGCCATTGTTGGTGGGGCTCTCTTGGCCGCCTTGTCGCGCCAGTAGATTTTGCCAGGGGATTAGATATAAATGCAGTTGAGTATAGCACCATGATTTTTGCAAATCATGTTTACTCTTATCAAGACTAGAATTCTAACATCGGCGCTGTGAATCGAAGGGGAACCACTGAGCCATTCTAGCAGAGGTTAACAGCAATACGATGATGGTTGATAGAACTGTAAAATTTTAATGCAATAATAGTATAATATTAGTGAAATACTTAAAATGTTTTACCAGTAAAAGTGATCTGAGAATAATTTCCATAATAATGTTCTCTATAGTTCTGTTCAATTTCTTTTCAAAACTTGTGCTGATGGTGCAAAAATTATATTAATTTACAGAAATATTACGAAAAAATTATTAAATTATTAGATAAAAATTGAAGCAAATTTTTTAAAAATTTACCTTTTTAGCAGATTAAGTTTTAACATGACAGAGCTTTTTTTTTTCTTTAGCTAAATGCTCCATAAAATAATTTCAAAATTTCAATATTTTAACTATCCAGTTCATAGCTAATGATTACAATTAAGAAAAGATATTGAGATGAAAGGAAATAAAATTTTAAATGGAATTATAGCATATCGATGGTAAAGAAAAGGGAGAAGGGCGCAGATATGGTACCTTTGGGTAGTTTATTGATAACTGATAAGAAAGCACTGCGCACAAAGTACGACTCCCTTTTTCTTGCTTGTTATGGTTCAAATAACGTCATTAGTATCGCATTGTCATTTTTTATTTTGTTATTTTTATGAATATTCGATTGCTTCAAATATTTCCATGTTTTAGTATTTTATCTTTTTGACACTTTCATATTCAGTCAATTTGATTTATTAATTGATAAATCAATTTTTTTGCTTTTAGAGTCATGGGTGAAGCTGTACATACATCGCCCACAATTGGAAGCAACGTTGAAGAAGTAACATGGCGAAATATACATTTTATAATTTGGGATATTGGTGGACAGGAAAGTTTGCGTAGTTCTTGGTCGTCTTATTATGTTCATACACATTTTGTTATTGTTGTTATCGACAGCTGTGATATTAATCGACTCGATGTTATAAAACAGCAATTGTTTATGATGCTTGCTCATGAAGTATGCTTTTTAAGTTAATTGATCTCATGAATGGGATACCATTCGCTAAAATTTATTGTTATATAATTAGTCGCATGAATGCATAAGGCCTTTATGCATGTAGACAAACGAAAGAATTAGTAAAGGATATCTGAAATGTTCTGGAGCTCGATTTTGGTATCAAATATCAGCAAATAGAAACTTAAGATATAAACCATATTTTTATTATTTGTAATCAAACAAGCAAAATATTATAGTGAATTATATCTATTATAGTGAACAAAACTGGTGCGTCGGTGGCTTAGTGACAAGGTGAATGCCATTGAGAATGGCTTGGCTTTGGCCGTCGCACCATGCTTAGTCGGACAGCAATATCGCTGAACGGCGAAAGCAAAGGGAGATAGTGACTCGGTGGGTTGTTGCTTCAATTTGGAGCGCTAATGCTGAGGATATGCGTCTGGCAGGAGTAAGTCTATCATTTAAAAACCTGGGTGATGATGATCCACCTGTACTTTTAGCGTCAAATAACTAAATGGTCTGGTGCAACAAGCCAGCGGAGCGAATTTAGCCAGCAGTGGTTAGCGCTTTAAGAAAAAATTGTGAATAAAACTGAATAGTAGTAATGAAGAAAATGAAACTAAATAGTGAATAGTGAAGCAAATGGGCAATATTACCTTGGAGTGATTTTTATAAATTAATATTGGCAAAAGTTGTATTTCTGAATTTTATCTTTTTTTGATTGTAATTTTTTAAAGGACCTTGCGAAAGCAGCGATATTAATCCTGGCAAATAAGCAAGACATGAAAGGGGCTCTATCGGCAGCACAAATTTCTTCTGAAATGAATTTAAGTTCGATAAAAAGTCATCGGTGGCAAATTCAAGCTTGTTGTGCGCTAACTGGTGAAGGTATTGATAAAGGTTTTGAATGGATTGCATCAAATATTCCCTAATACTTTTAGTTTTTATTATATTTATATGGTATAGGTGAAATCGACAATAATGAATTTTTCAAAATATAAAAATAATCTTCCATATTAAAAGTAGTTCATTTCCTTTTGTAGCAAATATTAAAATTTTTAATTTTAAAATGGAGTCAAAATGAATATTGTCGTCTTTATGAGAAATACCTTTGTCATACAATACCTCACAAATGGTACTTCATACTTTTTTTATCTTCAATTGGAAGCCTTTTTTACTAATTCTGAAGAATTTCGTATTAACGCTGGTGTGCAATGCGTCATCTTTATTTAGTCAAAATTTGCCAATTATGAAATTATATCGATCAATTTCAATAGATATCCTTGCATCTATCTATAATGTTATAAATCTTTCTTATTAATAATTCTTAATAAGTTTATGGCCACATTCTATATCTAATCTTTCAATTCGTTTCCTATTTTGTAAGATAGGCTAGGCATTATTACGTGAACGTCGCTGTCCCTTGTTTGTGAAAGAATAATCGAGCCATCACAGATGAGGACAAAAGAAAGATTGTGAGCGCTGAGTGTGATTAAATAATCATCACAAAATATCACGTGAAGGGCTAAGAAAAAAAGAGGAAGAAGGACGAGAGGAGAGGAAATAACAGCGGGCAATTAATATATAACGCTGTATCCGATGTATTCGTGGTGTATCCGATAGGTTATTATTAATTATTATGCAATCTTTTTTATTCGTTGCTGATAAAAAGAAATTAATTCATTAATTTATTTATAATTTTTGTAAATTTTATTATTTTCTTTGTCGCCTTTACTTACGTTTCATTCAGTATTATTGTTCTTTTCTATTTTTGTGGATTTTGGATTGCTCATTTAAAGTGTACGATGTTGTGTATTTCCTACTTACGATATATAAACTTATGATGTATAAAAAAATAAATGGATTTCAGAAATTTGTAAAGATATCATTCTACAGCGAAAGCTTTAATGTTCTTCGTATGAGGGAGTAGTTTTATGAATTTTCCAGACAAAGAGAATACTTGATACTTTGGGTGGTGCTACGTTCGGTGCTGGCCACGCAATCGAAAAATGCGAGCGTGTTAGCGCGAGAGGTACCGTAGGTGTCTCCACTCAGGGTGTGAGATTCAAAGTTTCCATCCACATCTTGAACTGCATGTGATCATAATTGTCATCAAATGAATGGGTCTTGTCATCAAGCTGATGCCCAGCTGTTTTTTAATCGCAGCGGTAAGGATTATGCTGAAAGCTAGTATAGACTGCAGCGAAAATGTCTGCGAGCAGCGTCACTTGAAAAACGGCTGCAGGAAACGGTGGGCCGCGATTTTTTGCGCTCCGCCATCGAAACGCTTTTTCATTATATTTTTCAAAAATTTGATGAATCGACTGGTCTGAAATTTTAATTGAATGGGCGAAGGGAATCTTTTAATTTTTGGAAAAGTTAAGGTTTTTTTAGGAAAAGTAGAAAAAATTGAGGAATTGATTTGTTTAAGGAAAAAATTGAAAAAAGGGTATTTTGCGCAAAATTTGCATTCAAAAAATTTGTTGGTTGGAAACGAGCGAAATTCCATAAGTTCGTTTCTCTCATCGATGACTTTTCCTATCGTTTTTCTTTTATTTGGTTTGCTTTTTATATTTTATAGTTTTAGTTTAACTAGTTTTTCCTTTCGAGCAACCAACAATTTCGATTTTGTTTTTTCTTTTGCTGTGACCGACCGTATTTGGAGGAAATTTTTTTGCGTTTTCAGCAGCAAACATTGAATTGATCGATTCAGTTCAGTTGATTTTTTGCGGAGTAAAATTTTATCAGAAAGCGTTGCAGATGAGTGATTGGCTGCATTGCAATAATTGCTTTCATTTGCCGGGACAAAAGAACGAGAATCTTCCATTTTTCTTCACGTCTTGCGGACATCTGATTTGTCGCAAATGTCTTTCGACAACAGGTTTTCATTACTTTCGGAAAGATTACTTTAAGAGGCCTTTCTCAGCTGAAGCGACTTGCTCTTTTCTCTCCTCGTCGTTATTTCCGTGGCTGTAGCAGTAAATTGCAGAACCCGGCGCTCATAACTAATCGCCTTGAATATTTTCACCCATTAGGCAATTAGGCGAATTGGCCAAATGTCTGTCAAAGTTAATTCTGCATTTTAAGCATCAGTCGGTGTTTGTCGTATTTGTCAAAAAAGGGCATCCATTATTGAAATAAATCGAAATCTTCGAGCCGATCTTCAGATGTATTTTCGAAATCCAAAAGATCTTCTAGAGCAATACGTAAAAAATCTTAATGTAGTGCTTGAGTTTCAAGGTGGACATCGAAACCGACTTGCGAAAGCACTTCAAGAACAAGTAGGTAATTTTTTACTAATTCAGATAGGCGTTCTATAGTCATAGTCTTCCGACAGTTTTTTTTCCTGCAAATGCAGAGCTTGATCAGCTCTGAAGATAAAAATCCATCAAAGTCGTTGCATATCAGATTGATAATAAATTTTTTGCAAAAAATTATTGTTTAATTCAATATTTTTGTGTTATTATAGTGATTAATGGTTGAAGAATATTAATATTCAGAATATTAATGTTAATGAATATTAATTAATATTTTAATTTTTTGTTTTTTTAGTGGAAGTTTGGTTCTTTTGATTAATGTTTTGGTTTATTTCAGCAAAAAAAAGCAATAAAATTCGTGATGGCATCTCAAGTTGCGCTTAAAAAGAAATCGGAAAATGAAAAGTTAGTATTATATTTTCTGAAGGGGAAAGTTCGGAATTTTTTTCGACAGGTTTTGTTTTTTACTTTTTTCTTCGCTTTTTTCCCGATGTTATAAAATTATTAAGGAAAATGATCGCGGAAAAGGATTCACTATTAAAAGAAATAGAGAAATTACGACATCATTGTCAAAAATTGGAAAATGTGTAAGTTATTCAATCAAGATCAAGTGGGAAGCACTTTCTTTTTTTTTCTATTTCTTTCTAGATTGGTATTAAAATAAGAATCCTTCATTGTTTGCACCATTCGTGGTTAAGCAGGCCCCACTGGTCATAAGAGTAAAGCATTTGCTTAATCCAGTATAATACCTAAGAGTAATAAATCATTTTTTTCAAAGTCCATATATCATTTGGTCGCCTGTATGTACGCTCTTTTGACTGAATTCAGTCCAGATTTTGATTAGTTCTCCTCGATTTTGGTACCATTCATCACAATGCTTAGCCAGTATTCAAGTGCATCGGTTTCTGCGGTAGGCTGCGAGTAAGACTTAATCAATGTATGCGATCTGTGGCTAATAATATTGTTAATGCAGATCATATTTAAGCGTACATGGTTATAATCATCTAATTTTATCCACTCAGTAAGCGCTTAAAATGCATACATAATTATTCAAAGATAAATAGCTTCTATTTTCATTGACCATATTTCAGTGACCATAGTTATGATCAAAATTATACGCAACATCACCCGGATTTTTAGACAGGTTACTCATGAACTTCAGCGGTCGGAATTAATCCATCTGAGCCATTCTATAGCAATTGCAGCCATATAAATATGAATAATGGTTTTGATAGTTCACGCGATTCCTCAGAGTATTCTGCAATTTCGCTTTTGGCCATTTTTATTAGAGTGGATCGAAGATTCTAAAAGTCTGCCACTTTCTCACTCCATGGTAATTTGTCAAAAACATTTTATCGGCGTATCTGGCATATAAGACATATAAGACAAAAGGACTTTCATCTTATTTATTGACTGATTCTGAGTCCAAGTTTTACAGTTTTTGTCGATACACTGTCTCGTATCTCTTCCAGTTGTCAATAAAAAGGATTACTTAATAATGCCTGACTGGATTGACTTTTACACCTCTTGGCAAGCGATATCCATAACACAATCGATCGCGTAGTTGAAAATTGTAGGGGAAAGGACGCAGTCCTTTCTCCTGATAAAATCAATTCTTATTTCCAAAGGATCTGTCGATTTTCATATATATATTGTTAAGATAATACTTATATTAATAATACTTTTTTGAGTCATATGATCTCAGTACCGTCGTTCTCTCATTCTCCAGAGCAATGTTGTTTCAGTTGGAAGCAAAATCGATGGAAAATGTAGTAGTGGGTTAACAATATTGAAGCTCTATTCCAGCACTATTCTTAGCGTGAATATTAGTATTTATTCAGCACATCCACGTAGATCTGAATTCATCTTCATTGAATTGTAATCACGATCTACCTTAAGTCAATTTAGCAGAACTACATCTTATGGATTCTTTCTTTATAGCTGTCCTGTCGCTTCTTGGAGATTGGGGGGGGGGGTAGAATTTGCTCCATTATTTTAATATTAGTTCGTTTTTCTATACCAAAGAATATATCTGTTGAAGGTGAATTTTTAAGAACATTTGAAGATCTAAGCTCGAAGATCATTTTCTTTGAGTACTTTATTGCCCTTAAGATTCCGAATTATTGAGATTATTTTGGTTGTTCAGAGTTACAAACATATGGCTCAAATTTTTAAGCTTATGTTCGACAGTAACAGACAGTAGTTTAGTCTCAAAGAATTTCCTTCATACATGGTGGTCTTCGAGAGTCTTAACAGACGCTTTACCGTTATCTCGGTACATTTCACTGAGTATCCCTGAGTTTTTAGCTAAAATTCCGCATAGAACCTTTCTTTGTCGCGGTCATTTGCGCACAAACTAGAATCATACAGAATGATGTGGTGATCCGAAATGGTGCTGAATTTTCCTTTAATGGATATTATTAAACGACTATACAGTCGTTAAACGATTTCAACAGTTTGAGTGTATCTTTCAAACATGACAATAGCCATTTTGTTCCGAATTATCTGAAGTGTCACAATGAAACAGTCAGTGTCTATTTTCCGAGCCAGGTATGATAATTGCAAAAAACCCGAAAAGAGAAGACGAATTTTCGACGAATCGATCAAAATATGTATGGTTATCGCCTGGCTGCCGGTATTCATTTATTCTGTTATTCCATATTGTTAACGCCAAGACCTTGCCGCGTATGCATGCAATTGAAAATTGTTCGTGTCTTTCAACAAGTCGTGTGTCGAGAATTGCTGTACCTAGGTTCAGATTGTATACTTATCGCATTTCCCATTCGGATGAAGGTATCATGCCAATTAGAGGATATGAAGTGAGGAAGGTGAACTTTTGATAAGTAGATGATGTCTACACGATATTTGCGTAAAATTTGGATTTGGGCAGTCTGGCTGTCGACGTGACGTTCATACTGATACGGTCAGGATCTTAACGCTTTTACATGGCTAATAGATAGTTATTCATCTTCATTAACTAATTTTAAACATTTATTCTCAATGAAGAACACTTATCCTTCTACTGCCAAATCTAGGAATCATTTTACCAGATTCTATTTGTATACCTATCGCTAGTACTGCCAAGTTAGTATCATAAATATTGAAAAACGTGCGTCCCTTTCACCATAGTTACTTGGGGATAAGAGGATCTCCAGTAGCAGTCGGATTTTGAATTTCACAATAGGTTTGTTAAAGATAGTAGAAGTTAAAAATTAAAAATATAATGAAAAAATGAAAAGAAAAAGGTAATATGAAACTTTTAAATTTTTTTTTTGATATTTTTCAAATTGTACTAATATTTTAAAATTGATAATTGGAAAATTGGAATTTAAAAATCGCATGGAAAAATCTTTGTAAAAAACATGCGTATTAAGAATTTTTGTTATTAGTAAGTTAGTCAAAAATTTAGGTTATCTAGTCGGCATGAGCGAAATCGTACTCCAGGTTCTACAAAACGAACTCCCAGCTCTACCAGAAGCATTGGAGGTATTGTTTAGTTACTGAAGAAAAAAAAAAATTTTTTTTATTTTCGTATTTATTTTCCTCATATCTTTTCTGCAAGCGGCTGCATCGCAAATTTTTTGAAATGAAAAATTTTTTCCAGGCTCCACAGAGCGCGGGAGTTTTGCATTTATCGCCACAAGTACTCCTATCAGCGATTGTGCCGGGACAGTAAGTTTCTGAAATTTTAAACCATATCCAAGAATCTTTATAAATGCCACATATGTTGGAAAAACGATCATGAATTGAAAGATTTATTAAAAAAATGCGGTAAATGAAATAGTTATTTAATAGGTTCGAAGTAAAAGCGAATATATTCAAGGCGAATAGTTAATAATAAAAAATAAATAATAATAAAAATAAATAAATAATAAATAATAAAAAAGGGTGGTGAAGCAAGGCGAAGGCGATTCTTGTTGTTGCCAATCCAACACTGATCCAGTTCTCCTTTGCTAATCTGGTTCTTCCAAAACATTGGTAGATTAAAAATCACATAAAAATTAATTTATTTATTTTTTTATTTATTTATTTATTCAAAAGAAAATTTTTTCATGGTTGTCTTTTTTGATATGCAATAAGATGGCTTCACAAAGTAGCTAATACATGAACAAACAAAGAAGAAAAACAGTTTTGTGTTTTGTGCGATTTGCATATTGTTGACTGCTTATGATGTGGAAAGTTTTGATAAAATCTTGTTTTTTCTTTTTTTGAAATTTAAAAACTTTATGAATTCTTACCGTATTAATATTATTTTATTTCTTCCCTTCGGTTGTTTCCGACTACATATAAATTTTGTTTTCCTTGAATATGAGTATAATTTCTTTAGTGTAATGGTGCGCAACCAACTCATAGTTCTTCTGTTTCACGGTTAGCCTCAGTCTTTGCTGGTGACGCAGTAGAGCCAAGTCCAATTCCAGTGGATGGGATACTAACAACACCTGATATGCTTGGAATTAAGAAAACCGCAGATAGGTCAGTTGTTCGGGATTTTTTAAATTGTTTCCATAGTGTTGCAATTTAATCATGGTTTATTTAACGGTTTCTTCGCATAATCGTAGAAATTATTAAAATCTGCAATTTCTTTGCTAATTAATTCATAGGAATAGGAATCTTTTCACCTTCCAATATTTTTGTAGTTCCAGCTTTCCATGGAATTTCAATGACGAGGCGATGAGAAATTTAATAATTTTTAATAATTTCCATCATGGAGCTAATACAAGAATTATGAAAATATCAAACAGAAACAGAAATTTTGAAATTTCTTTGGATTTCCAATATTTCCAACCATATTTACTTATTTTTCACCAAGTTAAACCCATGCATGAATAATCTGAATAATTTTTATTATTTGGTCTAATTTGTCGCATGAATAACCTAATTTCGAATTTCGATGCAGTTTCAACCATCTGATTGGTGTGGGATAATAATATTAAGGCTTTGATCTGGTTTTTTATTTTCATAATTTTCTGGTTGTTCATTTAAAAAAAAACAGATTCTGTACTTCAGGTTTTCGTCTCATTACAAGCGAAGCACAACTATACAGTGTTCCGATCCTTTCAAATTTCGTTGAGTGGATTGATTCCATGAATACTTTTTTGATGAATTTTTTTTAAATCATTCGTATCACTCTGAATATTATTATTGAGTGCACTATTTAGTTGTAATGATTAATTAATAATTGGTAATGATTAATTATTTTCAATGCCATTAGATTAGAAGTATTTAGGGTAATAATTTATGGTATTATGGATATAAAAACATCACTTTTCTACACAGATTTATATTTATATGTTCATTTTACCGGTTGTGGCCAATTTTTTTGGTGTAAAACAATATTTTACGATTATTTTTCCAATGATTTCAATTTTTCCAATACTATTCGATATTATTTTTACCTAATTTTCTATTATTTTTTAAAATGGATTCATTTGATCATTTTTTCGCTTAGTTTATATGAATATTTATAAATAACATTTGTAATCATATATTACATCATTTTTGGTAATTTCGTAAATGAAGTGGTGAAAGGATTTATCAATCTTGCATTTCCTTGTAGTATCAAAAAATGAACTTTAAGCTTCCATTATAAATAATTTTTCTAAAACATAAATAAAAGTTTTTCTTATTCTTCTATAGCTCTCACCATTACTGTTTAAGCTGGCTCTGCTGGCTACACCAAACTGTTCGGTGTACATCAGTGCAGGTCTTGGTTGGTTCATCTCGCTTTTAGCGCCATCCGTCACAGATTTTAGCAGCTAACGAAATATCCTTGTAGTGGGCGACGAAGAACAGCGAAGGCAACGCTTTGTGGAGATACTATTAATGCAAATGGTTTGAGCGAAGATGTATGTGATCATGTGCGATTTTATCAATCGATTCGTAAAATGTTTCTCAACTCAAATGTTTCGCTTCTTTCTCAACGATGGCTTCTTAATATTTTCCACTCTCATTATCCACGTCTTAGAGCCACAAGATCGAACGAATCGCGCCTATATATATGCGGAATTTCGTCTTTATGGTGATGACGACGGATTCATTAAGGTTCCGGAAGAATATCTGCGGTGATCCAAATTGTAATATTAAGACGAAATTCTTAATATTGCCTGCCATTTGTAAAGTGGATCTATTTAAATCGGGCACTTCCTCAACCGGCAATGAATTTATAAAAAGAGGCATTTTCAGCTTCTTGCATATAAGAGAAAAGACTTTCTTTTTGTTTACATTGATCCTAAGTCCGATTCTTGCTGCAGTTTCTGACACATTATTTAGAATTAATTGCATTTCGTTATAACTGTCAGCAAAAAGGACTACATTATCAGCGTATTCAAGATCTGTGATACGATGCTCTGGACTGATTTGGACACCCCTTGAATGTCGACAATCGGTGTCCATTACCAACCATGTCTACCGCCTAATTGAATATTGTAAGAGAAAGGACGCAGCCTTGATGGACATCAATTCTTAATTCAAAGGAGTCTGTCGCCTTCATGAGTAGAATGATCTCTGGAACAACGTCACGTTCCATCACTCTCCAAAGTGCCGCTCTATCTATTGAACCGAAGGTAGCAGTTGCAAAGTCGATGAAACAGGGGACAGTGGGTTGCTGAAGCGATGATTTAACACCCTTTTTGATATGAATATCTGGTCAGCACAACCGCGCCCTGCTTTGAATCCAGCTTGATTACATATTTTGCTATCTTGTATTGTTATTTAGCAGAACGGAAGCGAAAATTTATCCGGAAATGTTTAGCACGCTGTAGGCTGCTTCTTCCATAATTTTCACTGGAGATTTTACCGTCGAAATTCTCGATTCTCTTTAAAAAAAATTGTTGAAAAATAATGGAGATCCTTTGCGATATAATTAAATGAAGTCATCCGATTGGATTTTTTTATCGTATAATAAATTATAATTATAATGGTAAGATATTTGTGTGAGACAATACTTATATCCAGGAAAGACAATAATGTTATGGATGCGTAATGGAAATTATTGCGACATTTTGAATAATTTGTCGAGGATAACAAATAGCTGGTTTAAAATTTGCTAAATATTTATACTTGATTTTTGAACCTTTTGCATTAAATTCGTAAAGCTAATTTTTAAAAAATTTTATTTTTCTTATTACAAGGTTTTTTATTGTTTATATTTGATAGGAACAAATAAAAGATGAAAATAATATGAACTTTATTCTCATTAAATCAATTTCATTTCTAATTTAACTGATTTCTGCAAAATTAAAATTGATTTTTTTGGAATTATCATGCATTTAATTTGTAAAATATTTTAAGAATAGAGATAAAGAATAGAGAAAATGGAGTTGTAATTTGAATCTAGAAGTACTGGAAATGCCTCACCCTTAGCCAGCAGACCCATACGGAATTAACGGTGCGAACTGTTGGAAAACGAAAGGAAAATTAGAGATCTTGAAAAAATTTTGGAAAATTTTATTCTACACATCATATAATAAATACTAAGGTTAAAACCAACGGAAATATAAGGAAAAGGAGAAAAATTTCTTCCCATTTTTTTTCAAGGAATACAAAAGTGTAAGGCAGAACAAAAACCACGTTAACTACCATAAAATTATTAATATTATCAAAATAGATTTGAATTGTGACTGTGAATTTTTAGAAACACTGAAAAAATTTTTCTTAAATTTCAAATAAAAGATCCATTAAAATTTGGTATATCGAATTGTTAACCAGTTTTTTCTAGATGAATCGCTTTTTAATACTTTTGTACGTCTTTCCATCCTTTAGTAAAAGGATCTCATTTCAGTAATCAGCTAAAAGAGAAATGATTAACATAATTAGAAAGTTTACGTATTCTTTTAAATCAATTTTTGATATTTCTATCATTTATATGAACAGAAATAAATATTTGAATCGAAAACTGTGGAAGTTGCGGAATCAACTATTTATTTCTTTATTTCATATGTTTTTCAACAGAATTAAGCCATTAAATAAATATTATAATAAATACTGCTAGTACGAAACAAAAAAAATTACAAGTCATTTGTAAACTCATCCTCACTAGATGAATTTAGTAATTTTAGGTGATAGCGAAACTGTTGAGCAGTATTTAATGCTTTGTTTAATGAAAATAAAAGGTCCACAAGATATGGTAACTGACATTCAGACTGGATTACGCTCAAATTTTGCATTCCTGGAATTTTTTTATAATTTCAGAACTCGAAACATTCAATCAGACCTGGAAATTAATCAACAGCAAATTGGCCTCTGACTATGAAAATAATGTTATTCCATATTTCACTGAATAGAAATATTAATTAATAAAAAAAAGATTAATAAATTAATAAAAACGATACTTTAAAGAGATTTACTTGACCCAGCGACAAATAACGTTAAGGATGATGCATCAAGCAAATTTAAATTTAATTTAAGCAAATTTCTGTTAAGAAAATTCAACAACAATGGAAAAAGATGGAAAATTAAGGGAAAAAAGATGATATTTAAAGAAAAAATAATTTTAAAAATTACCATTAGCTTTAAAAGAAGTATAATAAGCTGCACAAATCAATCGTGTAGATCCAATATAATATGAGAATACAAGATCGGGAGGTAATGGCGGAATAAAACACCGATTCGGAGGAAAATTACATAGTTCGAGCAAAGTACGTTTGCGCGGCAAATACAAAGTTGATCGAGCAAGATTAATCAATTTATTAATCTGAAAAAACCATAAATAAATAACATTATTGACTTATATAATATAACTAGAACACTGATCGTCCAACTGGCTTCTATGAACCTACTGTAGGTCCATGGAGACTCTTAGGAAATAAATTAGAGTTTCAACGGTTTCATTTTTGTATTTTTTAAGGCAAATAAAGAAATCTGAAGGGATAAAAGATTTAAAAAAAATTGTAGCAATAGGAATCAATGGATTTTTATGACATTATCTAAGGGATTCGTGGAAAAAAGTTCGAAAGCCACTGGTCTGAAACTAATAATTAAAAAATTATTAATAAAACATGAGAACATGAGAAACAAGTAGAATCAAAAACACACGTCTGATACAAGTGATAATATACAGGCGTTCTGCGGAATATTACTTTCATCTAATTTTTTCAAACACTCCTTCGCCTGCAAACATATTTGCTTCTCAAAATTATATAAAAATTGGAAATACTGATTAATTAATAAAAATATTTTTCGGAAATTTACACGTGAAAACATTGCTCTAAAGAAAATTTTCTAAACTATCAGGCAATTATAAAAGCCAGATTTTATTTTTGCTCCTGTTATTCATATTCGTTATTTATGTATTTTTCTGAAAGTGCAGCTCCACGTCGAATTTAATTTTAATAATGACAAGTTTACTGCTGTCAAGGGACTGAACCCATAACATAAGTTGATCCTAACCTAAGAAAGATACTTGGATACTGCTTGGCCATCGAGCCCCTATCTATTTCTCATTTATAATTTTCCAACTTTTTTCATTCCGAAAGACATGAATTGATTCCGTTTTATTCTGGAAATTTAACTATTTTTTTCTGTTTCCTTTTTTTAAACAATAATTATTAATATGATAATATAATTTTTATTATTTAATAATTCCTAACTCAAATCTGACACAACTGTTTAACTGTTTTTACCATTCTTGAAGTCGAAAACCATAATAAAAAAAAATGGCACTTATTAGATCAAACAACAATAGAAAATGTAAAGTAATATTGCAAAATACATATAATAAAAATTTAATACCCTTTTCTTACGTTTAATGTTTATGCGCTAATGCGCTAATAAAATGATAAAAATATGTATTTTGTAACATTGCTTTACATTTTACTAATATTATTAATTATTACTAATATTATTATCTAATATTACTTTAATAATAGCATTTAAAGCCTTGACGCAGTAATTACCAACATCTAGTAATTGTTGCAATTTCCAGTGAATATCTGGCTGAGCAGAAGATTTGTATATGCCTCCAGGCATTTTTGGATATTTTAAAACAACCTTAACAAAAAATACGAGAATAGTGCAGAAATAAATTTTTTTCAAATAAAAATTAAGATAAATAAATAAAAATAGCAAAAAAATAATCAAGAAACCAAACTATTAAGCTGAAAATAAATTTTAAGAACTAACTTCAGTCTGAAGAATATTTTCAGCGAGTAAAGTAACAGAGACTCGTAATACATCCTGTCCATTCTTCTGTGAAAGTTGGATTTTTTCCGGTAATGCTTTTGAGGTAATTTCTGATGAATTAAGTTTATTCGATGAATGCAACTGATTGCAACATGCTTTTATGATCAGTTCTAGCTTAAATTTATTCAATAAATTTTTATTTAGAAATTTCATGCAACTATAAAAAGTCTTGAATTGCAAAAAAATTAAAACAAATTACGGTCCATTTTTAAATATATGATGAATCTGAGCGAAGCCTTTCGGTTAAATGTTTATAGATCTTCTGATATTGCCAAAGAAAAAAAAAGGAAAATAAGACGAAAAAAGCTGAATCAGGCGAAAAGATTGAGATTTTAATTGGGGTTGGAGCACTGAAATATTGGAAAAAAGAACAAGCCTTTCCAAATAAAAATTATATTTTATATGAGTAAAGGGAAATCATGTTTTTTTAGCTGATGTGAAATCAAGCGCTGTAACTGGTATCTTCAACTAAACTCATAATTGCTTATTCCATAACTCCCTGGTAACTGGTAAAAGTAGTGAGAATTGAGGAAATATTAAAATATATTAAATAATCTGAATAAATAAAATAAAATATTAAAATAAAGAAAAATAAAAAATAATTAAATAAAATAACCTCAACAAGAAACCGACTACCAAAATTTCGTTGAAACCAAATATTTTCGTTAATAATTAATTGTTTTCGAACTGCTGCTTCGTCACTGCAACCAACATCTTCGTTAATTCGACTATCATTTTCAGTCATTATTATCTGCAAAACTAACTTCATCACTTGTTTATTTACCAACTTATCAGCACAAACTGGACTTCAAAAATTTTGGCGAATAAAAAAAAGAAATTCCTCTTCTCTTCGACTTTCTTTTCTTTTTGATTGTTTTTGATACCTTCTCCTCGTTATCAGACAGCTTTGAACGTATGCGATGATATATAATATACTTGTCATGCATGCTCTTTCCTTTTCCCGCTTCGATGTGTTCTTCCTCTCTTAGTCGGCAAGCTGCATTTTTCATGTCGTATAATATTTTGAAACTCTCGCATCGCATCTCCACAGAATAGCTTTTCCTTCATAGCGCTCGCGCAATTCATTCACCAATAGAAGAATGTGCCGCCAGATGTCAGACAAGAAGGAAGCTTTCTCATATATTTACAATATTCTTAATATTAAAAATAAATATTTCGTTACTTACTAAACCGTGTGATGGGTGACGTCAAAAGCGAGATGGGCCAATCAAAACGTGGACTGACACGGTGAGAAAAGATTTTGAACGTACAAGTGGACCAGCAATATGTGGACTTAGACGATGGAAAAAGCAATGGCTTCCATTACTGTCGATGATGGCATCAGACCGCGCCGCTTGGAAGCGTCTCACCCTTGTAGCCGTTGGAGCCAGCCTAACCAGTAATGGTGAAAGAAGAAGGTTCTTAATATTAAAGAACATTTGAGAATTTTCCATTTTTCAAAATTTTAATTTTGGCTTTTCAATTTTTATTCTGTTTTAAATTCTTTCATTCGATATTTTAATTTCATTGGATTTCATCCCTTTTAAAAAATTTAAAAATCTAAATTATTCTCTATAAACATTAAACAATTAAATTAAATAAGCGAAATGTTTCGAAAATATTTATTTAAAAATGAAAAAATAAAAAAAACACCAGAAAAAGGATTTTGTGCAAAAGTTTCGAGCTTCTAAGAAGTTTCAATCCCAAAAACCGCAAAAGCAAAAAGGAAAAAAAGGAGGAATTTTAGCAATAATAATGAATTCATCAAAAAGAACCGAAATTTAAGCGCGGAAAAATAAAAAATTTTTTCGTTGCTGCCATGTTCGAGTTGGCCATGGCCATTATTTCTCCATTCGCCGCTAAAATGCAGACTTATTCGTCCAAAATTTTCGTTAAAGTATTTATTTATCAGAAGCTGTAAAATAGTAACTGAGGTGCTAAGAAAGCAATATTCGTGCAATCTCGCTGGTGCTTGTTTTGCGCGGAAGGAAGGTGCTTTGCAGGTTTTTTGAGATGCGCATTTTTGCCTCGAAATTATATTTTATCTTTTTTATTTAAGATTGATTTGGTTTTAGGAATTATTAAAAGATTTTCACCTTTAAATTTTATCCAAATTGTTTCGTTCTGGAAAAATAGTTATTATAGTTAAAAAAATTAGCTAATTTACGAAATTAAGAAAAATATTGGATCTCGATTTCGAGAAAAAATAAGAAGTCACTGTAGGAATCTAATGAAAGTCAATGGATTCTTTTGAGAATTCGGTACAAATCTGTGTATTCTTTTGAGAATTCGGTGCAAATCTATGGATTCTTTTGAGAATTCGGTACAAATCTGTGTATTCTTTTGAGAATTCGGTGCAAATCTGTGTATTCTTTTGAGAATTCGATGCAAATCTGTGTATTCTTTTGAGAATTCGATGCAAATCTATGGATTCTTTTGAGAATTCGGTGCAAATCTGTGGATTCTTCCGAGAAGTTGGTGGAAATATCCAGATTTCTTTGAGAAATTGATGTTTTATTTGCTATAAATTTTAGAAAAGCTATGAATTTCTTTTGTAGGTCTGGTAATAGTTTCTGATTCTTTTGAAAATATAGTGAAAACTGTGAAGATTTTCCTTGGGAGTGTGGTGAAAGTGGAAATGGTCCCTTCTGAGATTTAGAAAGCCATAAATTTATAAAATGCATGAATGAAATAAAATAAAATTATAAAATAAAATAAAATAGAATAAAATTTTGAAATGTTTATATTTTTGTACATATAAATAAAAGGTTGTGACGGAAAACACTATTTTTAATTTTAACCAAACATATAAAAATCAGTTTTGTCATAGTCGAACTTTTGCTTTGCTGTCTGTTGTAACGTTTTATCCAGTGAGATTTTTGAATATTTCAGTTACGAACTACGAACTTATGAACTTGTAAACTTATCATCTACCGGTAACTTTAATTTTAGAAAATACTTAATCTGTGAATTAGTAGCTTATACGACCATTAGAAGAACCTTTGAAGTTAAAACCTTTAAAATCCGACCCGCATATCCAATAATTTTCATTTAACCAAGAACTATTCATGTTGAACTGTGCACCATACTTACTTCTCCTCTCTTTGCTTTGATCTTTTTCTTTTTTTTAATATTTTTACCTTATTCGTGAAATCATAACGAGTTGATAGTCTTTGGTTAATAATTTACGTGGTTGGCTGAATTAGTTGCGTTTTTAGGAAATAGTCTCATCGATTTCCTTGCGATTCCGATGTCCTTCTTGCGCGATGTTTTTACTGTTATTTTTGGTTTATCAGACATTTCATATATTTGATTTAATGAGAATCTATGGATTCTTTTGAGAATTTGGTGAATCTGTATTAAGGTAATATTTCAGCTTATATTCCTATTCTGCTGGGATTTCCGTAGGGCTTTTTTAAAATTCTCGTAGTTTTCTGTATGGTTGCTATGGTTTTTATTTCTTTATCTTTGGATTTATGACAACCAACGATTATTTAGAGGTGAAAATGGCTAAGTCTGCATTTTGCTTTCGACTAGCTAATTCGGTCAGTGGTCTGTCTTATATGGAAAACTACTGACTGCTAGCAGTATTTCGTATCAAGCGATCTTCTTTCTTACATAAGACTGGATTAATTGCATTAACAGTACCAAAGCACTTGTCAGGTCAAAATTTCAATCATTTTCTATCACCTCATGTGAAACTGGCTTAGCAGTATATAAGAATTTAAATTCTTAATGGTGGTCCTTTATTCTTTTTTTATTCTAGTAGTATGTTTTATTTTAGTAGGTGCGCTAGAGCGAGGTCTTTCCATCAGAGGGTGCATTTTTAGCAGTCTTTTGTATTTCATTTTTATGAAAATGCAAGAAAAGAGAACGATAAACCCACTCTGTTCCATCTCAGCAGTCGGCTCAGTCGCCTTTGCCTATTTCCTTGTGTGTCTGTTCCTAAATAAAGTTCAAATAAAAAGCGAGTAAACAAATCAAAATACAATGATTTATTAGGAAAAATTATAGGAATAATAGAAGAAATAATGCGAAAGAGAAGAAAATGCAGTAAATCAACAAATTTTTAAAGAACGTTTATTCGTGCATTAAACCAAATCACCAAATTTTATAATTAAACGAAAATTTTTACAATTTTTTTTCGAAAAAAAAAGGTCATTTTATTGCATCAATTTGATTAATTAAACGTATGAGACAAGAAAGGAGGACTTAATTGGCCGAAGGGAAAGAGAATTACGCGAGATTTTTGATAGAAGCCTCGATTTACGAGAGCGAAAGGTGCTATAAGAAAAGCTGTTGTCGAAGGGTGTGGCTGGGTATGGGTTTGTGTTTTTTTACCATAGTTATTTTTATGTTCGAATAGTTTGAGAAATGTCGTTTGAAAGACGATTGATGGTGGAAAAACAAGGTTGAAAATTTTCTTTCTTTTTTCTTGCTTTTTTATCTCAAAACGATTCTTGATTTTCAATTTTTCTTGTCCTTTTTATCGTTTCATTCCTTTCTTATATTACTTATTAAATCACTTTCGATTGGGAATTATCTTTCATATTGTTCCAGTAAAAATAGTTCACATGGTATTACGTTTTTTCATTGTTATCTATTATTTCCTTAAATTTAATATTTTTTGATGATTTGTGGAAATATTGTGAAAAGTGTGGACAGCAGTTGATTTGCTGTTCATAATTGCTATTCACAGTTCTTGGCAGTGACAAGATAAATCCTCTAATAATCTGGAAACAGGCAGATCGTATATTTGTAATTTTTAATAAAATTTTAGAGGGCAAATCGATGTTTTATGGGGTTCGAACGGGTTTGCCGCTAGCCATCGGCCTAATCATTGGTGTTTTGTTATCGTTATCCGTGTTAAATATCGATGATGATTTGGTTTTGTTAACGACGACAAAATGTTCTCTGGCAAGCTTACAATCACCATCATTATCGCTTGAAGATGAATTATCTTCAGAACATTGGGAAGTGATTGTCAAAAAGTTGACACCAATATCGAATAATATGCAACAACAATCAACTAAGGTTAGAGATAATTTTTATTTCTAGCGGCAGGAAATCATTTTCCATTAATTCTTTTGACTTTGGGCGATTTTTTTTAAATAAATATAATTTAAAAAACAAATTAAAAGTAGCATTCACACTGGTATATATCTAGAAAATTATTTTCACTGATCATCCATAGAAAATTGTTAAATTTGATTTTATAAAACTTTTTTTTCCAATATGATTTAAGTTTTATTATTATCTGATGTGAAAAGATCTGATTATATTCTGTAAAAATTTTTCATGCAGAAACGAGAAATTCTTTATTTACCAAATTTTTCTTGTGCGTTAGGCGCTTTTTCAGTATAAATTTGTTAAAGAAATTTTCAGTTTGAATTTTTTAGTTTGTTCGACCTCGATTTGTGGCGTCAGAATTGGGAATTCGTGAGAAATTAATGGTCATAATATTCGGTCAATCGTCGTTAAGCTTATCATTAAATATGTCTTTAGCAAAATATGTACCTCGAGTTCATATATTTGTGGATGCAGCGCAGTTCAGCATAGATTTGTCGAACTCTCGCGATACTACTATTTATCGATCAAATGGCCAACATGCACATATTGTGATATTAAATAATATATTCAATATGGTTGGTTGATTTTTCTTTCTCGCTAATTATATTAAGAATCTATCAGTTTTGGTTCAATGACAAATGAGGAAGTGGATATTGCAATGTAAAAGATTCGAAGATGAAAAGTTAACTTCAGAGGTTAATAGAACAGATGGAAGATCTATATGACCTTGCAGATGTTTTTTATGCTGACAGGAACGTATATCCTGATCAAAAGGAAATCAAATTGTTTCACTATTTTTTTTCCTTCAAATTTATGTGATTAGATTAAAATTACCATTTATCTGAAGAAATTATAAAAAGTTTTGTTCGTCGCCATATAATTACGCAATACGCAATATTATTTTTTTTATATTGATATATTGATGTGATTGATGTGTTTTTCTCTTTTAAATTAGGGCAACTAAATTTTCGATTCGAAATATATAAATTTTTTAAATCTTTAAGTTTTTGGTTTTTGTAAAAAACTATTTCAAGGAAAAAATTGAAATATGTTATTAATTGGTATTATTAATTGCTAATTGAATTTTTACGCAGTCATTATTTATTATTCTTTTAGATTTCCTCTTTCTTTCCAAAAATTTAATGTTTAATGCAAAAAATTTCATATTAATTCCTATTAATTATTGTAAAGGGAAAGGGATTATATTTCGATGATATAGGCTAAATAAGATCAGTCCAATGGCAGTCCAATTAGAATAAAAAAATAAAGGATTTCATGAACTTTTTCTTTTTAAATTGAATTAACAATTCAGATAGGGATAAAATGGCTCAGTGGGTTGTTGCTCAATTGGGAGCGCAGATGCTGAGGTTCAATTTTCCACAAGAGTAAACCTCTATAAAAATCCGGCTGATGCTGGCGATCCCACCTGTATTTCTACCGCCAACTCCCTGGCATATTGCCCAATGCGACAAGCCAGTGGAACGAGTTTTACCAGTAATGGCGAGGTCTCTTGAAAAAAACATTTCAGATGACTGTTGAGAATTATGATTGGTTTTTGTTGTTGCCTGAAACGACCTATGTGAATCCGTTTGAATTGATGCGCTTTATAAATAGAATCAGTTGGAATAAACTTGTTGCGATTAGTGGTTATCTTAGTGGAAATGGCAATAACGACGATCATGGTTGTGTTCTGGAATCTGGAATTTTATTGTCATATCCGGCAATGAAAACAATTCTTGAGTAGTTTTTTTTTCGCTAAATAGTCATTTAGTCAGTTTAATAGTCATTGTTCATAATATTTAATATTTATACTAAGAACTGAGAATTATTATGTTCAACATTATTATTTATTATTAATTGTTTCAAAAAAAATTTTTTTTTTATTTGATTAATTAGACTATTTCTTATATTAAAAGAAAATATCAACCATTCATTCTTCGTTTGAACTTTTTGCTGATAAATTCCAATGAAAATCACTAAAAAGTTTCATTAGTACGAATTCGACGTTTTTTACGAAAAATAAAGAATAAGAAATCGGTAAAATTTTATGTTCATGACAGTTCGTATAAAATTTAAAAAAAATTTTTTCCCAGTTCACTATAAATGAAAATTTAAGGCGACGTTCTGTATGTAATTCTATAGTGATGAATTCGGATTACTCAGCTTTTGAAGAATGCATTCATCGTGCGATGAATCGTTCTTGCATCAATCGTTTCGAGGTTTTATTTCGTTTTAATTTTTTATAAGTAATTTTAGTAGAAGAAATTATATTGCATTATTCTCTGTTTTTTATTTTTGCTTTTTTTATCTATTACATGGTGGTCCATCTGCGGATGTTGCTAGCGATTCCGCTTTACTTCTATCGCCAGGGAACTCTCTGGCATATATTTGTCCAATACGACAAGCCAGAGGAGCGAGTCTAACCAGTAATGGTGAGTACTATTTTAAAAAAAATTATCTGTTTTATTTTATATAAAATGATATTTGTAGGGTCAGCAATATAATTGGTGGAAGATAGATGAAAATGCGGTAGGTGTTGGTGGTGATATATCAATTCATGATGCTATTATGTGGTGGTCTTCATCTCCGAATTTCAACAAATCGCTTAGTGTGTCTCCTTTGTTGTCAGATAGTGATGCTAACACATTGCATCAGCACTTTATAAGTGTTGAATTGGACTGTATCGACCGAGAAATTGACAAGCTAGTGACTGAAATAGAAATTTCTTCGTATGATATAGCCGATGGGCCAACGTGGCCAGCTGCTGTTTCACCTTATTCGCGACCCCTTAATAGGCATCAGGTTATTATTTATTTTTGATTGTTTTGTGTAATAATTTTTGATTTCTGATGTTACTTTTACTTGGCTTGATTAGTTGACATGATGAATAAAATATATATAATAAAAATCTCTTATTTCTTATTGGAGATAGGGGTTATCTTCAACTTTAGATCCTTTTCTGAGAAAATGAGGTTTCTGCGCAAGCTGTTAGCTGTTCCTGATAGTGCGCTCTTTTGGATAGAGATCTCTGGTATTTCCCTGGAATCCACTGAAGCCATTTTTCTAGTTTAGAGGTCACAATTTCTATTGCTTCAATTATCACTCGATTACTTGGCCTTCTTTTTCTACACTCTCTCTAGTTTCTCTTTCCTGGTTTTTCTCTGGCTTCTCATATTCTTTCCTGATATTTTTATTACTTGATATTTCTACATTTATTACCATTGTTTATTTGTCGTCCTTATTTACTACCACGATATCTAGTTGGTTAGCCAGTACTTGAATGGAGAAGTCCCACCGGATCTCCGTCTTATTATTCTCCTCAGTTTTCTTACGTGGGTTTTCCCATTTATTCTTGAGGGGGTATAAGCCATGTATTGGGTAGTTATTTCGCAGATAATGCCAGCTATTTGGTTATACATTTCAGTGGATGCTGTTCATGTTTGCATTTTATCTCCTGCCACTATGTATTGGATGTGTTTCTGGGGTATTTTTGCACAGTCTACACCTCTGCATCTTTAGGATTTATCTTGAATTCTGTCCGGTGTGGTAGATTTCAGTTTCAATGGATCTGCTTAATACGTGCTGCTATGAACATAGTGGCAGGAGATAAAATGCAAGTGCCTCATTATTGCCTTTTAATCCAGCTTTTTGAGATGGAAAGATTTCTCAATATTTAGCTATCTGTGGATGGTATATCCATGCTTCAAGTGTTCTTTCAGCTGCTCATCTTTCGGTGCATCTTGCTAACATATTCCTGATTTTGGGCTTCGCTCAGGATATGGCTTTGATACCTAACACTAGCCTTCTTTTCGGCTGGTGTAGAGTCTTTCGATATTAGATTTGGAGAAATTTCTGTGCATTTTGAGAGGTTTTCCGGTCTATACATCAGCAGCAGCTCTGGTGTTATTCCCATATCTTCCTTTATCCATCTTATTATGCCAGCTGTGTACCTGATGATGTTTTATTCTTCTCAATGCGCTGGCTCTTCAAGATTTGTCTTCTCCTTTGGTGATAATTGGATGTTGCATTTTTTATTGCCTCCTTGTCGTCGTTGCCATATGACTGAGGGATATCAAGGTACTTATACTTGGTCTATGTGTATGCTATCTATTTTGTTTCCTAATTGTTTTCACTCGATCAGTCCTAATTAGTCCTAATCCCAGTTTTCTTTTCTTGACCACATGTAGACCAACTTTCCTGTTTTTTTCTGTTGGAATGACATCCCAGCATCCTCTCTGTTGATTCGTTTATTTGATGAGTAGGTCAATATCTCGCTCGCTTTTAGCGTATAAATAGGTAGAGAAGGTGGCTGATGGTAGTTCCGCTCTTGAACTTTTATCTATATCCACTTCTTGTGATTATTTGGCAAAGGAGCTTAGATCTGAATATGCAGAACAGTAGCAGGTAACAGGAACACTGCATCATCATGGTATATGTCGGACTTGATATCCACTTGTATAATCTGTTTTGAGTTGACTTCTTCCACCATCTCACTATGTTCTTCTATCTTAAGATCCTATTGACTTTGTATAGCGCCATACGTTTACAGATGCATGGATAGAGCATTGAATTATAGGTTTTCCTTTAATCAATCCAAGATGTGCACAGTTGAGACTTTGTGCTTTACCTCTGAGTTCTGGGTTATTTCAAATGCTTTCTTAAACTCAGCTTATGTATTTTATATTCTTGTATATTCTTGTATATTCTTGAATAGCTATGATGCCTTTGATGGCTATGATGCATCATAATATTTTCCACATTCTGAAGAGGCTTGTAATAAATGTATATATATATATATATATATTTTATTTTTTCTTTGCATCATTTCTCGGATTCTATGATTTTTTGTTTGTTTTTAGTTTTAGTTTTTTTAATTTTTTGAAATTTTCAGGTTGCTAAATGGCAATATTTCACTAATGTAGAAATATTTAAAAATGAATTGGATCAAAATATGGAATTACTGTCCGGTGAAGACAAATCAGATATCTTAGAAGTTTGTAAAAAGATAATTATAATAATTATCATTCGTTTTAATTTTTGTTTTAATCATTTCGATTGTAGGTAATAGCAGCGGCGAGGGAATTTGCGGAAAGTAAATCTGGCCCAGCATTTAACCAAGAATTTTTGCAAATGCGGAATGGTTATCGTTTGTTTGATCCAGTTCGTGGAATGGATTATATTCTTGATCTAATGTACCTTGATGGAAATACAGTAGTGCACCGAATTCATCTCGTGCGACCTATTGCTCATACGAAACTTTTGAATCATGTATGTTTTTTATTGTTAATTGCTATTAGGACACTTATGGATGCTTGTCAGAAGTTCTTCACTTCTCTGTACAATCATTATACATACCTTGGAACAGGAATAGTATAACTGTGGTATTTCGGAGTATTCGGAGCAAAATGGCGTTCTATTGTCGTTCTAAATATCTATTGTCGTGTCTGGAGGAGCTCAACCCTCTCTAATTGTGTGGAAACTGGTTAACAGTTGTATGGCCCATATCGGATTCAGAAGTATTCTGCAATGGCTCGATCTGTTCCTCTATTTTATGCAAATAACCATGACAAAAATAAAATAATAAATAAATAAAATAGGTTTGACGAGGCATCACCAAAAGTTGGACAGAAAATTATAGACAGAAAATTGGAATGGGTGTGTCCTTTTGCTACCAACATATATATCTAACTTTGACGAAGAGCCATATTGAGTTCGCCTGAGAACCAATTTTCCAACCTATCAATTTCCCTATCAGTCGTTGTTGGAAGAATTTTACTAGATAATACGATAGTAATATTGGCAATAGTAATATTCATTACAGATTAGATTAGATTGAGCTTAGACAGATCATATTGAGCTATGACCCAAGATCAGCGTGAAATTGACAATGCATCCCACAAAACGATTCAGTTATATTAAGATTTGGGGATAGTATTTTAAATCAAATTATCCAAAACATCAAAAATATAAATGTTAGCGATATATGGAAGAACTAATAAATCTTGGTCCAAACTAAATAATACTCAAACTAGTTAGCAAACGGCCGAAAGAAAAAGAAAATATTCTGCTTCCTTGAGAAGCTTAAAGTCAATAGAACTGCTGGGAGATCATCTTCAAGCTAAAGTCTTCATACATTGCTCAGCATCCTTTTAAACTCTTTCGATGGTACTCTAATTCTAGACCTTAGAGATAGAATGGCTCAGTGGGTTGCTGCTAGTGGGAAGAGGGCACCGATGCTGAGGTTCGATTTCCTGTAGGAGTAAACCTGTATAAAAATCCGGTTTATGCTAGCTACTCACCTGTATTTCTATCGCCAAAGGACTTGTATATTGCCCAAGCTAGTAGAGCCAGTAATGGTGAGGACTCTTAAAAAAAATTCTAGACCTTTGCTATAGAAAAATATGATTGAATCAAAAAAATTCTGCTCCTATTCTTAAAGAGAGGTGGTATACGAGATCAAGATTGCGGGATACGCTGTAAAAAAGTTGGATTCAAACCGAAACTAGAATATTGACCAATTATTCACGCTAAGAAAGGTCTTTTTACTAGGGAAAGCATTAGAATATTATTTCAGGCAACACATTTTCACTTCATTTTTTGATTTTGTATTCTTTAATTGATACAGCGGTTTCTAAGACGTAATTACTCGACTCATAAGGCAGGATAACATCAGGTCATGTAACAGCTCATCAGGGTTAAATTCTTAAGTTCCTTTCCCTTATATTCGACGGTATTTGCGATAGATTGGATTGCGGATACGGATTCTTGCCGGTATCCAAGAAATATGTACTGAATATAGTGTTACATGTTAATAAAATTTTTGCTAGCAGCTATAAAGGTATGCAAAAGATCGTAAGCATTGTGGCAACTATAGCGAAAAATTATAATTACTATAAATAAGACGAAAATCTTTTCGTTTTTATATGTTCCTGATGCTATCAAAATTTTACTTTTAATACTTAACCATGGTTGGCCGTCACTTGTTTCATTTCTTTGTAGATGTTTTTCGATTGAATTTAATAAGTGATGAAACGCAACGGTGTTCCAGAGAAATTATTCGACTCATAAAGACATTTTATCAGCAAGTTCTGTGTGTACGGAAAATTGACAGTTTCGTTCGAAATAAGAAGTTGTGCTGCTTTTTTTTTCTATAGTATTCAACTATGCAATAGAATGGATAATGGACATCGCTTGTTAGCACTCAAGAAGTGTAAAAATCAGTCCAGAGCATCGTATTATTGAATACGGTGATGATGTAGTCATTTTTGCTGATAGTTATGAAGAAATGGGAATAATGGTAAATAATGTGTCAACAACTTCATCAAGAATCTGAATCAGGTACAATGTAAATGTAAAACGAAAGTCTTCGTCTTTATATATAAGAAGCTAATAAAATATATGTTTTATCAATTCATTCCACTTTTTATTGAGGAAGTATTAGATTTTAAATATCTCTATCCATTCTATCCCAAACAGCCAAGCGAAAAATGAAAGTTGATACTCGGATAAACTTGGCTAGAAGTGCATTCTTTGCACTGATGAAATCTTTATGAAGTCGTCGCGAAAAACGAAAATCCCCGTCTATACTGTTCGTTCGATCTTGCTATGCGAACATAGCCAGTGGCAGTGGAGGATATTAAGAATTTTACCGCTCATGCTTAAAATGTATTTACGGGTTCGCAGAGTTTCGCATTCGATACCACATGCATTAATATTACCATCACTTAGCGTCTCCTTCGCTGGTTAGATTTTGAACATATAGGCTAGCAATGGACTTAGACGATGGAAAAAGGAATTGATAAAAAGTATTACTATGAGTGATGGCATAAGATCGAGCAATTTGTAAATATCTTATCCTAGCCAGCTTTGCTAGTATTGATGAGGACTATTAGAAGAAGATGATGGTTGAAGATGGAAATGACAGATTCTTAGATCCACTCTAATAGCCAAATAGCCAAGAAAGGCGAAATTTTCGAATAACTGGAAGTTCGCCTTTATTTCTGGTGATATGCTGCAATATATATCTATGGAATCGCCACGAAATCATCATGAAAACGAAAATTCACAACTTTTGATTGTATTATATATCATTTTACTACATAGCTGCCAGATATGACCATTGAAATAGAAAATAATTTAGAAGTTATCTATCTAATGTGTATTTTGTATGATAAAATCTCATATCATTGCATTCATTTTTGCCAGAAATATTATCAGCATTAATATCGTCAATATCCTCATAGAGCGTCATCTGATTCGGTCTATTCTGCTACTTGGTAAGCAGTATGATAGATGGGATCACAAGTGAAAAGGGATAAAAACCTGGGCTGGTATAGTTAGAAAAAATTATGAAAATAACGTATTTATATATGAAGACGATGGAAAAATAAATAGCTTTTTTTGGTCTGAAAAGTGGCATCTGATCAATTGGCATCAAGAGGGGAATGGAAACACCTCTATTTTTCCCTCATAAATTAGAGGTGTTTTTTTTATTTTGTATTTTTTTTTTACTCGTGAAAGAGAGAATTTTTGGATCGGATTATATAGCTAGCTCAACTAGTAATGGTTCAACTAGTGATGGTGTCGTCTATTAAAAGAAGTTGGGGCAATAATTTTTTTCTGTTGGATTTTAGGTACCATATGTAAAAGAAGATACTGATTTGACGATTGTTATACCACTTGGTTCAAATGAAGAAGTGAGAGCTGTTCGCTATCTTCTTGCACGATTTATACGACTTTGCTCAGCTGCAGTAGATGATCCTCGTCAAACTCGTCTTGTTGTCGCTGTACGAGGAGTTAACCCCTCTGCAATTCGCCTCATCAATAATGATATTATTGAATTAAGAATACAGCAAGTTTCTTACTCTTTTTTAAGTAAATTATTTTTATCATAAATCGATGAATTTTCTTTTATAATATTAGAAATTTTTATTTTTATTAAAAATATTCAAAAATACCTGTACGTTTTATATTTATAATTAGGAAATTAGAAATGATTTTTTTGAAGATGTAAAAGTACTCAAATGGAGACGATGTTGCTCATATTAAAATCAGATAGTCATCCAGTAATAGCAGCGGCTGCGTTAGACGAAGCTGTAGGACATTTTGGTGACCAGATGATTTACCTATTATTATCACCTTATGCAGATATTCAGAGAGAATTTTTAGATCGGGTGAGGTTGAATACCGTCAAAAATTTTCAGGTTAAACTTTTTCTTAAATATTTTTATGAATATTTATGAATATAATGAATTAAAATCGTTGTTTTTTTCGTGAGCAACCACGAAAACTGGAACGAAAATGGCTTATTTCCTGTTTCCTGATATTCGATTTTGCTGATACAGATTAAACAGCAATGCATTTTGAAGCAAAAAAGTTTTGAATTAATTTAATTTAGTTAAAATTATTAACAATTATTTTACAGGTTTTCTTTCCAATTCCTTTTGTCGAATTCAATCAACAAATCGTCAGCTCGTACGAACTATTTCAACGAGCACTTAAAGATGGTTTCCATAAGAAAGATATTGCACATAATAAAGGGAAAGATAATGTGGATGGATCTCTAGTTAAGAATTCGCTAAGATTTTCGGCAATTTTACGTAATAGTCAATATAAATCGAATAGACCAGCAGTTGTGCATAAAGTAAAATTAATTTTCTTTTATTTTCGATTATTTAATTTTATTTCTCTCGAAGAGGCTAAAGAAAACGGCTAATCGTTGCTAATTCCACCGAATAGCCTATATGTTGAAATTGTTGTCTGGTATTTCTAGGATCAGGGTCATTTCGATATATCAGATTATTCGATTCTTTCAATTTATGGACTCGATTTTTTGGAGTTTCGTAAACTTCTTCCTGAGAAAGTACTACGTTTTGATCTGTCATCATTATTTCTAAATCAATCGGATATACATATTTTACGTGCAATAGAACCATCATTACGATTGCATTATCATTTTCGTTCTTGTGATATTCTTCTCCCAAAATCGGAATATTTTCGTTGTATCAATGGACGTCGCGAGAATATCGCTACGAAAGCACAATTATCGAATTTCTTTTTTAGCAGCCAAGATGTGGATGATATCATTGAGGATTCATAGCATTAAAGTATCTGTCATCTAGTCATATTTGTTGCTCATTTTATTTAGATTGTTTATACCTTGTTTTTTAAAAATTGAATTTGTTATAAAATAGTTTCCTTATAAAAGTTGCTTTTTCCTCGAAATAAGCAATCATAGCAGGCTCTTTGTAATTTTTAAAAGCCAGATTGGTTTGTTTTATATCAATAATTATTAAGAATTAAACTCTATTATTTGAAAGTTAAATATTTGAGAAATTTTTTAAAATCGAATTTTAAATTTTTATTTACCTCAAAATTAATTAATCAATTTGTTTCATATTATGTTAATAATATAATATATAACAATTATCGGTAATGTTTTAATGTATTTAATTTTCAACCAGTGATTTTCTAATCCAATTTTGTATTTTCTTGCGTATGTTTGTTAATCTAGCATAATAACAAGGAAGTAAGGTGATTATGTTAAATTATGTCGTTTCATTTTTGAAAGAATTTTTTTAAGTGGTGAAGAAATTTGATTTTCGGTATTTTTTATGTGTAGAGATTGATTTTATAGGCTAAACGGTTATTCTTTTTTGTACATGGGAGATCAAGCGATGAATTGATGTTATTTTAAATATATTTATATATATATTAACCGTGAAAGTGCCTAAGATGTTTTTTCAGTTTTCAATTTGTTTCTGTTTTCGTGATTTTTAATATTTATTTCCTAAGATGTTTTTTCAGTTTTCAAATTGTTTTCGTGATTTTTAATATTAATTATTATTTATTTGAAGCATTGAATATTATTCCATTTAACATGATAGCTATGATCATAAATGGGTTTAGAAGGCTTATAAGTGAAAAAATTTGAAGTTTTTTTTTGCGTTTTCAATACGTTTTCGTTGGTTCTAGTCTAAGTGATATTTTTCATAATGCCTTTAAACATACTATTATTTTATTGAAATTCAGATCTATTTTTAATTCCATTTCAAAATATTTGTATATTCTCCAGTCATCGTCGGGTTATAATAATTTAATCGTTCATTGTATTTTTTAATTTTTGCTATATTATCTCAATGGATTTTTTTTAGCAATATTATAGAAAATTTTGGATGTTTAAATTTGATTTATTTATTGCGGCTGATTGAAAAAGAAGTGTTGACGAATGGCTTCAAATATTTCAGTATTATTGTTAATATTTGTTGTCAACTGTTTATTTTCAATAAATTTTCGCATTTTTTGTGTTGTTATTGCTTAGAAGGAAGTTCTCTCCTTAATTTCACATTTGTTTTTAGTTTTGACAGGTATGATATGTCGTTTACCAAATTTCTGAGACTCGACTTGCCCAATGTTCTTCTTCAAACATCTCTTACTGTTATTGGTTGGTTCCAACGGCCGCGATGGTAAGACGCTTCCAAGCGTCTGATACCATCGTCGATAGTAGAAGCCATTCCTTTTTCCATCGTCTGAGTCCATATATTGCTGGTCCGCCTATACGTTCAAAATCTTTTCTCACCGTATCAGTCCAGGTCTTGGTTGGCCTAACTCGCTTTTGACGATTACACGGTTTAGCAAATAACGAAATATGCATCAACTCCTGTGGTAAAAATAGTAAAAATAATTTTAATAATAATAAAAATAAATAATTCAAATAATAATTTTATTATACATGCCCTAACTAGTGAAGGCGACGCTCTGTGATAACATTATTAATGCAAGTGGTATTTGAATGAAGATGGGATGCGATAATGTTGTCCGCTCGACGGACCTGTACCTTACGCAAGAGTGGATCAAAGGGTCCACCTCTCTTTTGACGCCATCCTTCACACAAGCAAGTAACGAAATATGTCATCTTCTGTGGTGAGCGGCGAAGAAAACCCTAACCAGCGAAGATGGCGCTCTGTGATTGCATTATTTATGCAAGTGGTATTTGAACGAAAATGGATGCGATCATATGATATCTTATCCACTCGACAGATCCGTAATATCCGTACCTTAGACAAGATTGGTCAAAGGAAGATAACTTCTTAATATCCTCCACTCTCATTGGCCATGTCTCAGAGCCATATAGATCTAACGGATCACGGCTATATAGATGCGGTCTTTCATTTTTATGGTGATTTCACGATGACTTTATAAAGTTTCGTCAACCGGAAGAACGCATTTCTAGCTGCCGTGATCCGGGTTGTAATATCGTTTTTTGCCTGGCCATTTGGTTTTAGAACCCAAGGCATTTAAAATCGCGTACTTTCTGTACCAGTAATGAATTTATAAAAAGGGGCATTTTATCAGCTTCTTGCACATAAGACGAAAAGTCTTTTCTTGCCCAATATTATTGTTTATTAAAATAGATGTATAGTGATTTGTCTGTTATCGAGTAAATATTGCGATGCAGCTTTGATTTTATATATGTACTTTTCGATTTTGAATTTTTTTAGAGAAAATTGATCTTAGTTGATGGATGAGATTAGAATATTAGTTCATTAGGAAATGGTTAAATTTTTTGTGAGGTTAAGAGGTCTAAGTCGTTTTTCTATGTCGTTTTTTTAGATCACCAGCAGTAGATTTCGTCGATGATGGAGCACTTACAGAACGCTTCATTTTATCCAACAACTTCAAGGGAACAAATGAAGTGTCTACCAGTTTATTCATCAGGTTTCTTTTTAAATTTATTTTTAATTTTATGTTATAAAATTTGATTTCATAAGATTTAATGAAAATTGCTTCAAAAATTGCTTTATGGATTTTTAATAGTTTTTTTTGATTATAATTCTGAGTCTTTATTATTATCGGTCATTAATGACGAAAACTCTCTTTGATTATATGCGATAAAATTACGCATAAATTTTTTAAAAAAATTCTAATTACAATAGAACATAAAAGCTGTTCCTGTTTTCGTTTTATACGAGTTACCTCAATTGACGGTAAAATTTTTTAAATTCAGGAAGCGGTGTAATTCCATCTTTTCTTCTCGAAGAATCAAGAGTTCCACAGTTTTATCAAAAGGCAATAAGTAGTTGTGGAGCATTAAATCCATCACAATTACCAAATACTGCACATGTTTATAATCTTATGGTTGGATCGGGTTTGCCTCGTTCAATTTTGGGAAATATTTGGTCGTTAGTTAATTGTACCTTTCCTGGTCAACTTACTCGTCAAGAATTCTTCGCTTGTTTGGCTCTTATTGCCTTAGTTCAGGTAATTATAATTTTATTATTAAAACTTACTGATAAAAATTTTAAGCTTTTTCATTTCTTTGCATGCATTGTAAATCTTTATTCTTTTTCACAGAGATGAGAAAATATCATTGATAAATCGATTAAAATGATATGATGGAATTGAATTTGAATTAAATTAAAAATTAATTTCGATTAAAAATTTTTCTTTCTCTATCAAATATCACTTTTCATGAAAAAAATTTTTTCAGAAAGGCCAAGCCTTAAGTACTCTTGCATCTGCTTCTGTTTTACCAATACCAAATTTGCAAGTGAATGTTCCTTCTTCTGCTGCTTTTTTACCATCTACTCATTCTATAATGCAACCATCTTCTTTCATCTCGCCAACAACATTTCATACGAATCCCCCATCATCTAAGCCTTCACCTACTGCAATTTACACTAATTTTGACACGCATCTATCTGCCTCTCATTTGCCTACTAATATAAGGATGCCAATCCTTACTTCTGTCGATACAAACCAAAGTTTAACACCAAATTCATCTTGCTTAATTTCACCTTTGACTTTAAATTCATTTAATGCACCAAACTGCACACCTTTAAATTTATCAGACCAATCAATTAATTTAAAAAATAATTTTTTTCAAATTGAAAATCCAATGTTTTTGCCTTCTTCAAGTAAACAAATTTCCAACCGACAATCATTTATGCCTCCCTTATCTACCAATTCAAAAAATGATCAAAAACTTATCACCAATTTTGAATTGTTAAATGAGTCGTCGAAGATTACAATGAATGGGATCGATATGCTTTGCAATATATCTTTTCCATTACTTCCCGCTTCTAATGAAGTAAAAAAAGAATCATTATCGAATCAGTTTGCAGCTTCCAATTCAAATTGTTTGCTAGATTTAAATATTTCTGACTTAATTCCTGCGAAAACTACTGAGAAAAGTTCAATTGAACTTTCTGCTTTCGATAAAGGTATGTTAATCAAATTCATAATGAATTTGTCTAAGAAGGAGGAGAAATGAAGAATGCCTGAACAAAATGAACAAAACTAAGAATTTCATATTCATAATTATCTAAACTTAATTATCTGACTTTTTTATTATTTTTTATATTATTTATTTATAATTTTTAGTTTCACTTCGTTTTAATTAATTAATGTTGAATATTAATTAATATTAAAAATATTTTAGTTGAAGAATCAAGTATTTCTGCTGATGAATTGATAGAAAAGCAAGAGGTTATTTTTATTTACCTTCATTTCTAACTTAACTCAGTAATCCTAGTCCAATACCATTTCGTAAAAGATTTCATTTTGGGTTGCGTTTATAAGTGTTTACAAGTACATTGCTTGAATCATAGTTTTAATAGCTTTACGCGACAGAAGTCGAACCCACATTCGTTTAATTTAATGTAATGAAAATATCTTGTTTGTTTTATTTTTTAATTCCAAAAAATTAGATTGTTGATATTGCCTTTTTTTTGATTTTAAGTTAAGCGTTTTATTCAGTTGCAGGATGGTGAGAAAGTTGCTGTATGGGAGCGGTGCATAAAAGAGGCAAGTACTTTATTCCACTCAGCTGATATTGTTCTTCCTCCTTTTTCACATGAAGCAATTACCGCCGTATCTCGTACTGAGAAAGGTGCACATTATTTGATGGCCCTTAAAGCGATATACGAGATGGTTTGTTTCTTTTTGCGAATAGTTTGAGATTATATATTTTATCGTTATTCCTCATCTAATTTTATTTTTTCTTTGTATAAGCATTTCATGAATATACTACTCGAATATTTAATATTTATCTTCAGTTTCCATTTTAGAATAATTGGTTTTTCTATTTGACTATTTCATTACTAGGTACGTCGAATTTCAATAAAATATGTCGCAAAATTTTTTCAAAATTTCTTATTCGATATATAGTAGATAGGATTTTAGGTGCAACGAATAAAAGAAGGTCGTGAATTTAAGTTGATTGGACAAAAAAATGAACTAGACGAAATCGAGGCAATATGGTCACGTTTAAAACAATTTATTGATAAACCAGGCAAAACTGCGATAACTCGAAATGTTAATGGTGTTTGTGCAACACACTGTGGGATCTGCTTAAAGGAAATTGAATACGATTCATTACTTGAATTTGCAGGTACTGTTTATCACAAACAGTGCGCTAATTTATGGATAAATCGTGTCAACTCACTTCTTCCTAAATTATCGAATAATTGAAACTTTTTGATTTAAAAAAATTGGTACGTTTCGTTTCTTGGATTCAATTTTAATGCGTGGTTTTATCCGGTTGAGAGATTCGAATCGATTTTCTTAATTGAGTGTGTTCAGTGATCTTATCATTTGGCAATAAAGATTCAAAATTTTTGTATAATTCGGCTATTTTGTTTTCCTTTAAAAATTATTATATCATTAATATTGTGGTGGCGAATAAGTGAATATGTAAAAGAAAAATTGGAAGAGAACACACTTCTAAACATCTAAATTAATGTAAAGTAGTGACTGAATATCGAATTTATGAGATTGTCTTTCTTCATTCACCGTTTTATTTTATTAACTTAATTTAATTTATAAATTATTATTTAATTATTATTTAATATTGACGTATAAAAAGTTGATTTAAGGCATATTATATAATATCTCAATTTTTCTGTTAACACTTATTCAAATATTTTGTTTTTTTTTGGTGTTTTTTGCTTTCTTTGGCCAGTTTAAACCTCGGGTTAATATCGGTTGTCGATTTTTTTCTCTTTTTTGCGTGAATATTTTATTTTACCCAAATAAAGTGCTTTATTCTACCAGAGCTTAATTTATATCTTTCTTACTACCAAATCGATTCCAACTTTGCTTATTAATGAACAATCTGCATTATTTTTAGGAATGCTGTTCTGTTTTTAATTGCGGAATACCATTTTGCGTCAGATTCTTTTTCTTTTCTTAACGGATATTTCTTAGAATATTTCTATTTTTCAATACCTTCAACTAAAAATGCATATCTTTTCGTTTGATTGACCCTTCTGATTGCTATACAAAGCGACCCTGATTAACTGGTGACAGGTCAGCAAGTGGGTCAATTAGCTTAATATACGAAATGATAGGAACTGCACAGTGTAAGTAACTATTTCATTACTTTTCCGGATTTATATTTCAATTTATGGATGCGAATATGAAACACGATTATGGCTCAGAAAAAAAATTAAAAGTATCGCAGTTTTCTTTTCTAAATGAATATGGAATGAGATCGACTGAACAATAGCATCAAGTTTAGAAAAAAGTTGGTACTTTTTCACTTATAAATTATAAGGTAAAATCAAATTGATGAAAATTTTATCGAAATAAATAAAGTTGAAAGAAAGAAATGTTGGCTATAAGTAATAGAATTTTGTTCAACAAATTTTTCGACCGACAACTTTTTTGCAATTCTTATTTTTGCCGTCATTGTGGCATTTATTCTTTCAAAAATTCGATTAGTTCGAGTCATTTTGCTCAAAAATTCATTCAAATTTTCATCCAAATTTGAAGAAATATTTCTTCTATTTTCTTTGCGATAAAAAGTAAATCGCGAAGTTAAACCGAATAAGCTGAAAAGATTCTCGAAGAGGGATTATCACGAAAATCGCACAAAATTTTGTATCGTACCTCAAATTTATGGCTGACAAGAACAAAGAAACAAAAATGCCATCTTTGTAGTAGACAGAAATATTTTCGTACGATTTTAATACAATTTCGGCCCTGTTTCGATAGTATTCAGCGATATTTAGTTGAAGAGTAAAGTGATAAGAGAAAAATGATTGGTCCTTAAGGTAAATTAGTAAAAAGCGTGGAGAAAAATATCAAAGAACGTCCTTATAAAATTTTTAAAGAAAAACGATCGTTAAAAATTTAATTTTTTTGGAAAATTTAGGAAATGTTTGTTTTCTGTTGTATTTTCAAAGTGAATATGAAAAGTTTTGTGTGGTTATTCGGTTATCCATCGAATTACATTGCCCCGTATTTAATTGGCAAGAAAAAAAGAATTAAAGAATTAAAGAATGTCGTTTCGGGTCATTTAGACGATTGAGAAATCATCACGATTTGTGCTGAAGGCAGCACCGCTAAACGAAATGTATTCCTGAGAAAAAAACTTTTTCAAGTCTCCACTTTCTCCTTTTAATGGTGAATTAACAATTTCATCGTTTCTGAGGTTCTTATCATTGGCAATATCACCTTTTGAGTTCGAGAAAGTTGCTGGAGATTCTGCATGTGTGGTGCTTTCATGCTTTCGATACAATTCATCATGGTCTGATGAAATTTCGAAAGACAATTGATCTAATTGATCTAAAGAAAGTTGATTTACGTTCTTATCCGATATTGAATAAACCATATGCGGGTCTAAATCTGAATTTCTCTCTTCACCGACGTCAACTGAGTGTTTTTCTACGATAGGTGCTTTTTCCTGCTCGCATTTTGGTTTAGTTTTATCTTTTGTAATGTTATAGTCGGTTGGTGATGATGACTCTACTTCATCTATGTTCTCACCGTTATAAGATGGTGCGAAAAACTTTTTGTATGCGACATGTTCATGAAAAATCGTTGTATCCATCGTGTCATTTGATTCATCCATAAATTCACAATAATATAATTTCTCGAGGACTTCTTCATCTTCTTTTTTTGCCACTCCTTCGCATATTGTTTCCTTGATTGAATCCTCTTTACCATGAAAATCGCTATCTTTTTTGTTTAACTCGTTTTCATTTTCTAAATCTTTTCTTAAGAAGGTTTCTTCAAATTCGCTTTTAGGAACTTCCACCAAATTTTCTTGAACATCAGGAATGGTTCTTTCCACTAAAATTTCTTTTATTTCCAGAACATTTCTATTTTCCATTTCTTTTTCGATAGCATTGTTCAGCGTTGATACTTCCATTTGTTCATCGCTATCATGAGGACAATGCTGCGCTTTAAATTCTTCGCTTAAATTTGGTTGCATCAAATCATTCCATTTTTTATCTTCGTAAGGAGTATTTTCCTGGCTTATTGAAATATTTCCGAGCACTTCATCGTTTTTTCTCTTTTCCATAAGTCCTATATTATCCGTGACTTCCTCGATAAGTATTTTTGCCTTTTCAAACGATTCCTTTTCTACTCTCTCATTATCCACCGATTCGTCTGATTCAATTTGATATGAGATATTTTGCATTGAATTTTCATCATCTTCTATCACCATAATAGATGAACTCGTTACAAAAAGTTGTTCTTTATCATCAGCGGTACTTTGAAGCTGAAATGAATTTCGAACGTTGAATGAAGCAGTTTCTTCTAAATCTTCATCGATAATTTCTTTTACACTTTCTTCAGGAGCTCTTTCTACAGAATTCTTGATAACTTTCTGTGTGGATTCTTGGGCAGTTTCGATAGTTCCATCGGTAATCTCTTTTTTGCTTTCATTATTAACTCCTTTTGCGGGCTCGATGGGAGGATATTCGACGGCTTGTCCGATAACCTTTTCAGCAATTTCTTCAGTAAAGTTTTTTATAGTTCCATTGGAAATTTTTATGGCTTCGTTGGTTATTTTTTTGACAGCTTCTTCTAGGATACGTGGAGTTTTTTTACTGACTTCATCGGTGATTGTTTTCGAAATTTCTACATTGACTCCATTACTAATCGTTTCTGGAGTTTTTTTAATGATTTCTTTGGCCTTTTCTGGCATTTCTTTGTTGAATTCTTCAAAGGATTCTTCTTTCATAGTGTTTTCGACTGGGACGCTAAAAGGTTTACTAACTCTAGAAGTGATATTTTCAGTCAATTTTTCATTGTAATATACTTCAAGATCGGGTTGATCTGGTTGATTATATTGGACTTCTATTTCCCATTTTTCCTTTTCTCTATGTCTGATTTTTATATCGGATTCATTTTCCTTCATCGTTGCTTCCAGTTCCTTCTTCTTCCATATATCTGATTTGTTATTTTCTTCTTGGTAATTGAATTCATGCAACAAAGTTTCTTCTTTTGGCTTTATACTTCCATTTTTAAAATTATCTGGCTTATCTTTTCGCATAAAGGCATCCTCGCTTACTATATGCGCAGATGCGTATGAGCCATAATCCTTCTTCACCCACATATTAGATTCCAGTTCTTTATTCGTAATTTCGTTTTCAATCCTCAAAATCCCTAGAAATTCCGGTAGATTTCTTTGATTTGATGACGGATCTAATTCATTATCTTTCTTATAATTGAAAGAAGATTCATCTTCCGTTTCCGTTATCAAGTTCCATTTATCCTTTTTCTCTAAAAAGTGCGGCTTGTTTTCTTCAGTTGATATGTTTTCATCCATAAAACTAGTGTTTATTTGATTCTGTTCCTTTTTTTCTGCCATTTTATCAAAAATAATATTACCTTCAGAAACAAATTCAGTTTTATCTTCAATTTCATGACTAAATTCTTCATTTTCATTAACTTTTATTCTATTAAGTTCATCACTTTTGTGAGCTAAAACTCTTAGCTTCTCCTCGCTTAATTCCGCCTTATGTCCATCATAGTGTTTTGTAACGTCTGATTCGTTCTGCTCATATAATTCTGATGTGTTATTAAAATTTGGCTCAACATTTTGGTTATCGAATCTAAATTCATGTAAATCATCGCCTTGATGTTTTCCATATTCACGGTGGATTTCATTTAAATGCTCTTTAAACTCATATTTGCCGTCATCTGTATCCGATTTTTTTTCTGCATAAATGCCTGTACGAATGTTGTTTTCTGTCGGTTTGATAACAGTTTCTAAAGTGGCATCTGACCTCGAATCAAATTCTAGTTTATCTGTCTCTGCTAAAATGGTGTTTGCTGGAATTTTATCATTTCCTATGTTTTCCTTTTCCTTTGCAGCACGAATTTCTCTTATTTCGTCATCCAGTGCACTTTTTTTTTCAATTTCCAGAGAGCTGCCATAGGTAGATGAAATCGCTTCATATATGTCTACACAATCATTCTTGTCATCTATTTCCATTTTCTCTTTTTTATCAAGATGATGAATTTCATCATAGATTTCATGCTGAATGTTCTGAGGAATCATCTCGAGTTTTTCTTGTTGGTATCGCTCATTTTCTTGTCCAAAGGCTTTAGTTTCTTCTTGAACATTCTGGATCACTGGTCGTTTATTTTCTGATCCCTCAAATTTCATTTCGCTTTCATCCGAAGATTTTGTAATATTGGTGACTGGATAATTAGTAGCGAATTCCTCTAGACTATTGTTATCATCTTTATCCGAAACATAATTGGTTAATGCAGTTGAACAGTTCGTATCATACTCATTTAATATATTATTTTCATAGGAATTCGCCGCATTTAATGATAGATCTGAATTGGATTCAACGTTGGATATGTGATTTGCATTTGATTCGAGCGCATTTAAAAATTGAGGCTTGGTTTCCAAGTCGGTCTTTCGGTGTTCATAATTACGTCTTATTGTAGCATTATCACTTTCACTATATTCGGATCGTGTCTTATCTTTCACATGTGTTTCTTTTGTGTGTAACCGAGCACGAGCTGGAACTGAAAAATAAAAATAATTGAATTAACTGGGGATTACTGGAGAGACCAGTCAGTCAAAAAGTATAGCACTAATGCGAAAGAGCTATTCTAAATTTTATAATTTACAATTGTTAGAACTGATTATCTCAAAGCAGTTGTATAATTCATAAGATTTAATAAAGTACTGCAATCACTTCGCTCGAAATTCGTTCCACTCCTTTAAAATTACTGTTTTTTGGACTGCGAATATTGAGCAAGCAAGCTTGTATTCGCGTGATATGTATCTATTTCTTCTCTTTCTAATAATATTCATTCATCATTTGATTTGATCCAGGTGGCACAATTATTAAAGCGCTGCTATTCCGACAAAGAGTCGCTTGTAGAGGTCGAGACAAATCTCCAGTACCAGCCGGATTTCGTCTTTAATGGCAGGTTTCTCTTCGAGGAATAGGACCCATAATGTTTGGACTTAGTGGAAGAGACATCATTCATTTTAACCAATGAAAGAAATCTGTGGTTAATACCGTTAACAAAAAATTAACTGAAAGTAAATGGAGTTTTCAATCTATTGAACGAGAAAACTTGTCAAAAAACCTTACCAGTTTTTGAACGACTGGCTGTTATAATAGGAGTTGTTTCAGATCGTTTACTAATATTCGACCAAATTTTTACGTCATACACACGTAAATAAGGTGTTATCATATTTAAATGAGCGAATTGACGTGGTGTTGACGAACCGAAAGCGAATATACGTGAGCGATCAAACGAACCATCTCGAATTCCTATGAAAAATTTCACCAATTTTTCTCATTAAAAATTATGGAAAGACTGAAATAAACAGATTGAAAAAAATCGAACTAATCGCTCAATCGAACTAAATTTTTAGTATAATTTTAGTGGGAGTTTTAGTCATTTTTTATCTGAAATATTTTGGTGGAATCAGAAATTTAGCCAAGCATGATAAAAAAACCTCGAACAAAATTCGACTCATTATCTCTGGTTCGCCTGGTTCTGGTGGCTATTAGGATGGGATTCCTCCGCGGGAGAGGCGGTCCGTCACCATCAGATTCCATTTTGAATGGTAGGTTTACTCCTGAAGGTAGGAACTGAACCCGATGGTTTGACCCTAGCCAAGGCAATATAATATTCTTCCAGATCCTGTATTCTTCCACAGATAAAAAAGTTTATTGAGACTTTTTAGAAGAAGAAAAAAGATAGGTAAGTTATGAAGCTTAGCTGTATAAGCTTAGCTAAATAAAAAATTTTCTGCAAATTCAATTAAAAATAGGTTTGTGTAAGGAAATAAATCTAAATTCTATAGATTTTTTTGGAACTAAGAATTCATTTTCCTTTAGTCTGCACTCAATTCTTTATCTCAGATTTGATTTCTCAGCTCCACAATTTTTAAAAAGCCATCAGCTGAATTATTATTATGAACAAAATAAATGACTCCATATTTCGCATAATTATTCCCAAGACGAAGCTAATTATCGCATAAAATGTGATAATGGCAGCTCATAACCATATTTATATCTTTCCAGTCATCCTATTAATTACTTCTTACAACAAATTTTTGATTGATTTCACTTATTTAAATATAATTTATTATACTGCCAGTGGTTAGCATTCACAGTTTCTCGTAATGCTTGCTCTACTGGCTAAAAGCATGTGAGAACTTTTGCCATACATCCACTTGGAGTTAGAAGAAAAGATGGCTCTCCGTAGCAGGATTTTTAAATGACAAGCCAGGCAGGTAGGAAAGAAGTCATGATGTTTGACAGCGTAAGCAATCCTTCGCCTCGCCCATACTTCTTTCAGACATACAAATTCGATATTAATAATTTTTCTGAATGTACTCTTGAATACCGTCACAGAACAATAGAGCAATTTTCATAAAAAAATCTAAGTAATTTGTTAGATTTTCGTTAGATTGAGAATAAATATATCTTCTTTTGAGATTACTGAAAAATGTAAATACTTTTGCTTTTTATGTAAATGCTTTTTTAAAAAAATGGCAAAAGGATTGAAGTTGAATGAATGACAGTTTTTTCAGAATTATGAGGATCTTTGGATTATGTGAAGTATGAAGACGAGCTATTATTTTGGGTCGTAGCAATGGAACTGGCCAAATCAGAAATGATGTAACAAGTTTTTCCCTTTATAAGAAGAACAGCGCGCTAATTCAATGTGATTCAGTTGATTTGGTCTTTTTGCAGGAAAAGTGGAAGAATAATGTTGCATTATTGCTAAAAGACAATTTGAGATGTTTTATAAAAAATCCAGTTGAAAGAATTCTCGGAATCAATTTCAGATTTCTATTTTCAAATAGGTTAAAAGAAAAATCTTTAAACTGTTTTCTCCTCTTTTTCCTCTTTGCCGTTCACTTAATGATTGGATTGAATTCTCAAAGATATTTTTCAATACTGTCAATTAAAGAGCTATCCTTAAGCTTTGAAGCTCTAATTAAAAAATTTTTAAGTACCTTCTCAAAAACTTAATGTTTCGAGACCTCAAGCCATTGCTCTCTGCATCACATAATTCTAGGTGAAAATTTATATTAATCGGCCTTTAGATTATTATAATTGACATAATTTTGATTGGACTGATGATTGAAACAGAATTATATATTTTCAATGGTTCATAAAACTGAATTTTTTTTGAATTCTTAATGAATTTTTATTTAACAAAAGCTAATTTCGATCTAAATTGCCTGCAAATTTTGCTGAGTATTTTACTTTAATATTCTTTATTTATTTAAATATTCAGTTATCATTGAATTTACGCAAAAATTCTCGAGCCTTATGATAGTCTTCGACGACAGAAGTGAGCATATCACTAATCGTTTACGCTGAGAATACTCCCGCATTTCTATTCTCAAGCGACTCTCTAGCAAAATTTCCTCATTCTGAAGATTTTTGCGGAAGAAATCTCAATTTTTTTACGCATAGCTTCGTACATGCGGATGCAATGGTTACTACGGTCGAGAAAAATCAGATTAGATCGATCCAACTATCGAAACTTAATTTTGAAATGAGGATACGACAAACAAAATTATGAAACATAAACATAAAAAATAAGTCGTTGAACAATGCCGATTCGAATAATTTCGAATTGCTTACCGCCACTGGAACTCTTTCTTCTTCTAAGCACTCACCATTCCATTATTTTAGGTTTGGTTGGTTCCACTAAATTTTAGAATAAGACCCATTCGCAAGATAAAGACATTTAGATAGATAATGCATGCAGATAGAAATGCAAATGCGTCTTCAACATCACTTTTGATTTATTGCATTCAAGGGGAAAGAATCGAATCTATGATGACTTGAGACTTTAAGCAAAGAAATATACCACTCGACTGTATTGTCCAAACCATTCGAATTCAGAATATTATCATGAAAATTAAAATTTTTTTACGTACAACTTGAAAAACAACTTGATAAGGATATATTGAGATTTTTTTAAAAAATGGAATAAATTTTTTATCAATCAAAAAACAAAATGCAACTAGAACAACCGTATTATCCATTTCATCCTGTTTTTTTGATAAAATTAATCTATATTCAGTCGGCGGGTTGGTAATTAAACCTATTCTGCTTGGACCCAAAAATAAATCCATAATCAATAGACGGATCGGCGGATTATTTGAATCCGGAAAACAAATTAATAATAGATTTTTTCGAAATTCGGTCAGAGTTATCAAGGTTCTAGAAAAAATAAAAAGTTTTCTTACATAAAGGGACTCATTAGATTGTTTCAGTCGCCGTGGGCAACCGCTCAAGAGTATAATTTCTTTTCTTCAAAAAATTTTAATGAAAAAGTTTTGGCTTCGAATAATGCGATATGACTCGCATTTATGATCACTTCTATCCATTGAAAAGAAACAACATTGAATTTATCTTTTTATTTTTAAAGTGCTTCAATAAAATAATGCAAGTTTTATTGCCAACAAGCATCAATCGAAAAATACTGGCAAAAACCGAACTCATTTTTCAATTTTTATATTTTTTATGTTATATTTTTATATTTCGAGTTACTAACTGCGCAAAATTATTGAAAACCAATAATTAAGTAATCATGAAAAATTGAGGATAAGAAGATTTTATTTTATAAAATTTTATTATTCATTAAATCTTCTTCTTCCTTAGTGAACAGCAGTTCTTCATCATCACTAACTGAATTATTATTATTCGGCATTAAAATTTCATATTACCGGAAATTTGACTAAATGAATCTTAAAAGGTGCAAACTCCAAGCAGTAACGAGAATTCATAAAATTATTGAAATTCGGAATTTTCAACTGCAATTGTTTCAATACTAACATAAAAGAAATATTTTGCACCTCTAATTTATTTAAAATAAAATAAATGGCTTTGTAAGCATGTTTAGCAATTATTAATTAAGTTTGCCTTAAATAATTCTTTTTTTTATATATATTTATTTTTATAACTCTTTTTTTAAATAGATCCATGAAACTATAATTTATTTAGCATTATATAATTTTTATAATTTTTAGAACAGTTGATAAATTTTGATGAAAATACGGTAGGCAATTTTAGCCATGGCCTTGAACATGAATGCCCTTGAAATTTGTATAAAAGGAGTGAAACTAGTAATAAAATAAAGACTTATCAATGAGTTCGAAATACCTATAAAACTGTGGTCGTGAATCGATGTAAAATTTGTTTGAGAAGGACAAATATAATAGTTTTTAAAAGTATCATTTCGGAGATAGATGTGAAATATTAAAAATATTAATTTTCGGGATTTATAAGGACGATAATTCGAGTAGTAGTTAGTCAATGATTTTATGATTTCATGGCAGCCTATTTACAAAAGATTGTTCGGTTCTCATATAAATGATGAATTTTAACAGCTCTCTTCTTTCTGAATATATCCCTTTATCTAGCGATTTCTTCTAATTGCAGCAAGGAATTTATTAAGGAAAATTCTTTTATCTGTTTATTGCGGTTATTCAAGAATATTTACCAAGTTAACTTGGTGAATAGAGAAATAACTTGGTGAATAGAGAAATAGAGAAAAAATATGAAATCAAATTTTTCAAAATCCTCATTCCGCCAATATTCCAAAGCATACTGTATTCCAAACTTTTTCAGTGAAATCCAAAGACTTAAAACTCTAAGAGAAATTAACTAATGGTTTTTTCAGAATTTTGTGTCAGTTATTTCTATATATGTAAATATGAAGCACTGAATTAGGAACAAATTCAATTACACCAATTTTACGAATGAGTGAAAAATCTGTTGATGAAATATAAGATTATTTTCAACATGTTATCAATATATAATAACAGCTTTTATCCAGCCATCCTGGGAATTAAAGCTTAGTTTACAACATTTGCAGTTACGCGAAAAATTGCTGGATCGATCAATATCAATAAACTAGCGAATAGCGCAAATTGTTATGAAAATATTCAAATCCATAAAAAATAAGCACGAAAAGATTTTCGATAAATTCTGTAATTTTCTGAGGATAAAGCATTGCACTTTTCAAGATTAAATCTATATTTTTGCGTTTCAGAGAAAAATTGCCTAAAAATTGAAAATTTTCCACAGATGGCACGCAAAATAAGAATGATTATATAAGAATATCGTGATAAAATAAAAATGTCTTATTGCCATTCAGTGAAAGGAGCATCCGTTGGTGCATTCCAAAATATTTCAACTAATTATTTCATTATGGGAAAATAAAAACGGACCGTTTTTTAAAAACAAAACTGATAAATTGCGACAAAATTCATAGGCAGATCAGCTTTCAAAAATATTATAATTTTACTGGTTCGAATAAAGATTGCTTTCCTGATGATCGCAAAACTTTTGGTTACTCCCTATGGTAATAAATTTCACTCGCCAAAAAATTGCTGAAGGCAAATCAAAATACGAAATATTTTCAATAAAGCCAAACTGTAAATTCAACGTTTATTTCATTAATTGAAGCAAATTAGCAATTATTTCAAAAACTTTCAAAAAGAAGAAAAATCCTTTAAAACATTTTAATTAGTTATTTTCATATCTTTTTGTAAATTTGCAGTTTCATAAATCGAAGTTGCTGGCGCCCCACATTTACTATTCGCAAACGATTTCATAACAAAATTTCTCAATAGTCAATAATTGCTGAAGGGAACTTTAATAGATGAAATGCATAGCGCTAATCGTTTACTCTGCTAATTAAGCGGAATTTTAGCTGGATAATTTACTAAGAATTCGCTTAATTGTTAATTTTATTCGAATTGAATAATTTAATTGAATAAGAAAAACTATGAAGAAATTGAATTGGTTAATTCCTCAATAGTCAATGAAATCAATGAACTCCATTTACTTATTCCATGGAACAAATATCGTTAAGAAAGAATTAATTAGTTTATAGTTTGGAAGCTTTTTTAGAAACAGTAAATATCCCCATCTTCTTCTAATGGCAATTATCATTTCTAATATGGCTGTTTGCAATAATAGTACCATCACAAAGCGTGGTATTGGCTGGTTATGCACGTTCTTCGTCGTCGCAAATATTTCGTTACTTGCTAAATCCTGTGATGGCTGGCGTCCAATCAAGTCCTGGACGGACACAGCCAGGGAAGATTTTGAAATATAAAAGTGGACCAGCAATACATGGACTTAGACGATAGAAAAAGGAATGGCCACTATAACTGGTCAGCGATGGTGTTGGATCGTACAGCTTGGAGACATCTTACCCTTGTGACCAGTGGAACCAGCCTAACCAGTAGTGAAGAAAGAAGAAGAAACATGGCGATTTAGGATGAGTTCCTTTCGCTAAAGAGTCGCTTAAGATTTAGGACTTCAGCATTGACCAGATGTTTCTTCCTTGAGGAATACTGAGCAAATGAAACTTGAAAATCCAATAGACATAAAATGGATCACTACTTTTTGCTATATTTTATAACAAATTTTATTGCTGATATTCCAAAGAAATAATCTTTAATGAAAAAAATGAATTTGGAAAAATGTATCCACGCAATTAAGAGGCTTCTAATGAGTACAGGTTAGTTATAATTTAAATATTAAAATAACGGTTATGCGGACTGAAGCAAACACCGAATTACTAAACCTAACTGGGCAAATAATTCAACACCAAATGCTTCTTAAGAGTTATGAGAAAAATTCCTCGATAGAGGGGAATACAGTAATTACCTTATAATTAATGTGTTTATCTAGTAATGCGTTAGTGGATTTTGCGTGATTCGGAGGGACGCGAGACGATCAATTAATATAAAATATGCATTGCCTTAAAGTGTAATTATATTTATTTTTGCGAATAATAAAATTATATTTCAGTGAGATAATGAATTTTGATGGACTTTTTTCTATCAATTTTCGACTAGTTTCCCGATGCAGTTTTTTAAATAAAAGTAATAATTTCATAAGAATTATTGTCTATCATAAAATTTCCAGAAACTGATTCTTTTTCGCTTTGTTATTTTTTTGGCTATTATTTCTGCTTTGACCGACTCCATCGACTCACTAGGATCAGAGTTGACTGCAAATAAAGTAGCAAATGGGTTCTTGGCACCACTCGGATAAGTCTAAATCAGATTCGCATTCTCGTTAAAAGTTTTAGTTCTTCATGTTTCTTAATTACTATCATCCAATAGTTTTAAAATGTTCCATTTTTTATTGAAAGAGCTTAATCGAAGCGTTTCTAGTAAGAAAAAATTTTGCGCGTTAAAGACACATTTAGTGAAAGGAATTTATAAAATGCTTTTATAAAACATCTGATTTGAAAAGCATCTGACTTAAATAAATTATGTATATATAAATTAAATGACAAACAGGCAAACAGCTGCAAATTAAAAAGCGATATTTTATTTAATAAAATATTAAAATTAATCGTGGAATTAGACGAAATTGCTATTATCATCACTTTTTACTTACTGCTAATGCCGTCATTAATGCCGCTATCGCTCCTAATTTGCCAATAAAAATTGGATGGACCATCTAGCAAACCAAATCGATAAATTACTTGAGGATTTTATGGATTCTTATCACTGTTTATGCATTTCTAAAGGTTTCGCAGTTGCAAGTATGCTTGCAATTTATAAAAGTCGCTACTTGCTTCTTTAAATTTTCAAGTTTTGGAAGAAAATCTTATGTGAAAGACGAATAAGACTGAAATTTGAATTTGAACTGAATTGACAGAAAAATAAACAGGCAAATATTTCTATAGCAAACTAAAAGTACTAAAAGTATTTGTAGAAAGCAGTGCTATTTTGAATAGGACTGATGCGGATCAAAAATTATGCACACATTAACTTTCCTGAACGTGCCGTCCAACAGTACGTTGCTATATTTTCTGCTCTGACTGGCTCCAGTGACTGCCAGCGAGACGCATCAACAAATCACTTGAGGTCGCCAGATTCCATTTTCAACGGTTTACTTCCGTTAAGAAATCGAACTCATCGACTTGGCCTAAGCAGTGGCCATGCAAAATGAAATAACGCAAGAAAAAAATTACCTGTCTTCTTTCGAGTTGCTGAACGTGCTTCTCGCATATAATGTGACAATGTTTCACCTTGTTTCGGTTTTTCAGTGGTAAGTCGTGAATCATATGTTCGCAAAATCGGCGGAATATTATGCATGTAAGATAAATCACGCGGAGTTGACGAGCCGAAAACAAAACATTTCTTTTCGGGGTTGGTCGGGTGATTATTAGCATTGTTAGCATTCGGTAATTTGCTTCGTGTTCGCGACATCCTCGCGAGATTAAATTCGCCTCGAAGACTTCCTTCTTTCAGAATTCTTCACCAAACTTCCTTCAGCCTCCTCTCGATGAACTCAGAGAATGCGTGCCTGCGACTCACACAACATGTGTACATCGCTGATAAGTATTTCGTTGCTCCGTGCTCCGCCCTGCCCAACCCTCGAACCTTTTTTGCTTCGGTTATTCCCTAACATTTATTCCTTAATTCTGCGAAAATCCCCTATTAAACAAAAGAAAAGATCTGGTGATTGGTGGTGATTTTTTATGTTTTGTTCGTTTTTTGCTCTCCTTCAGCTGCAAACATTATTGCCGCCACTGTTTGCTGTTGGTTGTGGCATTTTTCGTATTAAAAGTGCATCACCAATTCTAATTTTTTTCTTCTCTATGGCATAAGTGGATGGATTTTCGAAAATGCTGTTAGTAAGTTAATAAATACTCAACAACTGTGTAAGTGGCTAGCGCCTAACTGACTAGGCCAGCTCCACTCGCTGTTCGTATGATGCGAAGTTTTTTTGTCGCTGAATCACTTGTCGACAGAGCATATGGCTCTCCAGCGCAGATTTTTTAATAACAGATTTGTTCCTGTCGGCACCAAAGCAGGATCGGGCGCAATTAGCAAACACTTTATTTATAGGGACAGAATGCCACAGGCACATGGGCGATTAACTGAGCTAAAGCATCGAATTTTATATGTGAAGGAATCAGTCATTAAAAGAGGAATTCGAGTGGATCGTTGGATCCATATTTATTTTAAGCAACTTTGTGGAAAAAGGACTCTTATTAGCCTTTAGAGCCAGCCAAAGCAGAAGCGGTGAGTGGTGTTAGAAACATGGATAGAAAAAGGCTTCTTTGCTGATTTATGTTAAATTGAATTTCGGGCATATATTATGGAAACGCACCAATCTTTCTCATTCGTAAACTTGTCACCTGTCAGTCTTCTCACGGTCTTTTTCGAATATTTTTCACAAAAATGGGCTATTTGAACGATTGAACTTCTTTCATTTTTTCCCTACATCTGCAGAATGTTATTGACTTGCAAGAAATACGTAACTACTTTACATACTTAAAATTTTCTTGCTTCGTCATTTCAGGGGAAATTTCAATAAAAAAATGAGAATTTCACATATGTTCGCATTTTTTTGAATGGGAAAATGGAGAATGTCTGCGGCTTTAGTCGCTGATTAATTATAAATTATTCAAAATCATTCGGCGAATAATTCAATGGTCGCTTATCATCGCGATTCTCCATCTCATCTGTTATAATTTGTCATTTGCGATAGGGAAAGAAACGTAGGTGAATCGATAAGCCTACTCCTAATAAGGAGCGGAAATCTGTGGTAATTTAGTAGATCCAAAGCAACGCACTACTCGAGCGACTCTATTCGCTTGTTCGAGCTCTTCAAAATTATTTGCGGCTAATATTATTTTTCTAGAAAGCTTAGATGTTGGAAAATCGATGAGTTAATGGATTTTTTTAAAAAAGCATCAACATAATGAAATAAATCTTTAAATCTGAAATTCCTAATGATTCTGATTTGTCAAAAAGCCCGATCCGAGTAGTTTTGCTTGCCTCGAGCCTCAAATTTGTGCCCTATTTTCGGCAAAAATAAAGAAAAAAATCGTTGTTGTGGATTTGCTTGTTCAATTTCTAATCTTTTGGCGACAATTGCGAGTTGAATATTTAATTCAATAATTTTATGTAGAATTCATAGTTCGTGAATTTTCGATGCATTCAAAAAAAGCTTATTTACTTTTATAATTTGCTTTCTTCATCATTAATTCAATAGATTTCTTAAAAATTAACTTTAAATTCCATAATTTTAATAAAAATTCTATAATTCTGGTATGGTCGCGTCGAGTATTATAGAATCGATTCTCTCCCCTTAAAAAGTAAATTGCGGGTGGCGACATGCTGCGGACATCAGTTGTTCCTATATCCCGGCGAGATTCTCGAATGAAAGTCGGTAGAACGAAGCAAACCGGTATGGCGAGTGCTGTTATAATGCGAAATCTAGGCAGCAGCTCTTTTTCCTTCGATAAAAAAGGCGATCGAAGAAATATTTGTTATACTCGACTGCTTTGTTAAAAGTTGGGAAATGAAAACACTGTGTAACTTTTCAATCATTTATTTCTCCCCTCTCAGTGGTTCGTTGACATTATTCCTCGTTCTTTATCTTCAATTTCAGTTTTAAAAATCAGAAAAAAAATTAGAAGAACAATTGCTGATGAAATTGAATAGAAAATCGCTTTTTCGTCCATAGTTGATTTCAACGAGAGTTAGAAATTATTTATCGGTTGCAAAAAAATTTTTTAACCATTAAAACATCAGTCTGCATGGAGATGGAGTGGCCGAGTGGCTTCCGCTCGGATTACCGCTCCTTATTTGATTCCACTAAGAGTAGATTCTCTGCATCCACTAAATTTGTCATTAAAAAACTGGGATAAGGCCGGGAAACCTGGCAAAAAAGAAATGGTGAACTAAAAATTGTTTAGTTACTGTGTTTTTTTTTTTTGATAATAAGCTAAGAATTAATACAAAATTGTATGGGAGAGTAATTCAGTGGAATATTTTATTCCATTGATAAAACATCGAGAACGCCTATCGAAATGAAAATCTATCAAAGTGACATGCGATGACATATTTAATAATAAAAAAGACATTTAAATCAGCAAATAAATAAATATCCATCATACGCTTGATATTCTAATATGAAATACGAAAATCAGCCAAACAGATATATTCACGTGAAACATATATTCACGTGAAACTCAACTTTTCATCTTCGACATATTCTAATAGGACTCACGGTTCGTGATTTGGCTGGTCCCACTGGCCATTAGAATGATACTGCCACGTGGGAGTGAACTGAGGATACAGGTGAGTGGCTCGGTCCATATGTAAAAAACATGATTTTTCTATTCACTGTGGAAAAATCTTTTCATGGAGAAAGATGCTGCATTTCAATTTTTAAATGGTAGTACTCACTATTTCTAATCTGCCAACTAAATTGGCTGGCTATTGTTATGGTTGGAAATTCACCAGTGAGTCATCTAATCTGATAGCAAAAATGCAGGTAGGCTGGGAATTTATGATGATGACGGTGTTGTTACTTTAATTTCTCCAACTGCTGTTTTAAAAAATTTAATAAAACAAAAAATGTGCGAAAAATCAATGAAAAATTTCGATAGATCCGCATATTTTCCTTAAATGAAACATGCATAAACATACTAACATGCTTTTTTCAGACAAAATATTGCCTTAATTGAACAAAGTCTTTTGCAGAAGTTTTAGTTAAAATTTCGTAATCAACTGAATTTTCGTTATGTTCAGGATCGTGCAAGGCATTATTAAAATAAGAAGAAATATATGAATGATGTCGAAAAAATGGTAGCAAAAAAGGGAGAAAATGGATCCTAACTAGAGCAAATTACTACGAGAAAACTGCAATTGAGCAAAGGGGTCAACAACGGTCATATAAAAGAGCCGATATAAAAGTTTTTCGAGACAGATCATTCGAAAATTATGTGGTTTTGACGGAGAATTTCCTTCAACAATTCCAATGACAATAAAATTTGGGGAGAAGAAAATAGCTAAAAAAATTCTATATATATTTATATATATAGAGGATATATATTTTAATATTTTCATTGACAATGTATCATATTCTTACTTAAATAATAGAATGAGTCACCAAATTTCAGCTAAAAATACTTGGACAAGGGCGCTTATCATTTTCACTATTTTTTGATTCGGCTAATATCACTGGCTAGCATGAAATCCCACTTCCCAAGCGAGTGATTTGTAGAAAAAGGCTTAGGTGAATCTGCAGCCATATTCGGTTATCTCAGTGAATCACAGGGCATTTCTATAATTCGTTAGAACCTGAATTATTTTTGGATATGGAAAACATTCCAAAGTTTAGTGACAAAAATGAAGATAAATTAATTTGAAAGAATTAATGAACCGGAAATAAATTTTAGCCACATATTTACCCTTTTTTTCACTTTTTTGTTGTTTAAAAGTGCATAATTTCATAATTTTAGCAATGTTTATTTATTTAGAATTTCTAGGTCGAGCTTCTTTTCAGTGATGATTTACGAAGTGAGCTCGTAACATGTAATTATGAATCAACTTTTATTTAATATTCTATTTACCCATGGGCAATTTACATTTCCCACCGAACGATGGCGGTAATTTAAATTTATGCCATTCATGCAAATCGCTCCTCAAAGTTCTGACAACAGATGATAGATTCAGTAGAGTAAATCTAACCAATAATGGTGCGCACTATTAAAACTGATCCATGATGAAGTATTAGAAATCAGTTTGCAATTTTGAAGGAAATCAGCGATTTTGCCAAAGTAAATAAACTTAAATGCATTTTTGTCAACGATTTGAAAAAATAGGAAAGTGTCAATATTTATTGCAAATAAAATTTTGATGGCAAAAAAAGAATTTTAAAAAGTTTCATAATTTCTCGACATTGATAAAAAATTGGAATTGTTGAATTATCGAAACTAGTTTCACGACTTTTTTCGTGCTCCTATTATTCATTATTTTTAACGTTCTGATAATTTTCATTGTGATATCGAAGATTTTTCGTTGAAAGAGCAATTTTTATCCCCGAAATTCTTTTGGAAGGGTAAAATTCAATATTGCGAGTGTTGTCTCTATCTGGAAATATTGCAGGTATTTCGGGAGCAAATTATTCTTTATTTAAAAAAAGTGATTTCGGTGATAAAAAGGGCGAAGGAGACAATACATTTTTATTAAAACGAATGACCTTACAAATAATAGCCTCGGCTGACGACTATTCGGATAAATGATCTGTAAACGACTTCCGTTAATCACATGAAGCAAAATTTCCGATCGAATGAATCGCAATTTTCTCCGAGATGATTTTAAACCGCAAAAAAATTTTGCAATCAGTGGCAATCTAGTTGAAATTGTTCGAAAATAAATGGACTATGCATCTGTGCATGCTTGGAACAGACAGCTCGCCTACTCACTCATCCTGGAGGTATTTCCATTATGTTTTTTTGACCAAATATGTAAATACGAAATAACCATAAATCGTAAACGAAATTAATCGTAAAGGCCTTGGGTTTACAAGTAGGTTTTCGTATCATCGATGGCAATGTAAATCGATCGACATAAACAAAAGCTCGTGTGGCATCCTCAAAAATTTTTAAGAACTTTGGGTGCAAAAAGCGAACCGCTGACAGAGCGAAGGATAAAGGGAGCAATAGGCAAACGAAGACCAGAATAATTAATTAAAATAAAAATATTTTAAATAAAAAACTAAGATTAATGTAATAGGCGAAATTGCGGACGTATTTGTGCCAAATAACATTCGCAATTCGATTTAATTTATTTCAAAATTAGAAATTGTTGGTGCAGAAACTTGCGAATGGGTTTCCGTATCATCGATGCATTTCACTTTCTGCTTTTTCAAATTTAAAAGGGGATTCTAAATCGAATAGCATTTTATGAATGCAGATGAATGCAAATGTTGCTGAATCGTCTTATTCCTTGGAAAATTGAAAAAACCATTGAGTTTGAGATGCACAAAGGGAAAATCTGTGCTTTGCTTGCGTGGAAAACTTTTAATTTTTTGCAACTAACTGAACAGCAAATCTATGAAAGAAATAGACTGGCGCACTTGCATATATTTGTTATTTATTTTTTAGCCTATTAAAGTCATAAAATGCGTCGTTTTTCAGCGAAATGGGGCAATCAATCAGAGAAAAATGACGCAAATATTGCCTGAAATTATTTGATTAAACCTTTATTATATATCCATGACGACAAGGAAAAAACATTTTTTGCCTTATCTAAGGCTGTTTAAAAATTTTTCATCCGCAGAACTCTTTTGAGGAATGCATTTATTAGAAGAAGAAAATCTGCAGAAATTAATAACTGTTGGAGCTTACTTTATAGATGATGCGCTTTGGTGCTTAGCACAACTTGTGCGACTATCCTCGAAAGAGCCTTTTAAATTGAACTTATTATTGAGATTTTTTTATGGTAATAAATAAATAATATTTGCTGAATTTGTTTTAATGCGAGAAAAGGGCACTTGAATGGGAGAAAGTGATTAAGCAAGAAGTGATTTTAGCTTGAAGGTAAGAGATTATTATGGTTTTCACTTGATTGTCAATATTGCCAGAGGAAATGGGAGGAAATGAATTTCTAATGCCAGGAACTTTTTTTCATTATTAATTAGTGCAGCAAGTTGTTTACCGAGTTGTTTTTGCTCTTTTGTATAACTGCATTTTAAAATGAAAACTGCCACATCATTAGTGAGAATATCAAGCAAGATCCCCAGTTCCCCAGTTCCCCAATCCACTACTACCACTGTTGCTCGTATTTGATAAGCAGAATTCGCAACCTGACTTTCATTCTATTGTTACTAATAATGTTAATTGATCTACTTAATTTCTTCCTCAAATAACAATATTGCAGAGAAAGTAGCGATACTATAAATACTATCATAAATCACACTTTTTAATTAAATTTTCTAACAATTTATTTATTGCAATCGATGAATGAATTACCTTATATTATTAACAAATATTAATATCTGATTTCGCCTGCAAAGAAAAAGGCCTTAAGGGAACACCATAAATCGATAAACTTATGGAATACAAAGTTCCACAGAGGGCAAAACAGCCGAGTGGCTGTTACTGTCATCAGAGTCGAGTACCAAGGTGGCTGCCTCAATCGCCGCCTTCTAGTTGAATAAATTTATTAAAAAATACGGATGATCCCATATGTACTTTAAGCAACTCGCTAGCAAAATTCGCCCATCCTACTAAAGACCGGCAGAACGTGAAATGATAAGAATTAATGATCATTTAATTTTTACTTGTATGAATGCAATTTTTTTATACCATAGAAGTAAAAAAAGTAGGAAGGTAACTCTGGAGAAATCCGAAGCTTCAACGCACCGTACTTAAACGTTATGAACGTAAACGTTATGCTTTAAATATTAAGCAACTGAACCAAAGAACCAAAAACCGATTAAATTAAATTCTTTGAAGAAATCTCATAGGCTGAATTGAATTTTGAAGCACCTGGCAGTGATGAATAATTTATGAATTTGTTCGTTATGAGTTAGCTGAACTAAATGAAATTTTTACCTGAAAATTGCTCAGATTAATTCTGATTATTTGCATAAACTCAATGAAAAACACCCGAAATCGCTTAGAAAATATTTTTTGATTGACTAAATTTATTTAAGACACGAGGCACTTATAAAGGGAATTTCAAAGTATTTGGATATTTTGAGTAAATTTTTTTCGAATTTTTCGAAATTCGAATTTTTTGTTTTCACCCTGTATGAACGAAAGATGAAATGCACCTTAATGGTGCATCTTCTTCTTCATCTTCTAACAGCTCACCAGTACTGAGTAGGATGGTATATAAGGGTAAGATCTCCAAGCTATTCGATCCACCGTTGATAGTAATAGAAGCCATTCGTTTTTTCGTCTAAGTCCATATATCGATGATCCACCTATATATTTAAAATTTTTCCTGACTATGTCAATCCACGTCTTTGGCCCACCGTCACAAGATTTGGCAAGTAACAAAATATGTATCAACTCTTGTGGTGGGCGATGGGGAATGTGCCTTAGCCAGCGAAAGAGACGCTACGTAATGGTAATATTAATGCATGTGGTATCGCTCAGCGAACCGTTTAAATACATTTTAGGCATGAATGGTCAAAGTTAATTTCTTAATATCCTCTGTTGTCACTGGCTATGTTTCGCAACCGTATAGCAAGATCAAGCGAACAGCTATGTAGACCGGGACTTTCGTTTTTATGATTTCGCGAAAAGACTCCATAAAGAATTCATCAACGAAAAGAACATTCTAGCCGTTTCTAGCTATGATCATACAGGTAGCAATTTCATCTTTAATTTGGACATTTTGGATAGAATGGATCCGAGATATTTAAAGTCTGGAACTTCCTCAGCAGGGATAAAAATAGTAATGGATTAATAAAATTAGGTATTTTAGTAGTTTGTATATAAGGCGAAAAGACTTTTATTTTATTTGCATTGATTCTCGTTGTTGGCACATTACTTAGCACATTATTTGCATTTCATCATAACTATCAGCACAGAGGACTACATCATCATATTCAAGATCTTTTATACTATAATCTGGACTGATTTTTATACATCTTAAGCGATTTCCATTATCCAGTCTATCGCATACTTAAATGTAGAAGAAAGGACGCAGCCTTGACAGATACTATCTCTTATTTCAAAAAGATCAATTACACTCAGACCTGTGTCAGCGTAGGCTGATAAAATATCTTTATGAGTCCAGTGTTTTCTGGAACATTATCACCCTCTAAAGCGTTGATCTATCTGAAGGCAGTTCTGACAAAACAAGTGACAGTGGATTTTATTTTGTACTGATATTCATTGAAACATTCCAACATCGTTCTTAATGTGAATATCTACTCAACCGCGCCCCAGTCCAGGGCGCATCCTGCTGTCTCGTATTGCCATAAGTTTATTTAGTAGGAGGGAAATTTTTCTGAAGATGGTTAGAAGGCTCATTCCTTCATAATTATCCAGTCATCTGGTATTATTTCTTTCTTCTATGCCAGAGAGTATATTTGTTGAAATCAACTCGAAACAGTTTGCAAAAGTGGCTATCAAGTGGCATATACCAAGGCGATGCATTCAGATAATCACCAGAAGCGAATATAAATACAAATTCAACTCTCATCTACCATCAGTCATTTTCTCTATATGATTAACATCAAGTTATTCAAAATGTGAACGAGATATTGACTTGCTCATCCATCTAACTCGGGTCTATAACAAGGGCATTGGGATGTCATTTGGATTAGAGAAATGTGACCGGAAGATAATAAAGAGAAGAAAAACAGTGATAACTAATGGGGTGGGCCTGCCATCAGGACCTATGATAGGCATACAGGTTAGCTACAAATACCTTGGTATCCCTTGGTATCACATGAGGAGACAAGAAAGGCGGCAATATCTAAGTATCGTCAAAGGACAAGATCTTGAAGAGACAGCTCAAAGGGAAGAAGAAAATCCATGTCATGAATATGCCAGTCATGCAGCTGGCACTGCAAGATGTACAAAAGAAGACATGGAGGTTGCTGATGTAAAGACCAGAAAATTTCTCACAATTTCCATCTCCAAATCCAATACCCAAAAGCTGTACACCATTCGGAAAGAAGGCAGGTGAGGCTTGGTGAATGTGAATGTGAAAACCACTATCTTGAAACTCGAAACATTCAGAAATATAACAGCAAGATGGCACCAAAGGATGAGCAGCTGAAAGAATGTCTGAAATATGTAAAGACATTGGAAAACCATCAAGAAGAGAAAATACGATGGCAAAGATCCTTCATGGATTACACCATCGAGAGATAGCTGAGGTGGCTAACACTGTGAGATCCTACAAGTGGTTAGATAAATCCGGACTAAAAGACAATACTGAGGCATCAATTATAGCAGCATGGGAACAACACATCTATCGAAATAAGGATCTACCACACTATATAGGACTCTAGAATGTTAAAAAATGCTCCAGAAATAGTTCAATATATAGTGGGAGGATGTAAAAGCAAGCAGAAACAACATAAACTAAAAGGCATGACCAAGTAGCTGGTATGATCTACAGGAACGTAGACTCTTCTAAGACTAAATGGGAGATTTCTCAAATCACATAGAATGAGGCGAAGAGCCAGTGGGACTTCCCCATCAAAACAATCAACCATATATCGTGATAAAAATCAGAAACTGTGATTGGTGTGGCAATACCAAGCGAGGAAAGAAGGAATATGAGAAGTTAGAGAAATACCAAGGGCTGAAAGAAATAGAGAGGAATGTGGAAAGTAAAGACCAAAGTAATCCCAGTGATAACTGGAGCACTTATAAGATACGCAGAACCCGAGTTGAGGATGATCACGACCACCCACAGGAAGATGAAGGAAAGTTTTTTTAATATGATATTTAATATATAATTTATTGTTAGAAAAATTTTTTTTAAAATTTAAGAGAACGGAATTAGCAGAATTGTTATCAAATTTGAGAAATAATCCACAAATAAATCAGGAAAAATGATCGCTCACTAAACTTTTTATCCTTTGGTGCACACAATTCTAGCATTATTTTATATCGATAAAAGATTTATTTTCCGAAGTACTATAGAAGCTTCTCCTCTGCACCTTTGGCTGTTTGGAAAAGATCCACTATAAGAGGATTATAATTACGCCGCAACTCCCTGATTTCACCATTAGAATAAACTTTATGTATGTTATTCGTCTATTAGCACAAGCGACACACCATTTGACTGTCGCGCCCATCTTTTATCGAATATCTTCAATTTATTCAGTTGCTCAATTCTATCACAAAATTTTTTTTGGATCAATCCTCTTTGACTTCCATTGGAGTTAAACCTCGCATAAATAGAAAAGCGAATAAAATTATAAAAACGGTATATTATTTATTATTAAACAAATCAGACTCATAAAATTCAGTTAATGAAGAGAGTAAATAAATTATATAAACTAATTTCAATGTTTTGGTAAACAAGCGAAATAAGAAACTATAGGGAAAAGTAGGGAAAATATATCAATAAACACAATAAAGGCCGTGAAAATTCAATATCGATGCCACTCGATTTGATTAATTCTTCCAATAAAACAACGAAAATTCATTGGAAATAAGTGTAAAATCTAACGATAAAATTAATCCAATTAATACTAATTAAAAATAAAAATTCGAGAATGACTTAATTAATTACGCCAATAATTTCTGCACGTCAGGAAAGAAACTATTATTGGAACGATGTGGTTCCGAATAAGACGAGCAGGCGATAAAAGAGAAATTATTCTTCTTAAATTATTCTTCTCGCCTTCTTCATAAAGCAAACATAGCTCGGAAAACGTCACTGAAATCCGATACAATTATGATGCGCTTGTTGGAACTCTCAAAGAAATAATGCCTTTTGGTGGAGGAAATAAATATTAATATATGCTGGCAACTGCAAACAGCCAACACAGCAAGAAATAGTCTCTGCCACTCTGAAGCTTAAAGCCAATAAAAGCCAATAAAATTAAAATAAGATGGCTTCCGGGCTTCTTCAAGTATTATGCAATATCCTTTATAAAACAACATCCTTCATAACTCATTTTCAACGGATAGTCTTTGGCTTGGAAAAATATACTAATATCGAATGGCGAGCAAAGCAATCCTGCTTCCAGTCTCCAATGATGGGCTATGCTGACAACAACTATCGAGAAATCGAGAAGTACTAGATGTTTCTGGGAAAATTTTTTTCCTTCTGCTAAAGACGGTCTAAAATAGCACAAATAGCACTAATCAAATTCGACTCAGGCCAACTGCAAGAGTATTCTAATATTCAAGAATACTGCCTCAAATATCGGCAATTTACTGTCGCTTGGCTTATCAATTTTCCCGCTACCTTCGATTCAATTAATAGGGCTCTGGAGAATGAAAAATGCCACAATTCCAAAGGAGATCACATAAGTAAGCATTCCACTAGCGAACTTCGGCAGGTCCATGTCATGTATTTGAGGAAAATCTAATACACTGATTATGCTTTTGCTGAGCTGTTAATGAATGCAAGAAAGGCCAAATAAATCGACAACTATAGCAAAAACTCTAGAATGTAAATAAATAAAATGAAAGCCTTTTATAGATATATATATACCCGCCACTGATAAAAATACATACCTTTATCAATTGAATATGCACCTATTCATATCAAATGGCCAAAAACTGCACCGCAGCTAAAAATGCAATCTCTCATCTCACAAATCGCCCCGACCTTCGACCACTTATGTATGTCTATTGTTCGTTTTACGTATTCACCGAGCAGATAAAATCTTACATATTGCATTCACCTTCGCCCAAATACTATATTCAAAAATATGACTTGGATTGATACAGACAGCAAATTTTGAATGGCAAGTAGATGACCAACTGATGGGTGGAATAAAGAAATGGTTTCTTTTAATCTAGGGCATGACACCAGAGTAGGCGCATTGGAAGTACCTTACTTAGTGGATAACCAGTAATGGAGCTATTAGAAGAAAAATTAGCAAGTAGCAAGCAAGAGCAACCTTATTCTTTTAACTGTATTAGCATTTGCCTTGGTTGCTTTCACTGCCTACTAGGATACCTTACCGTTACTGATAGAAACGGAAGTCAGATTGGCTTTTAAAGATGAGTTAAGGAAAAGACAGGAATTGGCACCAGTGACTTGACCGCAACCAAAATAACATTATTTACCTTTGCATCAAATCCAAACAACCAAATTTGACTCAGCAATACGAAAAAAATCATAATTTTCTCTTTCTAGTGAAATTACTATTTTATACAAAACTTGGCTAGTTAAAACAAAAATTTCAACCATATCATTAATTATTGATCCACATCAAATATTGATTCCAAGAAAAATTGTTAATAAAAACGAGGATCACTCAGACAACTGCCACTGATACTTAAGATTGCACAATAAAGGATAGAATGGCTCAGTGAGTTGTTACTCAGTTCCGAGCGTCAATGCTGCGGCTCTTTTCCCCGCAGGAGTAAGCTTATCCAAAAATCCTACTGCTGATGGTGCCTTACCTGCATTTCTGTCGCCAAGGGATATACTATACACTTACTACCTGGCATATTCGCCCGGTGCGACAAGCTAGCGGAGCGAGTTTAACCAGTAATGGTTAAAAAAAGGTTGCATAAAACTATAATCAAAAAATTATTACTAAAATTAATTAGTCGTGTTATGCTGTTGTAATAATATATTTATTCTACAATAAATGGAAATAAATTTAGTCATTATACTGATAAGATTTTACAACGAATCACAACAGATATAATAGATAAATAACTATTAAAAACGAAAGTATTTCAAGAATATATTTCATTCTACACGAAAAGAATAAATATATTAATTTGATAAATTCGTATTTATAAAAGGAAAAAAAAGAAAAAAAAGAAAAATATTTAGCACTAAAAAAAAATTTATTCAAAAGTTTTCATTTCTTAAATACCAAACAAAACTGAAATTAGCATATTTCCTTTCGAAAAAAATTCTTTTAAACGTTGGTTTGTGCAACAAATGATGTCATCAATATATTCAAAAATGCTAAGGATCGTCATCTAGAAGAAATATTGATAAACCTCTACCAAAACATTTAAATAGATGGTTCATGAGAGGCAAAAAATTAGAAATAAAAAATATAAAAAATAGAAGCAACATAACAAACAAAATTTGTTAATGATGAAATATATAAATACCGGAAGCGAGAAACTTCACAACCGGTTTCATTTTTAAATAAGTCGGAAAAACAGATAGTTCTGCAGTGGAAGAAAGCTACTTATGAAGTACCCAAAAGAAGTGCGACAATCATACCATATAGACCCAATACCTAAAAAAACAAAAATTATAACAATTAAAACAAAAGTTATGCAACACAATCACTGCAATATAATACTGATCACATTCATAATATTTTAACAAAAAGAGATCAAAGAATTAATTTATATTTACCTCAGAGAAAATAAGGATGAGAATCATTCCGACAAAAAGTCGCGGTTGCTGGGCAGTTCCTCGGACTCCAGCATCTCCTACAATACCTATGGCATAACCGGCACCGAGACCACAAAGTCCACAAGTTAATCCAGCGGCGAAGTGGGCAAATCCTTGATGGATAGTATAACCTTGTGATGCTGGTGTAATTTTACCTTTCAACACCATAGCCACCTAAAAACATAAAAATCTTGTACACTTTCATACTTTCTGCATGATGTAAACTTAATCTTAATTTCGCACAAAATCTTAATACCAACGCTTAAAAATCAAGGTAGAGGAAACTAACGACAAGGCCGTAGATACCAATAATACCAGCCATAATAACAGGAATGACCGATTTCATAATAAGTTCAGGTCGCATAACACCCATACTAGCTATACCCACAGCTGATTTTGCAGTACCATATGCAGCACCAAGCACAGCAAAAATCTGTGCTGAAGCAACACCCATATAACCGAAAAATGGTGCATACGCAACTTGTTCGATGATTTCTGGACCACTTCCTGACATCTAAAAAATTATCAAATTAAGCTTGCTCAACAAAAAATATCCAGGAAAACGAATGCTAAAGCACAATCATGAATATCACCACAGCATTACTAATCATTTCTAATTACGCTCGCTCCGCAGGCTCGTCCAACCAGAACAATTTTGGCCATGAAGTCACTTGGTGACAGAAATCCAGATGAATCATCGGCATGACCTAGACTTTTGAAAAACATTTAGGTTTAATCTTGCTGGCAGTAAAAGCCCAACTCTCAAAAGAGCAATATCTCAACTCAATGAACCATGAACAAATTATCCAACAAATTAAAAAAATAAAAAATGAAAATAAAATAAACCACGTTCAATAAAAAAATAAGCTGGCAAGCCAAGCTCTCGTTGTAACAAAGGTATTTTAAAAACATTTTTCAGAAAAGCAATTTTATTAAGCTTACTAAACTTCATTCAAATAAATTACAATTTGTACAAAAAATTATAGATAACATTCGATAAATTATAATTTGTACAAAAAATTATAGATAACATCATGAAATTCTTTGATTCTGCTAGAGATTAATACACTATACACTCTAAAATAATTTTAAATCTTTTTTTCGCTACCCGTATATACTCTGATAACTTTGGGGAAAGGAATTTAAAATGTAATTTATTAAATTGCATAAATCTGGGAAATGATGAATGCAAATAAATTATGCTGCTCCTAAGATCAGAGCAACAATCATTCCGTACAGTCCTAAAACTTCGGCAAAAATCAATATAAGAATCATGCCAACAAAAAATCTCGGCTGTAATGAAAGCGCTCGCACACCAACATCACCGACAATACCGATCGCATAACCTGCACTCAATCCGCATAAGCCGCAAACTAAACCACCTGCAAATTGACTGAAACCTGACACCACTGTGTAGTCTTTACTAGCCGGTTGCACTTTGCCAGAAATAATAACGGCTACAACAAGACCATAAATTGCAACAATACCTAAAAAAGTGAGATAGAAAAATAAATAAAAAATAAAATGAACAAAATTAAAAAAAATTAGGCTGCAGCCATTTTCAATCTTTAATTATATTCTTTACCGACAAATAAAAATGAAAAATTTATCTTTCTAATCTACAGCTAAAATAAAATCAAACCAGCCATAACAACGGGAACAATAGCTTTCATAACAAGATCTGGTCGATTAACTGACATCGATGCAATGCCAGTACCTGCTTTAGCAGTACCATAAGCTGATCCAGCCGCTGTAAACATCATCGCCGCAGAGACACCAAGTGTCCCAAAAAAAGGCCCATATTTTGCTTCCTCTTCTTTTATAAGTTCATTAATATCCGCCATTTCTTTTTCCTTAAAATTCATTGTTTTCGTTGTCTTCAACTCAATAAATTTCACAGTACAATGCAAAAAACGCAACGAAAAAAAAGGAAAGGGAGAAAATAAAATGGAAAAAACGACGAAAAAAATGATGAGCAGGAATGGAGGAATGAAACGTAAAAGAATAACAGAAGGAAGAGAGAAAAAGAAAGTCTAAATGAATTATGATAACTGAACCTCGAATCACAAATTAAACCAAAATAGAAATAAAACAAACTACGGGTTAAATAAAAAACAAAATAAACGAAACGTATCAGTGTGGAAAGAATCTGTTAGACTTATAACTCAGATGGAACAATAGATCAATTTTCGTGTCTATCGAATTCATTTTAATTGAATTGCAAACCCAGAGTATTCCAAAAAAACGTAACATACGAGTCCTCAAATATTTATCGATTCTTAAATAATCTCTCAAATCAATATCGCTTTTGTTTCATTTTCCAAAAACTGAAAAACGGTATTTCTCCTTAATTCTGAAAGTTCACTAACACTACACGTTGGTATTAAACAAGACCCAATCTCGGTTTTATGACCTTTTTCTTAACATTAAAACTGTACAATCTGAAAATAAAAAATCAGAACATGTAACATAAAAAAAGACTTGGAAAAAACCTGTAGATAGGAATGTCTTTTTCCGACTGATGAAATTTTTGCATTGAACCACAAAATTTTAATAAAACGGAAACCTGCATCCACCTGGCTGCAGCATTCATTATAATTCTGCTAATATGGCTTCGTGACCATTGATAGCGAGAGATATCAAATTCTATCTATCAACCATCCTTACCTAAGATAGTACGAGCTTATTGAGAGAATAAAGTCTCACTGCACATATTCGAACCTATATTAATAATGATATGAATGATAGTTTACACTGGTTAGGCCATGTTTTTCGCCTAAGAATTAAGGCACATTTCATTACTATGATGGACTTTCATAAGCAAGGGTGCTCGATTAAGATCTAGGCTGATTAAATTAGCAGAGATCTTGAACATGCAAACTGTCCAGCTTATAGGTGTAAAATGATAAAAGCTTCGGTCACTTTCAAATCCTGCACCGAACCGAAAGGCTATAGAAATAGAAATCTCTACAGCCAGTGGAACCAGCCGAGCCATTAATGATGCAAGCTATTAAAGAAGAGAAAATTAGCAATGATTAAGCCAGAAGAAAAAGAAAGATAGAAATGACAGAAATACATAAAAAACCAAAAAATAAAAACATAAAAAACTAAAAACATGAATGTAGAATGAAATAGGATGAAAAAAATAAAATGAAAGCGAACAAAATAAACTCAAATTCTACTAAAAGTTAGGCGAGAAAAAAAGAGAAACCATAAAAAATAAAAATTTAGTGACTAAAAACCGGAGGAGTACCAGTGGAAATGAAACGAAAATCGGCACTACATTAATTGTTCGAGTAAACAAACGTCCTTTTATTTGACTTGCACCGTCGCCAAATTCATTGGAAATCTAACTTGCTCGAACTCAGCACCTCCACCAATCTCATAACTCCACCACCTGACCCAACACCTCGCTAACAAAGCACTCCGCTCCACCCAACACATCGATGGGACGTAGCGACCGAAAACCGAAGAACAACATTTTCCACACTAATTTGGAATGGCTTGTGTGCTGGAGTGCGTGCTTTTTGGCGTATTGCCAAAAATTTGGGGCTTGCGGATTATTTCATATTATTTTTGATCTTGGTTGGTATCTTGGTTCCTCGTAGAGAGGTATTCTTTTATTCTTTCTTTGGAAAAGGGGAATTGGTCGAAGTATTAAGGAGTGATATTATCCACTGAAATGATAGCAAAAAATGCAGGAAGGAACTTGAAAAATTAGTAAAGAAATGAAAAATTAGCAAAAATTTTAATGATTTTGTCCTTAGAACAAAAATTTTAAAAATTAAAAGAACTTAATGAAAATTGAAAAATTTTTAAAATTTTAATATTATAGTTATTATGAAACACTGATTTGATATATTCAATATTAAATTAGTAAATCTTCTCGCACCATTGCCGGTTCGTTGTTTGGCTCGTTCCATTGGCTATACGGTGTTTCCAAGCCTTCCGATCCATTGTCATTCCTTAAAGTAACTGAATTCGTTTCTTCCATCATAAATCGCTGGGCCACCTTAAGGTCATAAAAGACGTAAACGTTCAAAATGTCCGTCAGTCCTGGTTTACACCATCTCATTGCCATCCATCACAAGACTGAAAAATTTTTGAATATGTGCATTTGACCTAACCAGGATAGGCGATACTTTATGTTCTTAAAGCAGGTGGTATTTAAGCAGGTGTTCTTAATACAGGTGGAGTCAAAGTTGACGAAGAGCATTTTGTCAGCTTGTGTCAGCTTGGCTATGGAATATACTTTATGCTAAAGTAGTCAAAAGTTGACAACTTCCGTCTTTCACAGCTGGATGGCTATATTGTGCGTGCTATAACTAAGGTTGAGACTGATTTCGCGGTGAGAGGTTTTTCCCAACAAAAAAAGTATTTGGATATGGGTCCAAAATATTTAAAATCTGGCTGTTCTTCAATCGTTGGTGAATCTATGGAAATTTTAACCTTATTGGCGTCCGATATAGGGCAAAAAGAGCTGCCTTAAGTTGATTTTTCGGCCAGTTTTCGTTCGTCATTTAGCCTTAGTGTTATAGTACCTTGCCAGAGAAAAAGGTATCATTAGCTTGTCCATGATGGTATATTTTGGACTGGTTTTTTTATTAAAATTGATAAGTAGTCTTTTTATTATTACTGTAAATTAGTATTAAAATTAAAATGTTTTTTAGAAAGAAACAGGATGGTTTTTTTTTTTAATTTCACTTTTTGCTGTTCTAAATTTTTTATTATTTAATATTATTGTTTTGTGTTTATAATATTTTCCAAATGTTTTAATATTTTGAAAAACCTTTGTTTTTATTTTTTTTCATCTTTTATTCGCCCTAATTTGTATTTTTTTCATAATTTTTATTTTTATTCTAAAAGAACTTTTTTAATTAAAATGTAAAATTATTTGGAGCGTAGAATCGTGTTTATTTTAGAATTTAAATTTAAACCTAAATAAAATATAAATATAATTTAATTTATATGTTGCATATTCTCATGAGTTTTTTCTTTTGCGAAATTGGGTATTTTTAGCTGTTTATTTTGACTTATTTATTGATCGTTGTTTGTGATTTCCCTATGGTACTTCACTCTTTATATTTTTTTTCGAATTTCATGGAAAATATTTCCTTAAAAAATATTTTCTTCTTTGAAATAATGGTGCTTTTAAATGGCAACAATAAGGTATGGTGTATTAACGCGGAAGAAAATTAGAAGTTCCGTTTAATAAGGCTTAACAAAAAATATGAGAGGTTTTGGCGTATTAGAGGAATTTAGCTTGAAACAGTTAACTGTAACCAGTTTAAGACCACAGACTTATTTTTTGCCCGAAAACATGTGGATTTTTGTTTACAACAGGCGTTATTACAAATATAGGCTTTTCATTAATTTTATTCCTATGTTGCACTCCACGTCACACTTCTAGTACTCATCTCATTCCGCTAGTCACCTTTCTTCACAGCTTCGAAAACCTATAAGTTGACAGTTTATTTGGTATTCATTCTTTGAAATAGATTGAATGAGTTGTGCAGTGCAGTTTGTTGATATTCATTGGAGATAATTTGCACAACATTTTCAAATTTACAAATTTTTCATTCGCTACAAATATGGTCGGCAAAGCAGTTATTACTGTGTTTTTCTTATCACGTGTCGTTATAGGTTGAATTAATATCTGATTACGTAGACAATCATAATCATATTTTTCATTATCATATAATCATATTATATAAAAATAATCTTATTTTTGTATTTCAGGGCATATGACGTTAGAATAGAAAATCAACTTTCATCCATTTCTTGGAGACGCAAAACTGCTGAAAAATATGTGATAAGGTTAAAAGAAAATTTTCTACTGAAAAAGCAGAAAAGGTCTGATTATTTGTTTTTCCCCTTTTTTATTTTTTTATCATTTATTATATTTTACGCCATTAAATTTTGTCTTTTTGATATCTTTATTGTATTATTTTTTATCTTATAATTCACTTAAACGAACTTTTAGACGAATTTTGAATAATTTTATCAATAATTTTATCACTTTCGAGGAAGGGCTTTAATTCAGAATGTTCGACAATTATTCACAGAATCATTTTATTTTGATGCATTAACACTTTTTATCCAAGTGAAAATTTTTTCATATCTTCCATTTGGATTTTTCTTATATTTCTTATAAAATAAAATGTAAATGTATTTTCGATTTAAATGTATTAGTAAAAAGGTTCGTTCTATGGACACACATTCTCTTGATTTGACATAGCCACTTTTCTCTAAATCCGTGTGTTCCATTAGCATTCTTTCGAATTTTGTTTATTTTCTTCTTTTAATCATTTTTGTTAACACCCATCAAATCCATATGATTCTTCAGCCTTTTCCATTCTTTCTATAGTCCTTCGATGTCTCCATTCATTTTAGTTCTTACTTTTGCAATATTTTATAAAATGTAATTGCGGTTATGACATAAACGCGTTTCAAAGTTTCATTGAGCGATAAATGAGTGATATTAAAATAGATTTGAGATACAAATTTAGAATTTTAGAGATTAAGAAATTATGTGACGGATTTTGAAAAAGTTTTCCACCGATTCTGGTAACTTTCAAGTATTAAGCGGTTTTATTTGAGGATATATTTGCAGAAATTTCACAGTCAGTATTTTAAAACAAACGACATTAAAGGAGGTTGACGGCATTTTAGGGTAAGGATAATGTAGGGTCCAGACAGAGTTAATATGATATAAGAGAGTTTAAGAAAATTTTTTTATCATTTTTTGACGGCGTTTTCGAACAGAATATTAAAGAAGCTTTTTAAAATGTGTTACAGGTGGTTACAAAAGGGTCTGGAGAATTGGTCAATCAAGGGACTTCAATAATGGAAATGTTGATTATAGAGTATGGCAAAAGTGAGGTTTTATGGAGCATCGAAAGAACATAACAAAATTTCGAGGGATGTTTCATGAAGGTTTCCGAGGAAGGAAGTTATTAGAAAATTAAAATAAGACTAAGCTTTAAAAAGTAGAATCTAGAGAAATATTATTTAACCGGCTAGGCTAAGATGGAATTTTATTGGTGGAGTAATATCAAGGGGAATAATCGGATCCAGCGGGGTAGAATTGGAACGTGATTTTTACTATGGATTTTGACAAATTCTGTGGGAATTTTGGTAAATCTGTCTTCTTTTCTCCGTAAGAAGTTTTTTTTGGACCCTCATGCACCATAAATGAATTATCTTTCATATTTTAAGGTGTCGAGTACGATTGGTCTCTATGAAATGGAAAGTACTTTTAAATGAAATTTAAAACGATATCCGCTTCGTTGATATACCGTCAACTATTTCGCAAAATTTTCTTGCTCGTCATGTAAATGACCATCACATATGTGGATTCCTTCAAAAATGTGGTCATTGTCTGATAAAAATTGATTTTTTTATGCCCCATTTGAATATTGGGCGACATGTTTTGTCGAGGTTTGCGTCTCAGATTTTTTTTAAAATTTAATTTTTACTTTTCATTTTAGTATTTCGCAAAAGTTAAATTGCGTTTAATAATTGATATTAATGGTAGTTTGATGGCTAAATTACTTAAAGAATATAGCAACCATCTCGCTTGGCTAAAAGCCGCCTTAGATATAACAAAATTGATCAACTTTTATGTCCAAATGACATTAATTATCAAATTCTCATTTAATTCGAGTTAGAGATAATTTTTCCATTTAATGATTCTTAGAGTCGCATTTCTTGTTTTTTTAAACTAATTTTTGTATCGTTTTTATTTAAGAAAACAAATAGCCTTTTTGAGAGCTGTTTGAATTTAATTGATATTCGGCTTTATTATTGCTTTGATCTTAATAATCACTAATCATATCGCTTACCCATTCTTCTATCAATAGAAAAAAAAGGTTAATTTATTAAGTTAAAATAATTTATCTTTTGTAGTTTGGCATATTTATAATGTATTTCAAATAATATGGTGCCTAATATTATTTTAAAAAGTGTGGGTGAGAGAAAAATTATGCGGTTGGAATTTTGCTGCAAAAAACGAGAAATTTCTTGCTTCTGAATACTTCACATGTCTAAATCTCGCTCGATTTAGTTTAATTCAGTTAGCTTTCTTATTCGATAAACGCGTAACTTTTTTCTCGAATCTTATTAACAGTTATTCAAAGAAGTATTTTAGAATATGTGAAATATTGCACATAGCAAAACGATTTAAAACGCCAAAGAGATTGTGAATACAGAAAATGAGATCGTGATGGTATGAAATACTACTATCTCCATTGTCAACAATAACAAAAATTTGCTTAGAATCCAACATTGTTTAGAATCCTTTGTGGATGAAATGTGGACAGAAAAAATGTTTTTGTAAAAAAGTCTTAATTATCGTTTTTATCGTTTTTTTAAACAATTGACGTAAAAGAAATAATTTGTAATATTTAATTCACATTTATTTGTTGAAAACCAGCCAAGCATGGCGGCAAACACTATATATCTAACAATATAAACGCTATGTATCTAAAGTCGAATATCAATATATTAATAACAACAGGTAAAATAACAAATAATAATTAATGATTAAAAAAGAAAGTATGACAAAAATTATATTGAAATTATATTATTGAAAATATTAACAATTCAAAGAGGAAATAAAGAGGAAATTACAAAATATTATAATCGGATGGTACAAATTCGAGATTTCACACTTCCTGTATGAATTTTTTAAATAATATCGTAAATGATATTATCTAATCTTTTTTTAATGATAGCTAAGGATAGCATACAGCTATTTCGTTCCTTTATTTATTCCAGTAATTAATAGTACGAATAAAGAAGTTATGAGTCCTTAATTTAGTTTTGCATTTAGCTTTTAGTAATTTTAGCCCATAAGTTCTTGTTGGATTTAAATTTAGCCTAAAATTATAACATTTCGAACAATCTTGCTTAACATAACCATACAGAATCTTATAAGTATAGATTGAATCTTGTTTAATTCGATGAATTGAGAGAGAATCCAGGTTGTATTGTCTTTTTTTTCTAATACAGTTCACCATTACTACTGCTTAGGCTGGCTCTTACAGCTACAAGGTAAGGCGCTTCCAAATGGCGCTGTCTGATGCCATCCTTTTTTCCATCATAAGTCCATATATTGCTGGTCCACCTATACGTTGAAAATCTTTTCTGGTCGTATCAGTCCAGGTCTTAATTGGCCCGCCTCTTTTTTGGCGTCACTCATCACACGGTTTTATTGTGGAAGTTCTCTTTTATAATTAAAATTGCTATTAAGAGAAAGGCGTCGTATAAAATATTTTTGGAGTCCTTCAATTCTATTATTTTATTTGATTTGGGCGTAACAGGTAGTATTGTAGTCAAGAAGAAACCCAACGAACGCTCTGTATATTTCGATAAAGAAACTTTTGTTCTTAAACGAACATAATAAATAAAACTTAAAAGAAAATTTAGCATTTTTGAGGATTTCTTTGCCATGGTTCTGCAGTGAAGGTCGAGATTATCTATTTATCATCTATGATTATTCCGAGAACGGAAATGTATGAGACTCTTCTGATTATATTAACATTAATAAAAAGATTAGGAGGATCGATTCCTTTAGAATTGGCATGAAAAACGCTACACTTTTGAAGAGATAAGTCAATTTGCCTGTCATGCAGCCAGTTGGCTATTCTGTTGCTTATATTTATAATTTTGTTTACTTCAAATTTCAAAGTATTTTTAATATTCATGTTTATCTATTTTTAATGTTTAAATTTTTAATGTAATTTGTTCTTATTCAGTAAATTTTTGAATGACCGTCTTATTATGAATTTTATTTAAATGAAAATCGAAATATTTGAATTATTACGATAATTATGCCTAAAGTGAGAGTCTTGATGGGGAAGAGATTTCGTTCCTCGCTTTTATCGCTAACATTATATATATTGGCAACGTGGGAAATTGTCATTTTGACTTATTTTCAAATTTTATTTGTAATAAAAGATGTAATAAAAAAAAAAATAGAAGTTTAGGAGAAATTTTTTTGTTGAAGATCTCATTAATTTTCTTGTTTGCTTCATTTAAGTTTCGTTGAATGGTTTTTTGTAAGACATTGCGAGGTATTTCTGTTTGGCTCAATCCATAATTATTATGCAGTGGAATCGTTGAATTTTCTCGTAGAGATTGCTGTTGCTATCCAAAAAGTTTTTCTAAATTATTAAATTAGGCTAAGAATATTGTAATTTATCGGTTGGCTGGTGATGAAATGTTTTACGCATGTTTATGTTTCGATTTGACAATTTCCGATTTCGATTCGATTTTATGTGAATATCGCCGTAAATATTTCGTAAAGATTTCTATAATAAATTTTTTCATATCGCAGAACGGATAGAACGATTTGTCCACACTTTTTTTGTGGTGTATTTCTCATTTTGTAAGTTTTCTGAGCAGATTCGAATTCTGTGGAGTAAGGCAATTAGAAAGGCAATCTTAGTTGCATGTTTCATTTTAATATTCGTGATTTTAAAGGTTTTTCAAGAGAAATATGTAAGGGATTAGGAATTAGCGGTTTTCATTTCTGCTTGGCTTAAATTTTGTTATTTCGAAGAAAACTTTTTGTTGTTAATGGAAGATAGAATGTGCAGCTGGCAGGAGAGTTTTTTTAATGAAACGGACTTCCTGTGGAAGGGAATCGCAACTTACCAACCCATCTGAAATGCATTCCATTCGACTGTTCTGCCTTTATTAGAAGATTAGAAGAAGGCATTGGAATTATGGAGTTTTAGAATTTCAATATGGTTTGTTTTTGTTAGCAGAAATGATTGGTTGGCGCGTCTTGTCTCCGGTTAGGTTCGCTTAATAATCTGTTCCGTGTCGATGGCAATCTGAACCGTGACTGAGGACGGTGATCTGAACGACGGTTACTCGCCTATCGTGGCTCTCCAGGGTTATCCGCTTTTATTGAGCGGTACCTTTTTTCATTTGGTAATATTTATTATTTATTTATTATATTCTAAAGTATTTGAGGTTTTAATACCATAAAATAGTGAAAAAATTCCTTTCTCTTAAAATTATTAAATTAAAATTATTAGTAAAAAGGGAAAGTTGCGAGAAAAGAAGCAAATTTCGCGCAAATGAATTAGCAGTGGAGAATACAAATCGCTCGTCACGGGATTGTCTCGCTTTAATTACGGAATTGTTTGCAAGCAAACGGGTCATTTAATGAATAAATTCGCTTTTTTTATTCGTAATTTTTTTTCAACTTTTAAAATCTTTTGGTCTATAAATTTGGTTTTTAGCGAAGAACTAATTTAAAGGTTCGTTTATTGTCGCTTATTGTCGACCTTAAATAATGAAAAAAATTCTTTTATCTGTAATTTTTGAAAATTTATTTTCATAATAATTCACTTTGTTCTTTGAATTTTCAATATTTTTGGCATTCAGAGTTAAGCGATGATTTATTTGTTAATATGGTTAAATAGTTAACTGATAAGTCATTTTTATCAAACTAGTCACTTTTTAATTTTCGGTGAACCATTGATTTCAGGTCGAATTTTTCTTTGCAAACGCTTTTATCGACGTTTTTCACTATTGGCTTCTTTTATTTTGGTTTTTGTTTTCTTGACAATTTACAATTATATCGAAGCAGATTATCAAATCTTTCATTGGTTTGTCTCCTTTTAAAGAAAAGAAAAATAGAAAAGTTAAAAGTTTTTACTATTAGTGAAATTTTGCCCCTTTTATTTTATCTAACGATTAATGTAATTTTCCAAAGTTTCTTTAAAACTGTTTTGCTTTTTGCTATAAGAATACATTTTTCTCACAAAATTAGTAAAATTTGTGAAAAACGATGCAGGAATATTTTCGTCTGGCAATTCATTTTTCCTGTTTTTATTTTAATATCTTAAAAAGAATTTATCTGTTTTTAAAGGCATATTCCTCATACTTTGCCTCCTAAGCCTCATTGTTTGTGCGTTTTGGTACCATATCGCGATCGAGAAAGTGAACTCAATAAATTTGCTCCATATATTCACGACTTTCTCAACGAACAAAATATTATGCATCGAATTATTGTTTTAAATCAGACTGATTCATTTCGATTCAATCGTGCATCGCTTATAAATGTCGGATGGTTTGAAGCTGACCGGGTGAATTCTGAAAAATTTTTTAGTATATTTTAATTTTTAAAAAAAGTTTTGTAATGTATTTGAATTTTAAATTATTTCTAATTTTAAATTATTTCTAATTATTTCCAATTTTTTAATATAAATTTCTAATATAAAAAATATAATATAAAATTCTAATATAAAATTTTTCAATGTTTAAGAAATCAAACTTCAAATCCAAATAAATAATCTCTTTTAGGTTTTAAAAATTATTTTTTGTTTGAAATCATTTATAATTTTAATTCATAATTATTTCCTTATTAATCGTTTTTATTTCTGATAACTCTGTTAATTTGAACTTTTATGTTTCCTATAGAAGAGGAGCAATTGATTTTAGGTCGGTTGCGATTATATGGTTATGCATGATGTTGATTTACTACCAATTAACCGCAATTTAAGCTATGTATTTCCAGCAGTTGGTGTTGTAAGACATATTTCTTCACCACAGTATCATCCAAAGTATTTAATTTTATAATTATTCCATTTTAATTCGGTTATTTAAAAAAAAAATGATTTTTATTTGTTGCTGACTTAACATATATTATAGATACAATTACACAAATTTCATCGGTGGGATACTTCTTTTAACGCTTCAAGATTTTAAAAAAGTAAATGGAATGTCAAATAAATATTGGGGTTGGGGACTTGAAGACGACGAATTTTTTTTAAGATTGAAGTAATTCTATATCTGTGATGATTTATTCTATTTTTGTACTAAAAGCTTATCATTTAAGAAGTGCAGAATTAATCGGATTGATTTGGTTTTATTCATCTTTTGCTATTGTTGCATTAAATCTGCAACAGTTTAGTTACCATCGTTTTGTCCATTGTTATTTTCTTTTTTTTTTGTCTAAGTTAAATTTATATTTTATAAATATATTTTTAGTATAAAAACAGAATTCTGAACTTATCATGCATGAAAAAAATAGTGAAAATATATTATTTTTTTTGCTTTAATTTTAGAGACTCGAATCTAACATCGAATATGGAAAGACCAGTTAATCTATCAACAAATCGCAACAATACCTTTCTTCACTTGCATGGAACTGCAAGGAGGCGAGATTTTATTAGGATCGCTAATCAGAAAGCGGTATTATTTAGAAATAGAAATCAGCTCAGAAATGAAATTTTAAAAAACTTGTTCAAATTTTTTTAGATCGCTTTACATTATATTTCATAGAAAATGGCAAATTTTAATTTTTGTATTTTAGAAAATTGAAAATTTCTTTCGTTGAACAGATCGAATTAAATTCTATAAAATCCATCCATCCATAATGCTTATTTTTCCTTCTCAAATACAAGATTTCTTAATATTTATTTGGTTTTATTCATCTTTTAAGCTTTGTTATCATTGTTTCTTTATTGTCGGCAATTTAGATGCACATCTTTAGTGGTAAAAGTGAAAATTAAGCATTAGTGGTAATTACTTGAAACTATTAGTTTATTTCACGCCGTTTGGTTTTTGTGTTCTCAACTTTTAATTATCTCCTTTTTAGCACTTTTTTTCTTTATCATTGTCGGCGGTAAACTTAATGGATTGAAATTTTGTGCTGAAAAATTTATCATTAAATTAACTGTAATAATTACAAATTTTCAGATGTCCCGGCGACGTGATCGTGTAAGTGGTCTTAGCACTATAGAATATCGTATTGTGTCCAGAAATTTACTTAATTATCGTGGAAATAAAGGTCCATTGATATCTGTTTTAAATATCGAGCTTTATTGCGATCTTAATTGGACACCGTATTGTAAAGTGCCTTCATCGATGAGGAGCTTACAATAATTTTCAAATTTTTGTTTTATTTAGTTTTCAAACAAATTTTGGATTTATTCGAGGTCTTTTCTGTAAAATTTGGTTATTATTTTTTAGTTTAAATCTTAATAAGTGTTTGTTATGAATTGACTGATGAGAGAATCTGAGTGTATTTATATTTATTTATAATGAATAATGAATAATAATTTATTCACGGTTAGATGAGTAAGTTTCGTCGTTTCGTCTTTTAATGCAATAATGCAGTCATTTCCTATTTTTTTTTTTTAAGAAAGGAAGCTTCTGACGAAAATATTGACTTTTTTTATATTTTTCATTTTATTTGGAAAATGGCTTAGGCGATTTTGAATTTTGCTTATGCATTTCAGAAAGTAATAATAAATGGCTCATTTGGTCTGTTTCGTTTAAACGTTTTATAGGATTTCTTGTTTGCTCATTTTTGAAATATGATAAGGTTTATTTCAGGGTTTTCAAATAAATGGTAAATGGTTAGCATCCATTTCTGGCTAAACTCGCTTCATTGGCTATAAAGAGGAGTTTTAGGCAAGGAAAATTAGTTATAACGGAAATTAGTGGCTGTTGGTACTGTTAGAAATTTTCGTCAGGTAATCATTCGACGATAGAAGTATAGTCATTAGGAGGGTCGCTTTTTTTGGTGACAGGTTTCTTTTCGGAAGCAGCAGCCGAATTGTTTCAACACGATAATCTGAGTCACTTCCGGCTGTCGTGCTCCTTCATTTAATTTGGTATCTTAGAAAAGTAAAGAATAGAAAGGAAAGATCTAAGAGATTCATTTTTATCCTTTTTATTCAACTAATCACCGTGTACGACTTTGAATCGAAAAAATTTCCGAAAAAAATTTTTCATTAACAATACGCTATACCATCAAAGATTATAACGAAACCATGGAAATTAAACTGATTAACTTGTTGAATTTTTTTAATTAATAAAATTTATTTGCTAATTTATGTAATTCGATTTAAAAAATGCTACGAAAAAATTTGGCATATTAAACAGTATTTTATAATAAGAAAATGAATTGCGTCAAAATCTACGCAACAAATCTCAAATATTGGTAATTTCAGCCCATTTCTAGTTAAGTTCTGACCATGGAATCAATTGATGATAGAACTGCTGGTGGTGGCTAACACCACTCGGATTTCTGAAAGATGGGTCAAGATAGATCATTTATGTCGGCAGTAGAATCTCGTCGGTAAAGTTCCAAAATAAGACTAATAACCGATTGAGTTATTCTGCCCTTCTGTGATTAGTATTAATTTTTGGACGACTGAATTTTGTAAATTTGAACGGAAGCTTCAGGTAACTAGCTAAATTCATCAATCTTCAAGCTAAATTTCTCAATTTAGCTTTAGAGTGACTAAATTTCCAAATTTCATTCGTGCAAGACTTAGGTTATTTCAAAACGAAAACAACTTTTGCTCAAGGTGATAAATGTGATGATAAATGATGATAAAGATGGTGATAAAATGTTAAATAAATATCATGTGAATCGAGTTCTAAGATTTCAAAAGTTGTCCGAATTAAAAATGTGTAAACTTGAAAATTAAGTGGAATGTTCGATCGTAGATTTGATTTCTGTCCTGTGGGAACAGAACTTATTATTACTAAGAATGAAATGAAACAACAATGGTGGGGACTCGTTGCTCCTCCAACCGCTTGCTATAAGGGCAACTCTTGCTATAATTTCTAATTTTATGTACTAATTTTTCCAATTTTATTTCTAATATTTCTAATTTTAATTTTATGTAGACATTACCTTTTTTATACATAACATATGGCTCTATGACGTTCAATAAAATGTTAGGGCACCAGATCCTCCGGTGTTCCGATACCTCAAGTAGTTTTTTCCTTATCTCTATTTATAACATGTAGTTCGGGGAATACTTCAACTAAATCAGATGGGCTTAGAGTTGCTAGAGGGAAACTAAATGAATAATAGTCGGGTAATGATCGCTGATTCTTATTCCGATTTAAAGATATTTTAAAAATTATTTTATGCAAATTACCCTTTTTTCAGCGATTGAAAATCATTTTGTTTAGCAAGAAATCTTCGCTAAAATCACTTTTTCACTTTCTGATAAATCGTTAAAATTGTCAAAAAATCCTTTTGAAAGAATTGTTACTTAACTGATAAAACAAACTGAAATCTCAAAATGGACTTCCGAAAAAGAATTTCCCTGAAAGAATGCGAAAATTATGAAAAAAATTCCCTTTCGAGTTAGCGTATATTTTTTTAAAATAAAAAAAGTGGCAAATGCACACCGTTAAAGGTTAAAGGTCAATGATGTGCTAATTTATTAAAGGATTAAGCGACGTTTTCCACAGTTCGTTTCTGAGAAATTTTACAGGAATTTGGCTTGGATTTCACGATGTGTCGCCATTGCACGATTGTAAAAGCCCTGAAAATTAAAATTTGCAATTTTTTCAAACGCTATAATCGTAATTGAAATTTTAAATTTACCTAATAAGCTCGAAACGCAAATATTAATTAATTTAATTGGGAGAGAATTCGATTGCATTTCAGTCGTCGACTTGCGTCTTAGTGATTTTACTCTCTCCTAAAATTTTCCCATTTCCCATTTTTCTTCTTTTAGAAATTTGATTGAAATGTAAAAATTTAAAAAACTTCATTCATTTTAATTTCGCCAATCATTTAAAGCTTTTTCTTTCATTTTTTGCATTACGAAAATTTGTAAGTGAATTTCAAAAAATGGGACTTGGCGAACCTATTTTTCGCTTATTTCCTACCTTATTTATTAAGTATTTGTTGATTAATAGAAATGAATACTTCATTTTTTGAAAATTTTTTCCTTTTCATAAAAATTTATTGAACTGAAAAGAAAATCATTTAAGTTTATGCGAGATATGTCTAAAATGGATATATTTATCGTATCATTTCTTATCACTGTTTCTGTAGAAGCTTTTATCACTTATAATTTCCATCAACCGTTCAATTTCAAGAAGAAACTTGCTTACGAGGTTTGTTCATTTAATTTTCCTTATTTGTCTTATTCTGATTTTTGCATCTGTAAAGAGGTTAGCGCTCATTATTTTTGGTTCCATTGGTTTTAAATAGAAATTTTTGATAGGGAATTGACTGCTTTGCTTTTTTTAGGTTTAATCGTAACAGATACAGGATCAGATTATTAAAATAATTCATAACATAATTTAAAGTAATTTAAGTAATTCAAAGTAAAAGTTCTTTTAAAGTTTGTTCTTTATTGTTTATTAATTATTAATTAAATGTTTAAAATCTATTTATATTTTGAATGTTCATTACTCAATTAATTTTAAGTATTCATTTTGTTATTAATAGAATTTGAGAAAAACAGAAGTAAAAAATAAAACTTACTGAAAAAATCAGATAAATAGCCAAAGGACTAATCAGATCATCGCTCCGGGCCTGGAATACGCTGCCTCTGATAGGCATAAACCAGGTATTAAATGTGTTGAAAAAACACATTTCTGTCGCCAACTAGTCCACTACTGAACAATAAGTTGTTTAGAATAAAAAGAAAGATCTTTTAGAAGACCACTCAACCTATGCGATTACCTGAAAGTGATAATCAGCAGTCATCTAAAAATCGACAGTTTTATCAACAAGCCATGGATTACCAATATTTTCAACCAACTTATGAGGACTTTATGCGTTATGGCAATTCACTGATGTTGAAAAAAAAATGATCAAATTACTTCTTACGGATAATTTGACTCATACGTAATGAATAAAAATTCATTAATACTTGGATGACCATTGACACATTTATCAATCTCACTAGAAAAAATATTTCAAAAGAAATTTAATCAAGAATATATACCATGAACTCGACTTAATCATTAAAAAATAAAAAAGTGAAAATATAAGAAAAATATTCACCAAAGTTTAACCTGCCCTTTAGCTTTTAACATAACAGTTATCTGTTGATTATTCGGATGTTTTTTTTTTGAGGTAAAGAATAAATGATAAAATAATGGATAGAGCGGATTTCTTTTCTTCCCATTATCACCTCGTTCATTGTTGATAATCTTTTACAATAACAACGAGCGAGATGAATATTCCGCATATAATTCCCCATATAAAATGTTAAAGTAGATGACCTTCAACATTTCGTTACATATCTAATAAAAAACTTAATTTATCGCTTCCGAGACCATTTAATCAATATCATTTTGATATCAACTGATCGAATCTTTATCAGCGAATAATATAATGATAAAATCCAATCTTTCATGGGAAAAAACATAGATTTTTATATATTGGAATTAATGAGTGCCTTAATAACGGTTTCAATGCACCTTATAAAAAATGATGAACCAATAGCTATGCAAAGCACTTAACTGAAATAAATTCAAAAATGCTATTGAAAATTGTTTAATAATGACCAATTAAGTAATTTATTAATTTAAACAAATCACCTTTGGTGAGGTACCTGAGCAACTCACTGTGATTGCTTAAGCCAAGTCAACACACTAGTCGTATTAAATTATTGAAGAAGACAATAGATGTTCTTGTTCCAGTAAAAACATGTTGGTGAACTGGAATTAAATTATTGGCATTAAGGTATATAAATCACCATTAGACGAATCTTTCAGATATCTTGTTACAAGTGCACACTTACAATTGGAGGGATGTATTTATACAAAAAAAAAGTGAAGCAATAAGAAAGATTTCTTCTTCTAACAGCTCTCATTATTAGCAAGCTCCGCTAGCTATAAGAATAAGATGCCTCCAAGAAGTTATTCCTTTTTCCATCGTCTAAGTTTCTATCGCTGGTCTCCCTATACGTTTAAAATCTTTCCTGAATGCATCAGCCCAGGGCTTGATTGGTCCACCTCGCTTTTGACCATCAAAAGATTTAGCAAATAATAAAATATGTGTCAACTCTTGTGCTGGACGACGAAGAAAGTGCCCTAACCAGCAAAGGCGACGCTCTGTGGTAACATTATTAATGCAAGTGGTATTTGAACGAAGATGGATACGATCACATGAGATTTTATCCGCTCGGCGAATCGGTAAAATATATCTTAGACATGAGAATGAGAATTCTAATAGAATAGTGACAAGAAAGTCGAGTGGCAGTTAGGCACTACTTAATGTCCTCCACTCTCACTGGCCATGTCCTGTAGCTCTATAGCACGATCGAGAGAATCATAATTTATGGAGATGGCTCCATAAAAATTTCGCTAATCGGAAGAACGCATTTTTAACCACCATTATCCGGTAATTTTGTCTTTCGTTTGGCCGTTTGATAACGGATGAATTGATGAAAATAGGTATTATTGTATCTGCTTCTATAAAGGTGAGATGAAAAGGGTTTATTGTATTTATGATCCATCTTTTGCTGCAATTATCGACCATTTTTTAGCTATTTGCATCAACTGTCAACAAAAAGGACCCACTTCATCAAAGTATTCAAGATTTCTGATACGATCTGCACTGATTTGTAGAACTTTTGATTGCCGACAAGCCATATCCATTATCCAGTTTATCGCATAGTTGAGTATTATAGAGGAAAGAATGGAGCTTTGACAGTATTACATACCATTATTCGAAATTTATACAGACCATATATACAGACCTGTACTAACGTACGGTGTACGGTTATAAAATACGAATGAATCGAATGAACTTCTCTGGAACAAAGCCGTTCTAACAACTGAATCGAAACCGGCAAAATCATGTAACGATGGATTGCATAAATTTGAAATTCCAGCACCTTTTCTAATGTGCATATTTCGTCAGCACAACTGTTTCCCAGTCTAAATCCAACTTCGTTGGGATTCTGTCTCGTGTTGCCATAAGTTTATTCAGCAGAAGAGAAGCAAAAAACTTCCTGGACGTGTTTAGTAAGCTGATTCCTGGATAATTTTCATAGTATTCTTGTCACTTTTTTTAAAAATTGGGAGGAGAATTGCTTTGCTTCACTCATCTGGTATGAGTTCTTTCTTCAAACCAGAAGGTATAATTAATGAAGGTATGTAAGAAAGGACGATGGACAATATTTGAAGAGTTGAGTCAGTAGACACCTTTCTCCTATCGATTTTGTTGACCTGAAGCTTATGGATAATAGAGATTATTTGCTTTTCTGCTGGCGATTTGCAGTTACCTTCATATAGGGCTCGATGAGCGGATCAGCTAAATAGTTTTTAACAAGCACACCAATTATTCAGTATCATTTGTTCTCCTGTTCTCCCTTATTCTCTGAGTCTTATTATATTATCGCCTAATCGAGCCTCCATGAACTGCTCGCGCATTCCAGTCTTCCTCGATTATGGTCATATTACTTTTCGTAGAAATATTATTAGTGATTCCCCATAGAACTTATCCCTATCGTGGTCAACTATACAATGATGACCGGAGTACTGTAGGACTTTCTTTTGAAGCAACTTCGAATCAAATGGTCCTTTACCGTCTTCTAATCAATCATAGCTGACCGAGCTTTTTGAGACAGTCGCTACGCCATTTTGCCCCAGTGTCCGAAACACCACAATGATGTAGCCATACGAGATCCGAAGTGTGGAAGAGGAAACACAGGCAACAAGAAGGCAACATCCACACGATATTTATAAAGAGTGTGAACAGTGATCACTGGCTTGTAATGTCTAGTTACCCCTACGATTCCACGCTACGACTAACACCTCACCGCGTGTGTAGAGAACCGTTTCGCTTGATAGGTTGCGAGCAATTGCGAGTGACTCGAGCAGATCATATTCTCAAGTCTTGAGATAGTTTGATAACGCTTGGATTGCATTTTTAAGACTAACAAAACTCCAGGAGATGGTCACTGCGACAATTATCGAGGAATTAACCTATTAGATGTCTACCAAAAATTTTTACTTCTCTGCCACTCAACAGACTTATGGAAGTACGAGACAGCAGGCTGTGCCCTAATCAAGCTGGTTTCAGACCAGGGAGGTTGTACTGACCAGATATTCACGTTAAGAAGGGTGTTGGAACATCGTTTCAAATATTTGCAACCCACTCACGTGTTTCATCGACATTGCGGCTGCCTTTCATTCAATTGATAGAGGGTGATGGAACGTGACAGTGTTCCAGAGAAAATCATTAGACTCTAAAGGTATTTTATGAGCGCATGTCGGCACAGGTCTGTATATGGGGAGCTGACAGCTGTCTGTATATGGGAGCTTCCTTGGAAATAAGAACAGTTGTCTGTCAGGGCTAGGTCCTTTCCCTCACAATATTCAACTATGCGATAGACTGGATAATGGACACTACTTGTCGGCACTCAAGAGTTAGTCCAGAGCATCGTATCACAGATCTTGAATACGCTGATGATGTATTCCTTTTTGCTGACAGTTATAACATGCAAGTAATACTAAATAACGTGTCAGAAACTGCAGCAAGAATCAGACTCAGGATCAATGTAAATAAAACGAAAGCCTTTTCGTCTTATATGCAAGAAGCTGATAAAATGCCTCTTTTTGTAGATTCATTGCCGGTTGAGGAAGTGCCTGATTTCAAATGCCTTATCACTTCTACTCTAATACCACTCTAATACCAAATGGACAGGCAAAAGATGATATTATAACTCGGATCACGGCAGCTAGAAATGCGTTCTTCTGGTTGACGAAACCTTTATGGAATCGTCGTGAAATCACCATAAAAACTAAATAGCAGAGAAGAACAGAAAAAGACCGCTCAAGAAATATTTACTATATGAAGCTTTTAATCAAATATTCATCGAAAAAAAATTCATCCAGAAAACGATAGCATCTTTCTCTACAGGGGGACAAACTTCCCTCCAACTTCCCTACAGTTGTTTCCTGGCTAAATCCTAACGAATAAATCCATTATTTGGCGAGCTCTCGAAGTCGTATCTGCGAACATCCTTGATGCTGGGAACTTCGAGATCGACGGCATTAACCATATTCTCTTCCGAATTAAGTACAGCAGTTCAACGCAGGAGTCCCTTTCCTTTAGCTCATATTCAGAAATGCGATCTATAACCTTGTTTTGCAGAACTTCATCGAATTTACCATTAATAGTCGATGAGTTTGTTCCTACCATTTCGTGAAATATGAGAAAGCGAATGGCTCGACAGAGTCGAAGCAATTACTTAGCTCTGCTGACCAACTCGCCGATCCCAACAACCGACCTGAATCACAGACCCACAAATTACTTTGATGAATGAGCATATCATTGAATATCTGAATATTCAGAAGCTGCAAGCTGCAAGATAGTAACATCATTTTCGATTCACTGGTTCATATCCAAACGGTCTGTGAAATTTCAACTGTTTCGGTTATAGGTGTTGCTGGTGTATTTGCGAGTTCGAGGAAATATGAGTTTGACCTTTGACAGTGGTGTCGTTTTGTCTGACCTTTATTGGCTTTCGCGAGAATGTGAACAACGTCATTTAATCGATGCTGCTCAGTGGTTCTTTCATTTTTATATATTTATTTATATATTTGCTAAATTTGCTAAATTTTGTTTACATATCATTTTAAAAGTTCGTAATTCTCATCCATTTTCTTGCATTTTAATAAATTTCTTTTTTTATAAAATTTATTTGACAGTAAATTTTAGAGAATTTCCTAATTTTGCTTCGCTTATTATTTTTGTTTTATTAAACCTATTTTTTCGAGTGATCGAATTCTTTTATCAATTTTTTCCATTTGTTTTATAAGTTTTATTGATTTTCATTTTTTTGGAACCTTTAGTTTCTAATATTTCCAAGATCTGAGCGACCGAAAAAAGCATCAGAAAATATCGATTCATTAACGAAAATTCTGAATAAAAGGCTGCAAAATCTTTAATAAAGCTCGAAAAATAGATTGAAAATTTAAAGAAAAATTTGCATTTCAGGGCAAATGAAATGATATTTTATATACCAAGTGAATGGCATGAAAAATATTTTTTAAACGGTGTTTTTCCGGAAAAATCTGCCGAAATTGTTTCTCGAACACCGTCTGCAAATCGAACGGCTGCTTTTGGTACCTTTTTTCAAGTGAAGCATTTGTAGCAGTAATATAAACTTCAAGAAAATAAGAATAAATGGCGCAAAAATATGCCAGTAAAAATTGATAAATAATTTGTAAATGTCAGTAGTGACATTTGAGATTAAATGTTGTGAAATCCTACTATTAAAATACTATTAAAATAAAGACAATTTATAAAGTTAACTTTTTATTACTTTTTATTTAGATTCTTAAGTAAATTTCTTCTTAATAAATTTCTTTGTAATTAGCGTAGCTTTCTAAATTTCTTATTTTTCTTTAGAATTCTTTAGAATTTTGTAAAATATTATTCAATATTTATTTTATTATTATTATATTATATATTATTTTTATATTATTTTTAAAATTCTTTACGATAAAGAATGTTTAAGGAAGGTTTCAGGGCGTTCATTAATGCAGAAACGTGAGTTCTACCGTGCAGCATATTTTCTCGAAAATTTAAAGGATAATTCTGAATTTGATCGCTTTATGTATTATTTTGCACGTTATTTGGTTAGTAAATATCGATTTTGAATAATATTGTTATCGTTCGAAATTTTCTCAAACTTAGTTATTTTTTCGGTACTGAATTCAGCGAAAGATTTAATCTTTTCTTTTTTTTTCGTAAAACGTGCCATTCAAAATTTCCATAAGATCCATTATTTTCGATATTTCTTATAATAAAATGTCATCCTTAATGTTTATCCTTAACTTCATTAAAATATTTTTAATATTTTGAAAAATTTATAGAATGAAAAGGAAATTATTTCTTCAGATTTGACCTTCGTTTTTGTTTATTGAACTGTTGAACCAAAAATTGTTTAAATTGTTTAAAATTGCTTAAATTGTTTTTGGTAGAATAATCGAATTTTTTCATTTAATTTAAAATATGGACATCTGTTCAGAGAAAATAATGATATACATTTGACTGTGAAATTTCATCTTTGTGCTATTTTTTGACTCATTTTGATGTGATTTTGATGTGACTTATTTGATATTATGATTTGTTGATAAGAGATATTTGCAATCAAAGTAGATCCCAGGAATATTTTTTTTAGGCATGTGAGCATAATCGCTTGGAAAATGACGCCGATGCGATTTTTCGCCAAGAAAAGTTTGATTATAGTGAAATGATTTCATTGCACAATGAGCTAAATGAATTGGGAAGTATGAATCCTAGTTTCTTTGATGTTTTTTTAATGTACATGTAAGTTTTTTTAAGTTTTTTTCATGTCTTTTTATGTTGCCGAGTGGTTGTATTTCATATTGAGGGAAATGTTTTATTCGAAATCATAATTAACTGTGATAATAATAAAATATTGTCACTAGCAATACGATTTTGATCGAACAGATGCACCATAATGCCCGATTGGAAAGTTGTAAGATCTAATTGTTTTGATCTTTTCTGGAGTTCCAAAATACTAAATAATATTACAAGATTATTGTAGCATGCAAATAGTAGTGGTTATATTTTGACACAAATATATTATGGATTGGATAAAATATTATTATAATTCACTACTAAATTTTCAGAATTTGATGATTTTCTTGTTCATATTTCGTATTTCTCAGGAATTGTTGATTTTTTAAATGCTTTTAGAAATACAAAATTGCAGATTGGGCAAAATACGTGTGAGTCTTAGACTGAAGGAAGAAGCTAAAATTGCTTTCTTGGAATGCCTTAAATTTAATCGTGCATTCTGGCCTGCTTGGGAAGCACTTGTGAATTTAATTGGATCGATCGAAGAAGTGTTTATTTTGTCCGTTGTTCTTTGTCATTCACTAAAGAATTATTAGCTAATTTTTTTTTTAAAACCTAATGACCTGTCTTTATAACATATGAAAAAATTTCAGTGCTATCAGTTCTTAATTAGAATTAGTTATTTGATTTCTTGGTTACTGCTTTATGCTTTGTCAAAAATTAATTGTAGGCATTATTGCTGGGAGCGATTTCTTATATATCGAGAGAGAGAGAAATTTTGAAATTTTTTCCTTTATTTTTCGATGTTCTTCATTATTTTTTCAGGCTGGTAAATATGAGTATATTGATAGCGATCATTGGATGTATCAATTTTTTAAAGCGGATATATTTTTTCGAATGAATTTGCATAAGAATGCATTAGATCAGTATGAGCGTATAAGCGAAGCAGGTTTCACCAATATGCCACATATATTAAATGAAATCGCGGCTTGTTTAAATTATTTGCAAGGTTAGTTATTATATTTATTAGAGTTTTTATTATATTTATTAGAGTATTTTTGAAAATTGGATTTTATAATTCGAAAATTACTCTTTTCTTTTTCTTATTCTTTTCCTGATATTTTTGTTTTTAGAGCATGACTTATCACTAGAAATTTTCAAGAAAGTTCGCAAAATGGATCCATATCGAGTCGATCAAATGCACCTTTTTTCAGACTCATTATACGTTCGAGTAATTTTCTTTTTTCTATAATTTTTTTCGAAAATAACGATGAAAATAAAAAATACTAGATTTTTTAAATCGGTCACGTTCTAGTTCATCAGTTTTTACATTTTTTCAGAGTTTGCGGTCGGATTTGTCATATTTGGCCCATTCATTTTACAAAACTCATAAATTTAAATGGGAAACATGCTATATTGTAGGTAAGAATGAAGAAATTTGCTTAATGAGATATCTCCAACAATTTTTGAATTTTTCATTTCCTAGTTCTTAAGATATGCTATTCGGACTATTGTACATATACAGATATACAGATATACAGATTATTTTAATAATATGTTCCTCTTTATACGATTAAGATTAAGATGACATTGGATTATATTTTATCTTAATTATTTTTAGCTAATTACTATAGCTTGAGAGGAGAACATGATCGAGCTGTAACTTTTTTACAACGCTGTTTAAAGCTTAATCCTCAAAATTCATCCGCTTGGACTCTTATTGGTCATGAATCTATGGAACAAAAAAATCATTCAGCTGCTTGCCTCGCATATCGAAGGGCAATTGGTGAGTTCACGAATTGTTTTATCATGGCTTTTACGCGACAAATATTTTTTATTAATATATTATATTATTATTATTATATTTTTATAAATATTCTTTAAGGTGATTTAATGTTATGTAGTGATTGCATTTATTTTTGTAGATTATTTGTTGAGGGCTTAAGACGATCTGCTTTTTTACATTTTACCGAGATTTCGTAGAATTAGGTGATTGTCCATTTCATTTAACTTTTATCTTGGCAGTTTTGTTAATTCTTTGCATTGGAGGAGCTTCTCAGAAATATTCGAAGCGAATAATTATCCACAATTTTCATAAAATTTAATTTAACTGACATTTCAGAAATCGATCCAATGGATTATAGAGGCTGGTATGGCCTTGGTCAGTTGTATGATATACTTAAATTGTCGTCTTATTCTCTTTACTATTATCATAAGGCTCATAAGTGCAAGTAAGTGCAAGTATTTTGTGATATACAGGCGAATGAAAATTCATTACTAATATAAAAAAGTTTATGCGAGTTATTTCTCACTGGTATCATTTCTCACTAATATTTATTGTGATTGCGACTTACCTGTATTTCTATCGCCAAGAGATTCTCTGGCATATTTGTCCAAAGCTAGCAGAGTGAGTTTAACAGGTAATGATGAGGACTCTTGAAAAAAAAAAATTCGTTGTGATTACGCAAAAATTTCCATTATATGTTATAAAATTATAAAATTCTTGCATTTTTTGAAAATTGTTGTCTTAATATTTTCTTTCTTTAGAGCAGATGATTCTCGTATGTTAGTAGCTCTTGGAGAGGCGTATTCAGATTTAATGCGATATAATGATGCTCAAAAATGTTATCTCAGAGCTTTCAAAGTTGGCGATGTTGAAGGAACAGCTTTGATGCTTCTCGGAAAGTATTTTTTATTGAACTTCAAATATATATGAATTTTTTTTCAAATTTCTTATTGAACATTCATTTATATCTTAATAAGTTGGGTTTCAATTAATTTTAACTCAATTTAATAGAAATAATCTATTAATTGGTTATAATAAATTAAAAATAAATTAATAAATTAAACTTATTGTATATAGGAGATGGAATATATTTTTTTGCAAAAGTTTAAATTTTTTATTTCAGATTATATGAAAAAGAAATGAATACTAGTCAAGCCGCTTTGGTTTATGAAAAATATTTGAATGTTTATGGTGAAGAATTGGTATTTTCTTTGTCTGTTTTTATATTCTCATTGTATATTTATATTAATCAATTGATAATAACTGTCATAGTCAAAGAATCATTGGATCATTAGATAAATAATATTTTGCTTGTTATATCATTTGAAAGCAATTTTTATCTGATTGGGTAAAACGGATCATTTTGTAGATTAATGATGGCGAAGATGTTGCTTATTGTTGTATTTTCTTGGCAAGATATTACATGAATAAAGGGGATTTGGATACATCAAGCTCATTTGCACAACGTTGTTTGGAATTTGATTTAGTTAGTTATTTCGGTGTGTTCAGTGTACTTCAGTGTTCTTTTCAATCTTTTCGAGTTTTATGTATTTCATATTTTATTTTTCTGATTTCTTTATTTAATTGATAAATTTTTTAGACAAAAGTAGAAGGTAGGAATATACTTAGTTTAATAAGTCAGTCACATCATCGGATGAGTTTGATTCCGTCTTCTACTCACATTGCTATTACGTCAACTCCATCTGTTACTGCACCTATTGCTGGTGATAAGCAATTACCATCAGATGCCATGATCACTCCTATTTTGCCAAAGGTTACCGTAAGGTTGGTTGTTTGATTTTTTAAAATGCGCACAAATTATTTTCATAATTTCATAGCATAAAATCTATGTTTGCCATTTTTAATTACTAGAAGCGCTGATTTAATCTATTTTGTTAGTTCAAAATGAATTTTTACATACAAGATAGTTTGGCAAGTTTTTTCTTTTACAGATATATTTTTTAGTGCTCCCTTGCAATTTCGTTCACCTGCACAAGACGATGGCGAAGTAGATATGCTGATTTCATCAGAGGATGATTCCGATTGATTATTGAAATGTCGTGTAATCTTAAAGCCATTATAAATATTGTTTTTTGGTTGTTTAAATTAATTTTGCTTGTAGTAAAAATATAGGATAATATCTAAGAATATCTAGTTTTCGAATATAGAGATATATGAAGCAAGCAAGATTTCCTATGGTGCCGATGGGTTTTAAATGAAAAATCTTGAGCAGTCTGTTGTATTTTATATTAAATACTAAATATTACTGCGATAAAATTTAAACAGTTTAGACAAGCTTTAAAAAATCTCTCTAAAAAATTTATCCATTTTCTTAATAAAAAAATATTAAAAAAATTTGAATAAATTAATGAAATATAACAAATTAGTACCGACAAATTATTTAGAAATGAAATGTAGAAGACTGATATAGAACTCGAAGTCCATAGCACCTATTTCCGAGAGATGTTGTATCAAATTTTGAAAATATTTTGATTGCAGACCACTTTTTAATTTTGAACTGGAATTCCCGAGAAAGGGACTTCTAGGGATTTTTCATTGGATTACCAAAGGAGACTAAAAAAATATATGACAGGCAAATTACTCTTTCTATTAGCGTATTATATAAATTTGAAAGGATTCGATCTCTCTAATTTCTTTATTAAAATGGTTTAGCGAGTCTTGAATATCTCAGACTTGGGCTCAGTCATGGTTGAAAACAATGATATTGACGTTTATTGCAAAATCTTAGTAAAGAAGTCCTCAAGAATGTTAAATTTTATTTTCCGGTCGTTTAAAAGCAGAAGTCAAGGTTTTCTTATCAAAATATACAAAGCGTTCGTTTGGCCTCTTCTTGAGCATAAGGCAATCCCTAGATGCGACCAAGCAAGTAAATAAATTGCAGGACTCCAGAAATACTTTGTACGTCATCCCTCTTCCGATTTCAGTTATAGAACACGGCTTCATCTATACAACCTAGACTCACTTTCAATTCTCGAATTAACCGAGATTTAATTTGTACATATAATATGGTTATGTCAAATTAGATTGTTCGGAATATAATTTCATGTTAAATTTTAACCCAAGCAGATGGGCTAAAATTATAGAACACATATGCAGAATTAAACTAAGGGCATTTTCATGGCTTTTTCATTCGGACCGTCAATTACTGGGATAAGTTGCCGAATAACGTAATTTGTGCATCATCCTTGGCTATTTTTTAAAGAATGATCGAATAATATCATGGATGAATATTATTTAGAAACTTCATATGTTACGAAGGTAGTTTGAAATCTTATCATCGGAATCTTATCTTATCTTTATGATAGTAGTAATGAATTAGTTCAACTCGTGTTATTCCGTAATTCCCCTTTATATGTATTATTTCTTTTATCATTGTTGGCTTTTGGTCACCTTCGTTTCGTGCCTTATATATTATATCAGTGATTTCTTCCATTTCTGTTATTATGCAAGCATATGGCGCTTTTCGCTCTCCTCGGTTGTTTCAAATAAATAAATAAATTCTGCAAGTGAATTGAAAAAAGTAAATGGTTAATCATATCATTTTTGGTTAGACGAGCTGTTAGTTCTTAGCGAGAATTGTTTAAATAAGAACTGTATATCTGGCTGGTGGTTACTCGAGTATCTTCTCGTAGTAGCAATAAACTTCATATTGAAAAATTCACGTGGTTTTAGGGGACTATATTTGCTGATTATCCTTATGTAGCCGTTTGACGAAATTACTATATAATATTAATTAGTGCAACGAACCTGGTGGCGAGTGATGGTGAATATTATTTTTCCTTGATCTATTAATTATTAATTCCAATTTATTCCTGATTTTTAATAATAGAAATCTTCTCAGCAAGAATTTCACCAATGCAATTTCCAATATAAAAAAATCCATTTAATATTTTGCACCAATTTGCTTTCCAGCATGAATCGCGATGATAAGATGGCTTACATGATAATTTTCTTTCGAGCATGAAATGTATAAAGCCTTTAAAAAAAATTTTCAAAATATGTAGGCCCAAAGCCATCATATGATCATTTTGTGAATCTATGCGATGAAACTAAATTTATTATTATTAATGTAAAATAGCCAGTAACAATAAATAGAGATTTAGTGGAACAATGCGACATTGCCCTTATTTCCAATTTTGGACCAATTTCAAATCCAAATATATCCTTTGGACGATGTTTTATAGAAAGCTACTGCTTAAGGGAAACTTTATAACCAATCATTTCCAAAATCACCACATGTAAAACAAAAAAAATTACAAAAATCCAATTTGATAAATAATTCAAATAATAACAAATAATTTAATGAATAATTATCCATTTTTAGAAATATTAAATTAAATAACTTCGTTGGCTACAATACAATCTGCAATCCATAAAATATGGAAAAAAAATCCAAAACTTGGTATAATAGCAAAAAATCAAACTTTAGATGGACCTCAACAGAACATCCAACTGCTTTTATGATAGGCAAATTGCCCTTTTTTTTTCAAAAGTGTAGCGTTTTTCATGCCAATTCTAAAGGAATCGATCCTCCTAATCTTTTTATTAATGGTAATATAATCAGAAGAGACTCATACATTTCCGTTCTCGGAATAATCATAGATGATAAATAGATAATCTCGACCTTCACTGCAGAACCATGGCAAAGAAATCCTCAAAAATGCTAAATTTTCTTTTAAGTTTTATTTATTATGTTCGTTTAAGAACAAAAGTTTCTTTATCGAAATATACAGAGCGTTCGTTGGGTTTCTTCTTGACTACAATACTACCTGTTACGCCCAAATCAAATAAAATAATAGAATTGAAGGACTCCAAAAATATTTTATACGACGCCTTTCTCTTAATAGCAATTTTAATTATAAAAGAGAACTTCCACAATAAAACCGTGTGATGAGTGACGCCAAAAAAGAGGCGGGCCAATTAAGACCTGGACTGATACGACCAGAAAAGATTTTCAACGTATAGGTGGACCAGCAATATATGGACTTATGATGGAAAAAAGGATGGCATCAGACAGCGCCATTTGGAAGCGCCTTACCTTGTAGCTGTAAGAGCCAGCCTAAGCAGTAGTAATGGTGAACTGTATTAGAAAAAAAAGACAATACAACCTGGATTCTCTCTCAATTCATCGAATTAAACAAGATTCAATCTATACTTATAAGATTCTGTATGGTTATGTTAAGCAAGATTGTTCGAAATGTTATAATTTTAGGCTAAATTTAAATCCAACAAGAACTTATGGGCTAAAATTACTAAAAGCTAAATGCAAAACTAAACTAAGGACTCATGACTTCTTTATTCGTACTATTAATTACTGGAATATATTACCGATATAGCTTTATTATTTAAAAAGTTCACATCATGCAGGAAGTGGGAATTTTCGATTTTTACCATCCGATATATATATATATATATATCCGATTATACAGTTTTTTCGAATTTATATTGCACTATATTGCACTATTATTTTGTAATTTCCTCTTTAAATTATTAATTTTTGCCATATTTTCTTTTTTTATCAATAATTATCTATTTTATCTATTTTATTTTATCTGTTTTTATTAATATAATATCTGTTTTTTAAGCACATGGCATATGTCGCTCTGTTTGGCTGATTTTTCAATAAATAAATAACTTCAAACAAGCACGTATGTAATACTATACAGAGAATAAATAAATACACGTAAATAGTAAAATATATAAAATACCGAAATGAAGATGTAAACAAAAGACATAAAATGAATAAAATGAATGTAAGACAGTTCAAAAAAAAAAAGTTATTTAATAACCATATTCAATACCATATTCAATCCTCGAGCCATATTCAATTAGTTTGAGGCAAAAAATAACACCAGGACTAGATTAAATTTAATTTCTTATTTAAAAGTAAGTGAGAAATGCTATAATTTAACCAAAATTACGATTAATACCATATTAATTTAATTTAAGAGCTAGAATATTATCATAACCTGGCATTAGTAACTGATAAGGTTGTTTAAACTGATCTGATTAGTGCGACGGATCATCATAATGAGAAATATTTCCTTCTTTTTTTCTTTCACGTTCACGCTGCTCTAAACATAAAAACATTTAACGAAAGAAAGAATTGCGAAAATCAAGACGAAAACTTTTACTGAACTTTTTGATGAATGAAAATTCTTTTTCAACTACTAGGAAATTTATAATATAATATCATATTGAATTATAAATTTAATATCTTGTTCAAAAATGTATCGAAAAGTAATATAAAAAACCTAAGAAGAGGGATAGTTCAGTGGGATATTATTTATTTTTGGAGTATCTGTAAAATTCCTTCTTTCAAGAATATTTCGAAAATCCGGATGATGTTGCCAAGTCACCTGTATTTCCATATTTCCATTGCCAAGTGATTCTCGTAAAATTTGTAAAATTTGCAAAGATAAGCCAGTATAGCCAGCCTAACCAGAATTGAGAGCTTTTCAAAAAAATAAAAAAGTTAATGCATCGAATGCAAAGGTAAGAACTTACTTTTCAACTCACAATTCATACGAAATCTGCGATCCAATCGCACCTGTTTAGCTTTCGCTTCAACATATAACTCGCGTATTTTCTGCATCCTTTCCAAATACTGAATAATTTTCACCTCATGACTGGCTGTTATATCTGAATTTTTTAAAAACATGTTTAGCTGAAAGAAACCTCGAAAAAAATTAAAAATTAAACCGGATAAGAGGAAAGAAAAATAAAATAAAATGCCTAAATGCTTTATTTCATAAATAATTTTTTATAAATCACCAATTCCAGGTAAACCCATCGATAATGCAGCTTCTTCAAGCATTTCATCGCCGATTTGTTGCTGTATTCGTATTTTAAGAGCATGCAAATTGTCTCTTGTTGTCGTACATCCTAAATGAGACCTTTATACTACACTATCATTAAAACGAGTCCATCTTTTCGTCAAAAATTCTAAGGCGAGAAAACGAGGAATTTCGATTTACTTATTTTTATTATATATATTTATATAATTATATATTTTTAAAAATCTAAAATTGTTTAAAAATAATCCGCTTTAATTAAAAACCAAAATGATCTAAATCAATGAAAAACAAATATAATCAACAAAAATAAAATAATGAAAAGGATGGAAAAACTCCAACAATACCTTCAATATCACTTTCAGAATCTTCGTCTGAATCAAACGTATTCTCACTATTTCTGCCGCATTTAACATTTTTCTTATCGGAGAGCGAAGAGCGACGATTTTTATAACGTTTTCTCCTTGTGCCACCACGAACTGATTTATGACGTTGAAAACGTGAATGCGATATACCGACAGCCTGATCTAAAAGTACCATTGGACATTGCCTTATACTGTCTCTATAGATAATGCAAATGAAATACAAAAGAAAAAATACCATCATCGATTTCACCTGCGGGTACCTCACCGCTCTGTAAATCATCAGTAACACCAGTTGAAGCGGAAGAGCTCCCTCTAAGTTTTTCTTCCACTACAAATAGTTCAAGCAAATCAAGTAGAATTTAAAAGAAAACATTTTTTCCCATAAAAAATTCAATTGAACAATTCATAAACAACTGAACAATTTATATGAATAAAGTGGGAAACTTCATAACATTTGAAAACCCCACTTGCTACTGATGAGACAGTCGCAACTTCGTTTTCATCGAATTTTTGACTAAGAGATTCCAAAATTTCTTGGGGAACTTGGTGAATCTGAAAGAAAAAACTCAAGTAAATTTAGAGTAAATATCTATTCAAAACATTAATGCTTATCATTTTTATAAAAGCAAATTTATCGAAAAACAATAGAATTATCACTTTTTAACCTTTACATTGGTAGCCTTGAAATAGAATTTTTAAATCATAAAATTAGTATAAAAAGTCATCTTCATCATTTAAATTTTCCTACAATAATCATTTGTGACTGAAATCCAAACCCTTCTAAATAAAGGGGGCCGAAGCATCGATAGTTTGAATCTCGTCTCTTGTGGTATACAATCCAATTTCAAACGACTCCAAAGAGCTTCATTTTAGTAGCACAGTAGCTAAACCAGAAATGATGGATACTATTTAAAAAAGAATTTCGAATGGTTTCACTAGAGCTAATTTCAAATTTCTCTATATCTCTTAATTATGCTAAATAAGAAAAAACTACCATTTTTCCAAACGAAATATGCGATAATCAACAGAATATTTACCTCCGGTACAACTATGCTTTTTGGATGATCCTTGCTGCGATGAGATTCATTTTTTGATTTGATTGATAGTTGTGCAGCGGAATGAGAAGAAATATAGAAATTGCCTTGAGAATGCTCATATATCTCTATAAAAAGAATGAGGAAAAAATATAATGTAAAAAAAGTATGATATATGATATATGAAAAAATGGGTTAAGACCTGAGAAGAACAAAGTAGACGTATCTTGATGGATATTTTTCCCCCTTTCAGATACAAAATTGAATCTTTGAGCCATCAAATCACCTAAATGTTACCAATTTCAAAATTTTTATTTAATTTTAAGATAAACATGATCTAAAAGAATTGCTATATACGAAAAAATGAAATTTGATTTGTAAAGAATTCATTTAAAAACCTTCCGTAAAAGAACTGAAATATGGATAAATAATAGTGCTGCAACAATGATCAGCTTTGCGCACGAATGAAGCACAACATGTTATAGAAGCAGATGCCTCCGAACTATTAGAATCCATATTCTGGAAGGTTGAACAATGAATTCAAATTAAGCAAAAAATTACCGAGATTAATAAGAAATAGAAATAAGATTACTACAATTTTCCACAAATGCAATTAAAATTGTATGTAAACTTCATATTCATTTCAAATTTTATGAATTTTATTGATGTAACGATAATAATGAAAATAATTAAAAGCAGTCTTCAGGATTTAAAGTAATTTTACCTCAGCTATTTTGTTACTGGATTCCTCCTCAATCAACGCGTTCTGAGCTGTAAAACTATCATCGCTAAATAGCATCTTACTTGGGTCAACATTTAACTGAACATCCGAATCCGAATACCTTGCAGAATATGAAATGCATTCGCTATTTGGAAGTAATGAAGTTTTTCCCACAGCAGCAATATCAAGTTCTTCATATGAACAAGCAGGAATGGTTGCTGCCTAAATTTGGTAGAATTTCATCATTTTCTACAGTTTTCACCATAAACTTTCAATTTCAAACGTTAATTTGTAAAATTTAGAAAGTTATATATTCCATTTTTTCCACCAATAAACAAAATCAACCACCAAAAAAAAATATTATTGCTGTAAAATATTAATATTAAGCAAATAATAATGTTTATAGTTAAACCGAAGACTGAGTTGATGACTCAAGTTCACAAGTTGATAACATATTAAATGAAGTAACAGTATCCGCAAGTTCTGATGAAGCTACTGCTTTTGATGGTGCAAAAGCAGAAATTTTAGGTGAAGGTGTGGATCTAGAAGGAGTAATATCAGATCGTACTTTCGACCCTATCTGCAAAATTTCAGTTAAAAAAACTGCTAAATTTTGATATCATTTTTAGAAATGAATATTTAGCCATTGGAAAAATTTTTCGAAGATTTCCCTTCAACACATCTCTTTTCATACTGGTTTCGGCAAAGAGGGAATAAACGCACACTTATACAATAGCCATATCTCTGATTTAGAAGAAATAAATTCAACCGATGCATTAGATTGAGATCGTGCTCTTGAGATAGTTTCAATCTGTTCAATTTTTGTAGCTTGTCTTTCATAATGTGAAGCAGATATACGACGCGTCCTAAGAAAATAATTATATAGTAAAAATATATTTTCCTAATAAAAGGAAAAAATGCCAAAATTTAAAAATGAAAAACTTTCACGGTAACAAAAAGTCATAAAAAAAGAATCGATGAAGAAAAAAAGAATATTAATTAAAGTATTAATTAAAATAAAAGTATTAATAAAGTATTAATATATAAAAGTATTTTATCAAAATACACACCTTGTTTTACTTTGATCAGTGCTATTAGTTGGTTTTATGCGAGTCGACTGAAACGTATCGCCTGATCGCCATTCTGCGGCAAGATTTATAGTGTCGACAGAGATAGTATCAAGAGCGTATTTTTTAAACATACAAAGTGAACTATTCCAATCCTGTAAGAAATTTCTATTCGCAAACAAGGTAAATTTATAAAATCACCTTCTATTAAACAAAAGTATAGAGAGCAAAACCTTTCTTAAGACACGAATACGAGAACAATTGACCGATTCATCATAACGAGGATTCCAACCTAGATAATGCAGAAAGCAATTAGTATTTTCAAGCTGTGATTCCAACTGACAATTTAACCAAATTTCAGCAGTATTCCTCACCGAATCCGCATTTCCATCTGTTTCTTTTTTTCTGCAAAAACCAGCGAAATCATCATCAATATACGAAATATACGAAAATGTATATATTATATCACAACAAGACAGATTTATAACTAAAACGATTTATAACTAAAATTTTGAAAAAACCTTTTAACCTCTCTTCATATTCACTCAGTAGCACGACAATATCTTCTATACCCGCTTGATATTCAACTTTTACTATTCTAGCACCATACCAATTACCATTATGATAGGCCAGAACATCCTGACCTATCGAAAATCGAGTTAAACTAAAAAAAGATATTTTAAAAAAAAATTTCACCTGAAATTTTATAAAAAATGAAAAACTTTAATTAAAATCATAACAACAATGTTGGATAGTTGGATGTTTAATCGAAATATAAGATGTACGGTGTAACTGCAACAAAGTCTGCTTCCTTCTTTTCTATCATATCAATATCTCTTGTTTTAGATCTATTCACACCTTCTCGTGATAACTCAGAGTATTTCGTTTGCCCACTACTAATAGACGAAGGTGACAGTGTGCTCCGAGCTCTCCCACTTTGTTTTTTTCTTCCGCTATGACGAGATAATTGCGTGCCACCTACGATAAAATTCATTAAAAACAAAAAAATCAGTTTTTTTAAATGTTCTTATTGTTCTTACAGAAATAAAATCAAAGTTGCAATGAAAACTACCTTCATCATCACTATCTTCAAATGACATTGTCGGTTCTTTCTTTATTCGTAAATTTCGAATCATTTTGCGTTTTTTTTCACTTATCGGTTTCACAACACAGTCATCAGAATTTTTGCGCCTCCGCTGGAACAAAGTATTTTTTTTCTTTCACTGATGGTTTTTTGTGGACAAAAAAATATTAAAAAGAAAAAAAATCTTAAATAAACCTTTCTTTCACTGAAACCCAAATTCTTACTCGGTTTTTGAGGAGATTTACAGACTTTCCTAAAGTCAGAATTTGCTATTTAAATTGTTTTAAAAATATAAGAATATATTACACTATAATAATAAATTAAATATAGCAAAAAATAAAACAACTTATTTTAGAATGGTACTGCAATAAAATTAAAGATTAGGTCAGAAAATTTTTTATTTGTTTTTTATCGATCCTTTATTTTAGGAAATAAAAATTCTTAAATTAGAGTTTTAGATTTCTAAAATTCTTGCATACTTCAACAATTCTTCGATATTTTCAGAAGTTTTTCTCCTTCTTCTGCTTCTCAATTCGCTAATTTCTTCGCTTTTACCACGATCACTATAGCTTTTTTCCTCATATGCGATTATTTCTTCCTTCAGCTTGCCCTCGTTTTCAACATTAATATCTTTATTTTCCCACTGTTTGGAATTCGAAGTTGCGTTTAATTTATCAGTAGTTGAAACTAGTTTTGAGTATTCTGAACTTTCTGATGATGCCGATTGTTTTCTAAACTTTTAATTCATAGATAATACAGAAGATTAGGTTTTTATCAAAGAACAAGAAATTTGTTTCTGGTTAGAGATATATTTTAGGACAAAATACCTCAATAGCTCAAATCCCCTTAGTAAAGATAAAGCATATCATTAGAAATGAAATCTGGAACTGATGGTGATTCATCTGTACGATGAAAGTTTCATACCTTAGTAATTTGGACCTGACAAAACCAGAAATGGAGAGAACAGTTCAAAGAGATAATAAAATGTTTGAAAAAGACCAATGCCTCTCATAATCAAATTCAAATATAAAAAGAATAACTCAGTAGAAGAAAAAAACAAACTTTTCACGCCTAATATCACTCAGTTTCTTTCCCTTCATATTTTGCTTTTTACCCTCCTTTTCCTTCCCCAATTTTGATAATCTTCTCTTGTCCTTTACAGTTTTCCCACCAGCTTCCAATGTTTTCTTATCCTTTTTTTTAATATTTTCCTTTTTCCTATGGTACTGCAATAAAATTAAAGATTAGGTCAGAAAATTGAAATAAAAAAAACTTTCATACAATAGAAAATTGAATGAACTAAAGCTTAAAATAGAAAACAAAAGAATAACAAGCATTTTAAAAAGAAAAAGTTTAAAACTTCATTAAATACTAAAAAATTTACCCGCTCTATTTCGCGGTCAGTTGGGCGAGGCAGTCGAACACTCCGAGAAGAAGTAGAATGTGTAGGCCAATCAGAAAGTCCGAGATTACGATAGAAACTGTTGAAATGATCCAAATATCTGGAAAATAAAACTTCTATAATTCATTTAAAGAATTAGCTAAACTTAAAACATACCGTGAATAAGCATTTTTTACTGCAATCGGTGTTGCCCCAGGACATCCTTCAAGTCGCATTCTGCACAGAACTTTTTTCCACTTACTATGCTCGGTTACTTTCTTCTTACCACCATACATCTGGACAACATTGTGCAATCGAAACATGTCGATGTCTTTGCCGCCAAGGATAGGCGCTTTATTAATAGGTGTTCCTATTAAAAAAAAGAATGAAAATTGATTGAAACCACTTCAAGTAAGGTGATATATTTTCTAAAGATATAAAATTGATGATTTTTGTGCTATATGAAGAAAATTTCATTTTAATAATAAATCTTCAGTTCAATATATACATATTCAATATAATCAATCGCGCATAATAAATGGTACCAATGTGAATCGCATTATTATTTTAATATTTTATAGAATATTTTAATATTTCATAAAAAATTTTTATTGTAAGTTTTAATTTTAATTTTATAAAAAATAAAATATAGACCTCTTTCCTCATGAAATTTATAGAGTTGCGCAGTAAACTGATCCCTTTCTGCTCCATATTCTTCACCTTCACTGCTTTCTTCATAAGATGAAGATTCAGAACTAACCCTAAATCTCTTCAAAATCAAAATTTCTTAATTTATTACCTTTTTATAAAAAACAATACAATAAAGATAACAGACGCTTTTCTTTTCACTTCCTTGGCTTTTTGGCGGCGCGGCATTTCTTTCTTATTTGAAGCTGCGACTTTTTTATGGGAAAAAGATGATTCAGACTTCGGTTTTAAGTTTGTTTTATCGCCACCAAATATTTGATGATGCTCCCAACCTGCTGGAAGCAATCCTAGAAAGACAGGCTTAAATTTTCTTTAAATTTTCCTAGAATTTGTTTAACCGAAATCTATGCGTATTATGAATGATCGCTCAAATGCAATAATGATAATAATGATTTTAATTAAACAAAGCCTTTTTCTATGAAGACATTAGCACGATCAAGTGCAATTTTCGAAAAGACTTCCGAACTTTTGACAGCATTTGCTTCCAGCGGTAATAAAGTGTTAGGCTCGGAGCAAAAACTGAATAGAACAAAGATTATATAAAAAAGAATTAAAAAAAGTTGAAAACCTGAGAAAAATTTAGATTAAATTTAAGAAAATTTAGAGGAAAGTTTAAGAACAACGAGTGAGAAAAGATTAAGAGCAAGAAAAAAATTTAAGAGAATTATTAAATGTACCTTTCATTCCCAAAAAAACTTACTATTTACTATCTCGAAAGCTTCTTAATATTATATCATCCTCATCGACTGCCAGTGCCTCTTTCATACTTGCTTTTAGTGCATTTGCCGAAACGATAATTGCTGGTGTCCACTTACCTTTACGAGAGCAGTCACCATATGCCGCTACTACATCCCCAACTGTCCAATCATCCTTAACAAACAATTTATTAGTTCCACTGGAAGTATTTTCCAATTGTGATATAATTCATGAAATATTGAAATTGAAATTGGATCTTTTTATGTCTCTGAAACTTTCAAAAAATTTAATTATGATTTAATTATGATTAATTCGCGATAAATTTTTCTAACATTGATTTTACTTTAAATTTGAAAGATTTTAAATTAGATAATCAAATATATTTAACCTGTTTAGCCTAATAATTCCAATATCTAGAAGAATTCCCAATGATGAATATAAATTACAGAAATATATCTGCAGGCTAAGCATCTTTAACCTTTAATGCGTTCAGTTATGGACCTCTTTCTAAAGAAAGTATCCCTTAACGCTTAGCAAAAATCTCCATGCAAAGGATAAAATCTTAAAATCTATCAGCAAATTTGTGTTTGTTTTTGGAGCTATAATAAAAATAAATTCTCTGAACTGAGAAAAACTGTGATCTCTGATGTTATTCATATTGCTAATGCTTTTAATGATTAGTGCTTTTGTTTCAATCAATCAGTCATACATACATTTAATAGACCTGATTGTTCTATTTTTTTGAACAGTTAATAAACATTTGTTTCATTAAGTTCTTAATTCTGAGTCCTACTGCAGCCAGTAACATCTCCTAGATCTTGTAAAAAACCATATTTTCACACTATTTTAAAATTTTTTTTATTTTTCGTTTTTGATTTATAAATATATTTTAGATTGTGAACATAAGTTTAAAACCATTTTATACCAGTCTTTAAAATAAACAAACCTTGGTTTTATCAAATTTTGATCTTTTACAAAATTTCGGTTCACCAGAAATCTTTTCTTGTTGCCTCTTTTTGTCAGTTTTCTTCGATTGACCTTTTGATGGATTAGCTTTGCTTAATGACGACATGGTACCATCTTCGCTTCTGGAAATATTTTGTGGCAATGCCTCTGCATGCCCCTCTATTCTTCCTTTCATAAAGCCTTCATTATTAAACTAACTGGACTAAACTTTCCATTTTACCCTTCTGAATTTTTTTGGGACTTTTAAATTCCAAATTTTCATCCAGTGCCTCATTTTTCTGACTTAAATTCGACTGCAAAACTTTGGATTTCTTTTTAACACTTTTCAGCACCCATTTCATTTTCTATTTGTGTAAATCTAATTTATGAACCTAAAAGTAGTCGATTTTCATCGAAGATATTCATTCAATCAACATTCCATTTACTCTTACGTAATTATTGGATTTGAATATTTTTATAAATTTTAGCTAGGGAAAAAAACAAATTTTTTCTCATTTGACGGCAGAACCAGATAGGTAAATCAGGAACAATACCGAGACTCTGTAATAATACCATAATATGACCGTCCGTCCGTCTCAGCGCTATAATCTCAATTATTTCACTCGGCTAACCTATTCGGCTCTAATTCTGCAATTTGGCTAAGAAAGTTTTATAATAAAATAGCATCAACAATTAAAAATTTTTAAAATTTTAAATTACTTAAAATTTAAAAGTAAAATCTAGAAAAGTCGCCAAAAAAATATTTAAAATATTTATATTAAACAAAATAAACTCAACCGAGGAAAAAATAATAAAAAACAGAAATTCTTTTAGAAAACAGTTCAGAAGAAAAAGAATTACACAAAATTCTAAGGAATCCACCAACTGCGACAAATTAAAAAACAAAGGTGAGAAATTTGCACGAAGTATAACGATGATCTCTATAAACCATAAATTCATAAATTCTAAAAGAACGATTAAAAGATTTTTTAAGTTCATCCGACTTTCTACTTACTAAAATCTATTTTAAAATAATTATCAAAACAATTCGTTCGCTCAAATTTCAATTCAGCGAAAATCAATAAATAAATTCGCTAATATGTCGTTCTCGCTTTATTTTTTTCAGCAAACCAAAACAATTAAATTAAAAATTATTTTATTAATTTTAAAAATTTTCAATTAAATTAAAAAAGCTATCGCAAATTATAAAAAAATTTGTTTTTACACGGCAAAAAATATTCAAAATGACTAAAAATTCTGCAAAAAATAATCAAAAAATTTATTGACAACTACAAATGGCAAAAAAACGTTGCGATATCTATTGACCACAATAAATACGCAAATTTATATTGATTACAGCAAGAAAAAATTAGCAAATAAACTAAAATTACCACTTAAATGCTCCTAGCCGTAGCAGCCTGGAATATCAGCATATTCACAGCATATTCACAGAGAATGTAACATTAATTCCTTGTTTTAACAGTAAAACGACTTATTGCTCGTTAGTGGCTGCTCATTCATTCATCATTTCTCAGTTGACTTTTGTTAGAAGTCACTCGCGTGGTAAAAGTGAGAATCACTCACAAAGACTTAACTTTTAATGACATGTTTGCTGTGCAGTAGGCGAATTCGAACCAGTGATTGTAAGAAAATAACTATTGAACTATCCCGCCATTCTATACATAATTTTTACGGCATAATTTTTAATAAAGAAAAACATAAAAGAAGTAAACACCCAAAAAAATTTCTTTTTTCTGTTGCAAAAAAAATTTAATTTAATGAAAAGAATAAACTTGATAAAAAACAAACCAATTGCTGAGCATTAGACCTAAAATCCTAAACAAATAAAATATTTGCATGTGTCTATAAAAATCCACAAATTTGCCTTACAATTTTCGTACAAGGTCATTGGGTCATCTATCGATTTTAAATGTCATAAATAGTGAAACGCCCATCCTGCATTAGAATTTTCTGCAGACTTATATAACTTGTATACTCCATGTATCCTTCAAATCCATTATATTTCCATAACACCTCAAATCCTTCCCTTCTATTCCCATAATACCTAAAACAATGACACACTATCTTCATAATCCGCAAATCTTTGTAATTCTCTCTAAACGCCTTAAAGTAAATTATTATATAAATTAAAAATAAGAAGCTGCATTTCAGCTAAAAATCAATCTTTTACTGATGCGAAAAATGCAATATTTGGTACGAAATTATAAATTAATTGCCTCGATAAAAGCAAATAGTTCATAAAACAACAATTGCCTTAACTATTATCGTAAAAAATCTAAGATGATTCCATAATAAATACTAAAATGTTTCATATAAATTAGAAAACAAGCTTAACAATCAACTGCTTTTAACATTAGCCTCACTTTCAATCAACACCTTTAGATTGCTAGCATAACATGCAATCAGTTTTATATAGTTAGCTTCACATGGAATTCTTTTAATAAGAATAGTTCTATGATAAGGAAAGTTCTAATACAAAGACACAGCACAGCCAAATGATTATTAATCACATTAATTACCCTATCGAATTTTCTGGTCCAATCCGAGTGGGCGATCCAATTTTACTTTTATCCCCGAATGACCCCCTGCCAAAATTACTTATTCTTCTTCTTCTAACAGCCATTATTGATTAGGCTGGCTCCAACGAATATAAGGGTAAGACGCTTCCAAGCGATCTGATACCATCGTTGACAGTAATGGAAGCCATTCCTTTTTCCATCGTCTAAATCCATATATTGCTGGTCCACCTATACGTTCAAAATTTTTTCTTACCGTATCAGTCCAGGTCTTGAATGGCCCATCTTGCTTTTGACGCCAACCATCGGTTTAGCAAATAACGAAAAATGCGTCAACTCCTGTGGTAGACGACGGAGTATATGCCCTAACCAGCAAAGATGGCGCTCTGTGATAACATTATTTATACAAGTGGTATTTGCACGAATATGGATGCGATCTTGTGATATCTTATCCGCTCAACGGATCCGTAATATGTACCTTAGACAAGAGTGGTCAAAGGCAGATAACTTTTTAATATCCTTTACTCTCATTGGCCATATCTCAGAACCATACAATAAGATCGAACGGATCACGGCAATATAGATGCGAACTTTCGTTTTTATGGTGATTTCACGACGATTCCATAAAGGTTTCATCAACCGGAAGAACGCATTTCTAGCTGCCGTAATCCAAGTTGTAATATTACCTTTTGCCTGCCCATTTGGTATTAGAGTGGACCCAAGGTATTTGAAATCGAGCAATGAATTTACAAAAAGAGGCATTGTGCCAGCTTCTTGCACATAAGACGAAAAGACTTTCGTTTTATTTACATTGATCATGAGTCCGATTTTTGTTGCAGTTTCTGACACTTTAATTAGCATTACTTGCATTTCGTCATAACTATCAGCAAAAAGGTCTGCATCAGACTGTATTCAATGTATTCAAGGTGTGTGATACGATGCTCTGGACTGATTTAGACACCCCTTGAGTGCCGACAAGCGGTGTCCATTACTCAGTCTATCGCATAATATCGTGGGGGAAAGGACGCAGCCTTGACGGACATCAGTTCTTATTTCGAAGGAGTCTGTCAGTTCCCCATATACACAGGCCTGAGCCGACGTATGTTCATAAAATGCCTTTATGAGTCTTATGATTTTCTCTGGAACACTGTCACGTTCCATCACCCTCCAAAGAGCTGCTCTATCAATTGAATCAAAGGCAGCCGCAAAGTCAATGAAACACGTGACAGTGGATTGCAAATATTTAAAGCGATGTTTCCAACATTCTTCTTAACGTGAATATCTGATCAGCACAAACGCGCCCTGGCCTGAAACCAGCTTGTTTAGGGCTTGTTCATCCTGCTGTCCAGTACTTCCATAAGTCTGTTGAGTAGCAAGAAAGCAAAAATTTTTGCTGAGACGTCTAGTAAGTTGATTCCTCGATAATTGTCGCAGTATGTCCTATCACTTTTCTTGAGAATTGGAAGTAGAATTGCTTTGCTCCAATCATCTGGTAATTTTTTTCTACACTAAAGAGTACATTTATTGAAGGTGCGTTATGAAGGATGATGGACAGCATTTGAAAAGCTCAGCTCGAAGACCATCTTCTCCTGGAGTTTTATTGGTCTTAAGCTCATGGATAACTGAAATTATTTCTTTTTCTGTTGGAGGCTCGCAATTGCAAACGTGTCAGCTATATCAGAGGCAACAGATGGCGCTTCATGGTTAAGTTTGGCCTCAAAGAATTCTTTCCATCTTATGAAGCGATCCTTAATACCTGCCAAAATTACATCATTCTATTAATAGTTACTAACTGTAATATAAAAAATACTTCTTAGCTCGCTCTCTCGAAGAATCGTTCGTCGTTGAATGAGTGCAGTTCTGCGATTCCTCATATTTCAATCGCTTGACGCGAACGTGACAACGACGTAGATGACCTTCATCTCCATCATCAAACACTGAAGGAATTTCAAAAAATCTATAATTTATGATGTATATTTATTAGTGTCTTGAAAAAAAACTTCAAATTACGGAATTTTGGCTTTTTCTGATATTTCAAATCTTTTGATAACCCTAAAAACCTATTAAAATTTATTAAATCTCCATGAAAACAGCTCATTATCCGTTCAAACTCTAGTCCTGCAATTTTCTTCAGTATTTTGACAAATTTACCGCATTCTTTTGTCACAATCCATGAGTAAAATTCTTTTGAAACGCTTTATACGCACAGACGAACTAATTATAACCTTTTAATACCATCCAACCATATTCTGCTCCGTCAATGCCAGGGAAATGAGGATAAGAGAAAACAAAGCAACTAGGTTAGAAGGAATGTTAGGAAAAAGGAATTTTGTGATATTGTGGAATATGTTCGAGCGGGAAGATCTCTAAGTTAAATTTATTGGTAAACGCAGTAAATCCAGATATTTTTCCAATAAACTACATATGCAATTTGAGGAAAAAAGTAGCCAACCCTGTTATGCTTTAATTCCTGCAGTATTGGTTAGTTATAGCAACACTAAAATAGTAAAAAAAAAATAATAATAATGAAACATGGAGAAAATGTAGAAATACTCTATTAACTCTTAATGAGTCTTTATACTGTTCAATTTAATTTTATGCCAAAACTTTCTTAATTTTATTAATTTAAGAACCATAAAAATCTATTTGAAGAAATCTATAAAACCCATAATAAATTAATTTCTTACCGACGTGATAAGTACTATTATCCTTAATTTGTTGTATAACTCCTTTTAATACTTCGTTCCCTTTAACAATTTCAACAGCTGCATTCACTTCCAAATCTCCTTTAATTTCAGTGTGTTCTGCATATACCGTCGCATGAGATGGCGTTTTCAGTAAAACCTATATTAAAACTACACAAAAATAAATACTTTTATCATTTAATTAATCCAGTTAATCAGATTATTTAAGAGAAAAGGCAAATTTTTAAATTATAAATTATTATATATAAAAATTAAAACAAAGTCGACTTTCTATATTCGCAAATTTTTAGGAAAGCATTTTGCAATTTGAAGCATATTCTTTATTCTAGTGGATTAATTCTATTTCTGTTTCAACCTATTTAGAAATGTATTCCACTGACTTTTCCACTGACTTTCTTTTTTTCTGGAACAATCACTAAGGTTTCCTCTAACCTCGCTTAAAAAACAACCGCAGGCCGAAGTTTGGAAAAATACAGTATATTAATTTTTCTTAATTAGAGAGTTAAGACTTAAAAAAGAATATGCCAAACTGCCAAGTGCCAAAGTGGCTAACAATCAAACTTAAGAAATAACATAAAAATATGGAAGATTAAAGATTTAAACAGCTCTTGCACTCATAAGTCATATATGGACCTTGACACTTTAATATATAAGTAAGTAATATTAAGTTCTATTATTTCAAATTACATTTGCGCTAAGATTAGTAGGTTGTCAGGCAGTTTACAAACAGAAATGTTCACCAGGAAAAACCAGGAAAAATCTGATTTTCAGCACCGTGTGTAGTTTTCGCTGTTTCAATTTATAATAAGTGACTGGCAGAAAACTGAATTATAACTGGGATTCGATATTTTCTATGATTTATTTCGATGAGATTAGCATTACTTTGCTTACTTTGCTTCTCACCGAAATTCTAGAATTTCAGATATAATAGGATTTTATCTCATAACTTCGGCTGCCGTGGAATTAACTGAAGTTTAATTCATAGCTGCATTAATTAGATCAACAATTTAAAGAATCTAAGAACGTTGTTTATAACGATTCTAAAATTTGTAGCAAAAAATGTTTTGTCAGATATTTGCTCATGTATTTGCTCATTCGATAAACATTCCCGAAAATCAAAAATAATACTAAAAATATTCTTTTGGCTTTAAAAAACCAAAAAATGACTATTGAATATCATCGATTTAATTTTCGTAGAAAAAGCAGTTGACAAAAACTGTGTGATTCATAAAAACGAGATATTCCATCTCCTTAGTGGAGCCAGAAGAAACAGTACCCGACACCCATATTAACTAGGATAGCTAAAAAAATACTTGACAATACATATAAATATGCCATCTGAGAAACTTTCAGCGGAGCAAGAGATATTTGCCCAAGTCAAAGCATTTGTTGGTTTTTCTGAAATCAAAAAACATTTTATCTAAAATTTGACTTGACTTAATACAATCCTTTACTGAAATCTTAATAAAATTTTCACTTGTTCTGTTCTTCAAAAAGCGACTTTAGCCGAAGTAAAACTAGCCCTAAAAAAAATTAGAGCCGTAAAATCTAACTTTTGAGGTAAAACTAACCCTAAAAAAAACTAGAGCCGTAAAACTAGCTTTTGAGCCTTTAGAAATTTATAAAAGCCAAAAATTGTCAAAATCAGATTAGACCAGTGACCCGCGACAAGCTGTAAGCCCTTGGAAAAAGGGACCTGCTTATGTACAAATCTTTAATTTCATTTTTTATAAATTGAATTTTTAATTTTAAATTATTTATTTCGGTATCGGCGTTTGTTACTTAATCTGTTTAAATGATATTTAGAATATATCTGAGAAATAAAAGATAGAAAAGGAATTTAGGAATTTCAGAGCGTTAAAAAAATTGTATGTATTAAAATTGTACTAAAATTTCTAACCAAAGTATGGGAAGGAAAAATACAATTTGAAAAGCTATTTTGAAAGCAAATATTTAAATGTCAAAAAAAAAGTATTCTATGAATCAAGTTCAGAAGTTGACGCATAACAATATAATACCATATATATGGTTCAGTGACTATGTGACATCGACAAAACCTATTCTGTAAGCTATCCACCTACAAGAATTTTTTTTCGATGGTTCAACTATATTGCATATCACGAACTGGAAACAGAGACGTGGAACCAAATAACAATTTGAAATATCTAACATTATGTTTGAAATATCTGATATTATGGAAAATGCCAAAAGACTGAACAAAAATTTTCCATTCTTACTCTGGCTTCTTGCGAAACGATTCAACAAAGATGATATGGAAATAAAAACTAAGTCTGGGTGAATTAAGACAATCAAAATTAAAAATTAAAAATAGAAATAGAAATAAAATAATATAAATAGAAATAAAATAATAAAATAATAAATATCGGAATGACACTTTGATAAATAACAAAACTCAGAAACGATATCAAAAATAACAATTTTTTCATAAAAACTGTTTCATTGATGGAAAATTCTCCCATGAGGCTATATAAATTGTGCTCATTTAAGAAAAGGATAAATGTCCACAATCAAATTTGGACAACCTGAGGGATTTCAGAGATCAGTGAAAATTAGAGAGAAACTAAGGAATTAAAAACTGAGAAAACTGAAAAAAATGTGGATTTATAAATAACGATTGAATAAAAATAATCAAATAACAATGACTAAATAATAACGATTAAATAAAATTAAATAAATAAATTAATTAAAATATTCCTAAACCTTTTTCTATCAATCTAATCGTTAATCGACTTTTCGCTCTAGATGAGAATTCTTAAAATCTTAATTTCCTAACATTTACATATATTCTTATTTATTTTTTATTTATTTTTTATTTCCTACGCTGTATGTTCTGCAAAAAGAATCATTAAAACAATAAATACGAAATAGTAAATAGTGAAAAAGGGAAGCTATACTTAAAAGACAACAAAAGAAGACAATATTTATATTTAAATATTTAAAACCAGATTCCTTAGTTGATGACTTAACACAACAAAAATCACAGTTGCGCCTTATATGATAAGTCAGAAACATTCCTACGGAAAAATCTACCAATCAATCCTAACATCTGCAAATAAACGCCAACAGACATTATCCTATCCTAAATCTCCAAGATAATTGCACGATGATATTACTTCACTACACAGTTTTTCCCAAATGCACATTATTTGGTAGAAAACCAAGAACCACGTCGAATAATCCTCTGTAGTCACAATTTTAAATTCACAGCAAAATTTCAACATAATCATGACGGATTTAATAGAGAGTATTAGATAAACCAAAAGCCAAATTTCGACTACTGGACTAGCTTTTTGGCATATTAAAATCCATATGTATGGAATAAATCCACAAAGATCCACAAATTAAATTGCGGTGCGCAATCAGATTATGCAAATTAGTAGAATGTATCAAAGACAAAGCTTCTTTCGATACAAAAATTTAATATATATAAATAGAAACAATATATTTAAAAAATAATGGAAATAATGAAAAATAATAAGAAATCAAAAGAAAATAAACCAAAAACCTTGCACCGAATAGATTTGATTAAACGTTTCACTCGAGCGATACAAAATGCCCCTTTAAATTTCGCACTAACTTCAGTACCAACAGGAAAAAATGTTGGGTTGTCAGACTGGAAAAATGCATTTTCTTAAATACCTTTAGATTAAATAAGAAAAATTCATAAAATCGGAAGTGCCTCATGACTTTCTTTTTTGATTTTTAAAAAACAACGAATTTTTCAGAGAAAATCGAAAAAGAAGATTAACCTGCATTGAATATTAAATAATGTAAATAATAATTTACTTTTACGACATAAAAGACCTGAAAATATGATAATTATAATTAATTTTCCGTGACCAATCGTTAAAAATTCATTAATCGCTGACGAGAAAAGTATATAACTATTAGTATTAATGTATTTATAAATTTAAAAATATTTCTGAAACCATATTTATGCACATATTTATCCACAGCAAGGAGCTTAAGAGAATGGCTCAGCGGCTTTCGTCGATTCTGGGACACTACTCCCGACAGAAGTAAAGCTGTCCGTCCGACGTTGGCAAACCCACCTGTACTGCCTCCAAGGGACTTCCTGGCACTGCGAGGTCCATTCCCGTGACAACATGCGGAACTGTCGTTGTAAGTTGTCCGACCAACAACAGCAAACGACAATCATCCTTGTCATTTAATCACAAACACAATTTCTTATTTTTTGAAGAATTTTAACCCCTCCCCCCCGTAATAAAAGATTTAAGAAAAAAAACTAAAAAGATAGAACAGCTCTGTTCCTGAATAGTAAAGTAAAACCCCACTGATGATTAGTCAAATCCTAGAAAATTTGTAGCTTCGAAAAAAGTGATTACACTTAGTGGAGGCGCCAAAAATATGAACGCGGCCCGGTCCGAACCATTGGCAAACGCAGCCCAACCTCATGCTATGCCACTTCATTAATTTCGTGATTTCCCGATAAATTTTCAACCGTGAGAGAAAATTTGAAATTTTTTCATGTTTCTTGTATGCTATGGCATAACCAATATCAAAGAATCTGTCACAAAATTGAAATTTACGGAAAAGAAAAGAACACAGAAAGTTGAAAGAACCACTAACAGAGGCCAGGAAGCCCAAACTTGTGCCGACCGCGGTTCGGAGGAATTAAAGCGGGGTGTTAGTGGAACTCGAACTTGAAAACTATTAAACCAATAGTTCGACATATTGAAGTATTCGTTTATTATTTATATTCAGTGTCATGTTTGTTTATAAATTATTATGAAGAAAATCCTGGTTTCCGCTTCTGGAAGGAGTTTTAAAAATACGGATGTGCTGCAGTTTATTTCTAAGCAAAATTGGCCGATCGTATCCATAAAGCGGAAGGGATTAAGCACTTTTGCCGACCACTTATTAATGCAATCGTTGTTTCCAAACGAGACTCCCAGATTCAATAATAGGAATTTTGTGAGCGGCAATTTCACCTGTACATTTGCTTTCCAAGTCAAAAAAGATATATTAATGATCATTCGCATTTTTATTTTTCTTTGCACTGTATAACTGCTAATCAATGTTAACAGTACTCGTGCTCATAAACTTTAGGTGAAATGCCAGCATTTTCTGTTTCAAGGCATACAACCAGCTAGAAGTGGGCTCGAACTTGCTTATGTCCTTTAGCACTCTTTTGAAGCCCTTTGCCAGTAATGGATTCCAGCAAAAGTGGAGTGCGCGTTTCTTATAACGGTGCATTGAGGCGGTTTTTGAGGAGATACTTTGCAAAACATAATCGATTCATTACGGTGGGGTTGAGATTTCGGTTGACAGCAGTGCTTTCAAAACCAAAGCCTTTTAACTAGCAACACAATTATTTATCACTAAATAAGAGTTCATCCAATTTTTCCGATCTCAAATTAAATTCCATGAGAAAAAAATAATAAAGAAATTAAGAAATTATTTAAATTTTTTTTAAAAATTTATAAAAACAAATTGAAAAGAGTAAAGAAATGCTAAAATTAAAAATTATTCAAGCAAAATTATTTACCCAAAATGGATGAATATATTAAGAAAAATTCCACACATTCAGTTGCTCAGAAACAGTGCTTTAAATTATTTAATAAGGAAAGGAAAACTGTGCAAATTTTCGGTTTTGCTGCATAAAATCCACGAACACACCTCTTATAAGCGCACCGCTGGCACGGTTCTTACCACTGGTAAAGTTGATGAACATAGAATCGAATTGCTTGCTGAGTTCGAGAGATGCACTAGCTTTTATCGATTTATTCAAGAATCGTTCTGATAAAAACCAGTAGAGGGACAGATTGAATATCCCTTCAAGTTGAGTTTTTCAAAACTCACCTGATAGCAAATGCAAATTTTTCTGCACTTATTAGCTATTTTAAATGCTTCTTTTAAGCTGGTTATCTGAGTGGCTTATTTGAAGACCGCACTTACTTGCTCATTCTCTCCGAGCACCTGGCTGATATAAGAAAACGCCACAGTCAGAAAAGCTTAAACTATACGTTGCTAGGCATCCAGCAAGAACCAGCGAGTATAAAACTGAATTTTAGCACGGAATATTGTCGTAATTTAGTTGCTCACAATATTAGCAATAAAATTATCTATCACTCTTTAATGAGATTTTATTGTTTTCATGTAAGATTGTTGAATGATAACATTGATAATGATAATTTTAAAATAATTCACTGGAAAATTTGTTATTTGTTATTTAAACTAATTTATTAAAATTAATTAATTTAATTAATTATTTAATAAAAATTTGTTATTTAAAATTTAAATAATTTTTGCTGCCGAATTTAGTTATTAAACTATTTCAAATTTCTTATAAATCTTATTTCCTTCTTGCAGCGTTCGTTATTTCTAATCAAATTGGCTAAAATTGCTGTTTTAGTTTTCAAGAATTAATTTTTTTCTTTTCTTTCTCAAGAAGATTCAAATGAAAAAGGAAAAACGAGCCATATTTGAACAAAGCATATTGGACGCTGCGAAATTCCATTCTATTAGGCAAGTTACGAGGATGAATATGAATGAAAATTTGTAGCCTTTCCAGGCGAAATTAAATAAAAAATTTTGAAACAAAGCTATTTTAGCTATTTAGCTATTTTTTCCAATCTTAATCACAGTTTGAAGATGCGATAGTTGTTAAAACTAAGTAATTTAATGGTCTCCTCGTTTGGTTACTAAAATAGAACCAGATGATGCATTAACGGCGCCATTTGTACCTCAATTCCCGAGTAAACCTACGTCAAATCACACGCACCTCGCAATCAGTCGAGGCAGCCAAATTAAAAGTTAAAAGAAATTGTGATGAATGGATGTGCTCCATCTATATCTCTCATTTGTTAATTTTTTTTTTCCTTTTATGCTTTTCATCCTTTCGAATAGATTTACTTGTCCTCCATAATTCAACAGTTTAGTCGCAGTTTGTCAACTGTGATATGATAAATTAATAACAATATTGATTATACATGGGGTCAAACATTGATTGATACAACTCAAAATCCAAATCACTTCTTTTGTTATATTATATGTTTTAATATTTTTCTGCTGGCAATCCGCGAATGGTCTCTAAATTATAATTTTAAAATTATAATTATAATTGTAAAGTTATTATTATTATTCATATGGGATTATTTATTCTGCAGTAGTCACTTATTATCGGTCATCATCTCAATCTCTTTTGGTTAGGATGAGGTGTGCTAGGCGGCCACTTCGGGGATAGAAGTGCAACTCTGAATTCATTTCATTTTTAGTGCATCAAAGGCTTAAAATCGAAGCCATCCATGATAATTTAGTCGAAGCACCACGCCATTCGATCGACTTTACCTCCTTTATTAGTTAACTGCTCAAAGCTATGCCATTAAATTCATATTAATGTAATTTTAGGCGTCCGCTCGCTTTCATATTGTAAAATTTGTTTTCAATTCGTTTCGATTAACGCATAAATATTGTTTTTCTCTTTAATTATAAATTTTTATGACAGACATTTAATTGTAGAGACTATAACCTAATGGATGATAGTTCAGATTATCATATCGTGAAGTGAGAGTTCGAGAGTTTTTGTTCCCAGCAGTAAGCCTGTCGTTAGAAGAACACGGGTAGCGACCTACTCATACTTCTCACCAAGTGACTCCAAAAATTCTTGACTAATGTCCAGTGGAGCCAATCAAACTTCTAACCAGAAATGGATGTTAACGATTTTATTTTTAATTAAATTTTTAGTTAAACAATTTTAGGGCAAATGCGATTGGTCGTCTGAGCTATTAAATATTTTCATTGTTATTATTTCCATTATTATTATTGCTACATTATTTCTATTAATAAATATTTTAATATACAAATATTTAACTGAAATTTTCTGCGAGCAAATACGAAGTTCAGTGGTAGAGATCAGAACCAACCGTGTGCGAGCTAGCAAGCGATAATCCATACTAAACATATAAGTTGAAAGTTAGAGGAATTAACCTTATTGTTCGACCAGCCACATCAAGTCCCCTTCGTTTAATTTTTAATTTTTCTGCACCTACAATTACATTAATCCTTTAATCATCTATTCTATTTCCATTTTTCTTATGATCAATCCATTCAAGTGGAAAGCGCAATTGATGAACTTGGAGTAATTCTTCAGAATGCGGCGAATTATAAAATTAGCAAAGCGAATTTAGTGACATCTGTCGGAAAAAAAGGTTGTTTTGTTGTCATTGTTGTGATGAGTCGAAAGGGAAAGTTTTATTTACCGTTGAATTAGCAAACAATATAATACAGTAAGTAACAAATGAGTTGAGGAAAAATTTACGTTAAGGACGAAGAATGTCACGTTGAGAACGACGATGGAGGGAAATTGTTGTTGTCGACATCAGGTGGTGGAGAGAAATTGCGCTTGCTCAAGTCCTTTCGAACGCATTATAAGAGTTTATATATTGCCCACATGTAGGTTGAGCTTACAATATTATGCAAATTACATTAAAAATTGTATAGAAATTACATATAAATATTTCCCTTCAAGCATAAAGTTGCTTCACAGCTGTACCCTAAAATTTGTGAATAAGGTAGCTTTTTTTGTTTATAAATTAGCAGATATGAATTTTATATAAAGGAAAAAAAAAAGACAAATTTCGTATGATTTGAATATTAAATAGTTAACTTGTGCAGAATCCTTTGTTCAAGAAGAAAAAAACTACAGAAAACTTAGCAATATGAAATTTTGCAAGCACAGCGATTCCCACCTTTAGTACCTAGCTTTACAAAATCTCTTCAGGAATCCGCTCCACTATGTTTTAATAAATTTTAAATTTTCTGATTTGATAAATTTTTTGCCATGCGCGACTTTTACTTCTCAACAATATTATGAACCCTGCGGCCAGCGTTCTCATCTTAACCCCTCAAACTTTGGTAATTATTAGTGATGTCGCAAAGAAGACAAACCGAAACTAAGTAAGTAAAAACCAAACATAAAAATATAAATGCCCAGTTCACCTGTTGCTCCCCACTTTTTTCCCTAACAGAAACTTAAAAATGCCCAAAAATGATCTTTTGAAAGTGATCTTGAAAATGATCTTATATTTAAGATTTATGGTTTTTAATCCTCTCATAATAAAAGCGACATTGTGCCTCTCATTTATGAGGTACTCTACTATTATTATTTTCTAATACCTTCTCCAACTTTTTTCTCTCTTATTTCACCAATTCTCTTGCTGGGAAAGAGATTTAGTAGGTAATGCGTATGACCATATTTGTAGTCCGCGAAGCGTTCTTCGCCATTCGGCGATAAAGAATTTTTTTTTATAATAAATTCTTTATCTATCGGCTTTTTTCCGACAACATCGGCAAGCAATAAATATTAAGCAAACAAGCTTCGTGAAAATTCAATACTTCGATAAGAGATAACTAAATTGGAAAAAGTGACTTAAAAAAAATTAAATTAAAAAATTAAATTAAATTAAAAAATATCGATAATTTTCTGGACTCGACTTTATAAATTTGTTGTTTATAATTTTTTAAGAAAAATTTATTTCCTCTTTTTCTTTGAAAATTGATATGTTTTTGTCACACTTTATAAAATTATTTTGAATAAATATTATTTGTTATTTATTTTTTAATGCATTTATTTAAATTTATTTTGATATTTATTTTTTATTTTTATTTAGCTTCTTTTTGAAATTGATGAATACTTTAATATTCGTATTTATTATTTTATTGAATTGTTTTTGTTACATTATTTTAAGTCCTTTCTATTTACATGGATAATTTCTCTCTTTCATAAATTATTCCAGTGTGAAAATCCAGCCTTCCCCGTTTGCCTGTGCAAAATAAGTTATCACTAAACATTAAATATACATCAATTTAAGATAATGCAATTAATCAAATTAAGTTAATATAAATAAGGAAAATTTTAGAATATATTTTTTAATCCTTAATCGCAACGCTTCCAAAGTTCTTATTAACTTATTAATTTAAATTAAAAAATTTATAAAAACTTTTCGCCATTTGCGCGATATTTTCAAATTCTCAAATTTTATACATCGAAATTTATTTTTGTAAAACATGCTATATATTACAATAAAAACATAATGATAACATTGTTTCTGAAGAATTAAAGAGAAGTTTTCAATCAAAATCTTCATCATCTTCTCTTGATTTAAATTTATTGGCAAACCAGGTAACTTTATTGACGACCTAAAATAATATATATTTAGATAAATCATTTACTTAACCTTTCGGTTAAACTCTTTCTTCAAAGGCCTTTAGGATGCAACAATTCCATCAAAGAATCACGCGAGAATAGAAGTATAGGTAGGTCCTTAAAGCCACCTAGATTTTTAGTGGCAAATTCGTTCTTGTCAGGGGTCGAATAGTAAAATGATAATCTAAATAATATCACTCACTCCATTGTGGTGCTCCCACAATTGATTATCATTAGTAGATTTTGGTTGCGACACAGTATTATACAGAAAAATAGATGAATCTAAACCTCTTCCTGTGCAAGATTAAAACACATCGCCAATAAAGCCATTCCAAATAACAGATAAACTGATGTAATTACCAACTTTTCTTGAGCATCTTTATCATTCCCAACTGAAGCGCCAGGAAATTTGTCGCCAAAGCCTTAATATTTTATCAGCAATAAAGTGAAATCGATGGGAAATTTGGAAAATAATATGGAGATTCCGGATCGAAGCCATGGCTCCATCAGTTCCACCCTTCCGAAAATAGCCATAAACCAGCAAGCGTCATTTTTTGTTACGTAAAAAAAATAAAAGTCTGCTTTCTCAAAAAAATATTGAAATATATTAATTTCTCAAGTATTTTTATTTTAGTCTCACTCACTTACTGGCATGAGACGATGAATGAGAAGCTTTAAGGATGAGGTGCTTTAATTGACAAAAAACGTTAGTTTCAAGTAAAAGCAATAGTTAGCCCATTGTAATCTTTATTGAATAAATTTAAAAGGATGAGACAAACCAATAGTTGTTAATGATATATAGCAGAAATAAAAGCTATCCAAGAAAGTCCATTCTTCCCATAAGCAAAAAAGTATTGAACCAGTGACTAAATAAGCAAACATTGTCAAAAAGACTAAACTTAATGGTACTGAAATACGTTGTAACTGTGCCTCAACACTTTCCTTCACCTAAAATAATAAATTTATCTTTTGAAAATATTTTATTTAAAAATATTTAATATTTAAAGTTTACATTCTTTTTGCATATAAAACATAAATTTTCTTTTTAAACATTTGTGTTTCTCTGGATTTTTTCTGATTTAAGAACTAATACTAATAGGAATTTTTCTCATTTTCAGTTAAAATTTTTCAAAGAATAATGAATTAAATAAAAATCCACATAAATTGTTTAATAGGCATGGATGTAAGTGAAAAACTACAAATAACCTCAATTTGATCGAGCTGCGCTCTTGCAGTGAGAAATTCATGCATATCAGGTGCTGCGCCAAGAGAATCGAAGGCTAAATCCGTCTAAAAACTTTTTTGTTAATCCGAACTTAATCGTTTGATTAAGCCGAATTATAGGGAATTTCAAAATTATTATATTCCCTTATATAATATGAATCGGTGGGTGCTTTAAGATAATTTGATTCTTACTCGTGTTAATCGCGACATTAGAGAATTCGCACGACGAAGTTCGGCTGCTTTACGACGTTTATGCCACAAAATCAGTCGGTATTTTAAGCGAATAGATCGTGCATAAAGAAAACGAAATATTTTAGCCATTATATCGCCAATATTTGTTAAGAATAGAAGCATTAGTGGAATTCCTAAAGGCGCAGTCTGTATTGTTCAACTAGATGAGATTCCCAACACAAATGTAATTTAAAGATAAAATTCCAACGAGAAAAACAGATCTCATAGAGTGGTTGTTAATTAATTATTTGTTTTATGGTTTATTATTCGTGCGAATTTATATTTTAAATGACCGATACATTGGGCCCGGTTTCATTCTAATCTGGTTTGCTTTGATTGCTATGATTGTTAAGATGGGATTCCTCCGTTTATGATTTACTTGAGAATGAAGATAGATAGATTCTGAACCATCCAGGATTTCAAGCTGAACAAAAAATGGCATTCACTCAGAAAAAAACTGATCTCATAAATTGGTATCTTATCCGCTTAAAATCCTAAGTCAATTTTAAGGCTAGAAGCATTAATTAGGCATAGACATTTTATATGAAGAAAAATGTCGGCCAATAAGTAAAATAAAAGTAAATGATTTATTATACCTGGTTAGGCTAGTTCCGCTGACTGTCAACACGGTTTTTGCCAGGGGATCATTTGACTAGAAGTGCCAGCATCACTCCGATTTTTAAATGACAGGCCAAACAGATCTACTAACGTCAAAAAGAGGAGCCGGATCTTAGACTTAGACTAGACTTTTAGACTTTTAATAAACTAAGTCACTATTTATTGCTTAAATGAACCACAGCCTAGCTTCCAAGAATATATCAGGAAATTTTGTCATTTTATAATTCACACTCTTCTATTTATTAATCACACCTATAATAGCGAATTAAATTAATCACACCTATAATAGCGAAGAGAATTGTCAACGTTTTCCCAAAATATGTTTTGGCAGATGTATTGCCATAGCCAATTGTTGTAATAACGGTAAGGGAATAAAGAAAGGCACCAGTAAATGTCCATTGTGCTGATAAGCCATATTCCTATAATATATTTCCTTATTATATTATGAATATTACTTCATATTATAAAAATAGCCAGGCAAAATTAATCAAGGCCAAGGGAATTTTCAATCAGATACATTTAGCTTGAACAAAACGCATAATATTTAATCCAGATCTGTAAAATGCCATTTTGGCCTAACAAGCAAGTCTCTCTTCTTCAAGTCTCTCTACAAAACCTTTGGATAATTTTATTAAAGGAAAATGAATAAGCAAAATATCAAATAAATTAATTAACTAGAAAAATTAACTAGTGATAGTGCTAGTACTAACTAACTTTTCCATCATATCCTCGTTTGATCGCCCAAATACATTTATGTTGGAAATTCTTAACTTGTGAATGAACCGTTCGCTCCCATTTATTGCGATCTAGTTTATTCACTCTAAAATATCTTAATTTTAATCCTTCTAATTTGTACAATCGACTGAAATCTTCCATTGTTTAAACAATTCGGTGAATGTAATCTCCACTTCAATATAATATCAAAAGAAATTTCACGTGTAGTTCGCATGAATCTTGGAAGGGTACGGACAAAATGATTCTTAAAGTTGAGTAGGAAAAGCTTGGATCGAATGGATAAAAATATAGCCAGTTCGAAGCATTCGATGTCAAGAAAAATGAATACGAAAAAACGAAAAATGCACTTTAGTTTATTTAATACAAATTATAAGAATTTTGATAAAATTTTTTTTCGAGAAAATAATGACCAAGTGGTCCATTTAACTTCTATCCACCTTCGTTCAAACACCAACTGTATTAATAATATTATCACAGAGCGTCGCCATAGGTGGTTAGGGCACGTTCTCCGTCGTCCATCACAAGAGTTGTCGCATGTTTCGTTACTTGTTAAACCGTGTGATGGATGGCGTCAAAAACAAGATGTGCCAATCAAGACCTGGACTAATAAGGTAAGGAAAGATTTTGAACGTATAGGTGAACCAGCAATATATGAACTTAAACGATGGAAAAAGGAATGGCTTCTATTACTGTCGATTATGGCATCAGACCGCGTCGTTTGGAAGCGTCTTACGCTTGTAGCAGTTGGAGCTAGCCTAACCAGTAATGGTGAGAGTTGTTAGAAGAAAAAGAAAATGACCAAGTGGTAGAGAATATTATGTAATTATATTCTTCGGCTGAAATTCATTAAGCTGTCATAGCTTTAATTTTTATTCTTTGATGCGACTAAATCTATCTATCACTGGGAGAGTATGAACTATTTGTATTTCTCTATACAGATCAGTTTCGAGCGAAATGGTCTCGTCTTAATAGCCAATGAAGTCAACCAAATCAAAAGTGGTAAGAAGTGCTGGAAAACGAAGAATAGCTTTCTACTAAAAGATCAAAAGATAACAATACTGCATCTAACTATTGAAATATAGCCTGAAATTTCTCAATGCAGGTAATGCCGCGTTTAAATATTCTGATATGTTAGGAGAAAAAGCTAGCCCCAGCCCAAGGTACTGATGCGCTTCAAATTTCCAGAAATCGTTTTTACTGTTAATTTACTGTTAATTTTTTTGCAAATTATGTTATTTCCTGCTGAATTGAAAAGTAGAGTTACCTGAATGTGGCATTCCAAGCTATATTAACAGCTTTCTGCCTCGCTGTAGTAACTTCGCTTTGAATAAAAGTTTCGTGTGGACCTTCAACGGCTCGAAATACGACAGCGCCTAATAAAGCATAACCTACTACCTAAAAAGAACTTTTCATTGATTTAATTTTCTCTTTTCAAATTCCCAAGATTTTATATGGTGAATTAAAACACGCTCGATTTTGGTAAAATAAACTTAAAAAATACTCCAACTCAATGTGAATGGAGTTAGAGCAATCTCATTGGTATTTCGATTGGTATTTTTTACATTTGCATTTATAGACACATTTACGCTTATAACTGCAGTGACAATGTAATTTAAAACTATAACGAAAGGTTTTTGCAACAAAACTTGGCTTTTTAACAAGCAATTTCGACAGTGAGATTGCTCTTACTCCGTTTCACATTAAGTTGGAGTAGAAATTCTTAATATGAGTTCCAAGAGTCCCTTGAAAGTTTGCAGAATTATCTGTTTATTTTCTCAATATTCTAACTAAATTTATCATTTCATGAAAATAGGTAGCATCGCAGTGATCATCTATGAAATCACAGATATTTAATCCCATATTGCTTATCCATTACAATATTCCTGCGCATTTTATTTCAAAATATTATTTAGAGAGGGAGTCCATGGGTTTCGAAAAGGGGTCTCTGCAAACTCCAGCATAGTCGAAAATGTAGAAAAGTTTAAAAGGTTTAATTAAGGAAAAATTTGGAAGAGAATTTTATTCTAGAAGAATGCAAAACATTGCATTATGTACTCGAATTGACCCCTTCTAGTAAAAAAAAATTTTAAACAAAATTAAACAAAAAAAAGACAAATCTTTTTTTAGTGAAAATAATAAAAAGGAATATCAAAAAATTTTAATAAACTCAGTAAACAAAAAAAGTATTGTAATATTGTAGTTTAATGAAGTCGAAGGCCTGAAGTTGAACCAATGAAGTTGAAAGAATGAAGATGACCTGCTTTGACCGCCCATCATTTCTGAATCGACTTGCTCCACTGGATGGATGTTGGCAGTTTTAAGAAATTTTTCCCGGGGAGTCATTTCGAAATAGAAATACAGGTGGGTTCCCAGCACTATCTAAATTTTTTGATGACTCTTACTGAACGCAAGGACGATATCAAATATTTAATAAATATAAAAGAATATTTACAGAATTGTGGAGGTTTAAAGAATACGGAACAATTGCTGAAAATTTATCTGAAAGCTTTGGCAATAAAATCCTAATTTCACTATTTTTAATTATCCTAGCGGTTTTTCCTAATGTAATAATTTCTCCAGAGTGGTTTATGCTAAAATAATTTGTCCAGCTATTATTTCAGTATTATTATATGTGTACTTCTGTCGCGAAATGACTTTCTGATAAAATTTTTAACTATATTAATAGCCAGCGGAGCGTGTACTAACCAGTACTAACCAGAAATGGTGAGCACTAACCATTTATTTATTTGCTTTGCGTACTGATATTTGTCAGTTTATCAGAATTTTATCAATGAAAAAGGGTTTTAAAAAAGACTGCTGGAAGAAGACAAGTGGAAAGATTAGGACACAAAATTATGTTTGTTTTTAATGAATTTATTTTAATCGTTAATTTCATATTTTACTATTATATTTATGAATCCACAGTCTGAAAATACTTTAAAATATGATGGGAATGTTTTTTTAACTTTTAAATTCTTTCATTGTTGACGAAGTAGTATATCACATCTCAAATAACCTATAAAATGAAGACCGAGTGATTGGTATCATTTAGGTTACCATTTCAAGCACGCATGATTCGACCTTTGTCTTCGGCCGAATCAAATCTGGCATTAAATATCCGAATGGTGCATTTTTATTTCCATTGTTAAATGATCTCGCGAAAGTTCGTAATTCTGCTGGCAAGTGAAGAAATGCTAAGCATAACTAACTACAAACTAACTAAAATGAAGTCTTGGTGAATTTAAAAACGATAAGAGTTAAAAATTAAAATTAAAGAATTGGATCTATAAGCAAAGTAGACTAACCAAAGCGCATAAACCAACATGTGAGAAGAAGAAAGCAATAATTCGTTTAACAAGATTAACAACTCGAGTTACTTTTGATCTGCGATGATGATGGCGATAGTGCCTTCGAGCCATATTTCCTTAGTTCGTTAGCTGGAAATTGTTCAATTCAATATGGATGGATTTTATGGATGGCCGCCGCTGCACTTGCATATCAGTAACGATGATGTCGTAGTATCTATCTTTTCTATTTTCTTTTAACAAATCTCACTTCAAATTCCCCACTCACTAAAATATCGACACATTTTATGATTCTCTATTCATTTCAAATGCTCAATTCGACTTCCAACTATTTTCAATTTTTAGTTCAATAACAAAACCGACCGCTTTTAAAATTTTCTGCTCAAATTATTTAAAAATTATTCATATACTTCTAATATAATGAAAGAAGAACACAGGGAGATAAACGTTTCGGAAATTTAAAATTTTAATTGTGCTTGTGGCAAAGGACAGAATATATCCAAAGGACAGAAATGGTCCGAAATTATAAGGACATTCGCATTTGAGGAAGGGTGGCCGAATGATTTGATAAGCATTATGGCTTCAACTCATGCTTTCTAATAGGTTCATTAAAATTTGGATAATACAAAAAACCCTTTCTTCTTTTTCTAAAAGCTCTCTTACCATTACTGGTTACTACAGCTAGCTGCACACTGCAAAGGTAAAACGCTTCCAAGTTGCACGACCTCATGCCATCGCCGACAATAAGAGAAGCCATTCGTTTTTCCATCGTTCAAATCCATATATTGCTAATCCATCTATACGTCCAAAATCTCCACCTCGCTTTCGACACCGCGTTTAGCAAGTAACGAAATATGTGTCAACTTTTGTGGTAGGCGACGAAGCGCTTGCCCTAATCAGCGAAGGCAACGTTCTGTGATGGTACTATTAATGCAGGTATTTGATTAAGCATGGATGTGAGATTTTATCCACTCGGTGAGCCGTAAAATGTACCTTTCTAAGATACAGAAAACCCCTCTGTATTTCTATTTCAAAGTGATCCAATGGCGAAGATTCCAACCAAACCAGAAATTATGAATGCTATTGAAAGAAAGAATTTTCAGGAAGACTTACTTATCATAATTAATTGTAATAATTTTTCGCAATAAAATTTCGGCGAACGAATTTTGGGTTTTTGCATTGAATATAAAAAGTCAGGCGATTATATAATATAAGCGGAATTTTTACCAAAATTCAGAAATAATTAATCTTCCACAAATATGGAAAATCAAATAGCCCAATGTATAAAATAAGGCTATAAATTTCTATTTCTGTACCGTATATTGTATATTGTATTCTATGCAAACTGAATTTTCACCATGGTTCAAAGTGCGTATATTGTAGCCAGTCTTCTGTAACCTATCTTCAGTTACGCGGTACTCAGTCTTCGGCCATTGTGCATCGAGGATAAAAGGCTGTTGTGGCATAAAAATTCGAAAAATAAGCTTATCACTTCTCTAAAAAGTATATTCTACGAAAAATCTCCACTCCACAAATACATTTCTTTTTTTAATATTAATAATATTATTAATAATATTCTATTTTTTATATATTATTCAATAATATTCTAATATAATATTATTCTAATTATTCTTTATTCTAATAATATTATTATAATATAACATTGTTAATGTTAATAATATCATTCTTTTTTTAATATTAATATTTTTAATATGCCATTCATCTCCGTTTGGTCATCAAATCTGATTCGTGCCACTGGCTATTAGCAAGGTGTGGAATTCGTCCCAGGAAATTAGTCTACAATAGAAGTAAATCCATAACACCATCCGGATTTTATGGTAACAGCCTTACTCCAGTCAGAGACAAGCATTAAAGCTTAGTACTTGAAGTGATATTCTAAACCACGCCGTTATTTTGAAGGACCCACTAGTAACATCCTCGTATTTCGCTTGGCTATATTGCCTCGAAGCCTCATTATGTGTCTAACGTCCCTTCAAATTTTTTAAATGCACATTTCTGCTTTGGTTAAATCCAATTCATCACAGGTGAGGGAAAATTTTTGACTATTATTACTATCCAATTACTATCATTTTTCCGCTTAAACAACAGTTATATCCAGAAAATTTTCTCTGGAGTATATGAATTAAAGAGCAAAAACCCGTATGATTCACGGTTTTTATCAACTTTTTCCATTATGCAAACGTTTTATATCGTTTTTCTGATCCATATCGGCAAATTCCTTGTAATGCTTCACGAGACAGAAGTGTCTTAATCCTCCCTTGCCTTCAGTTTACGTTCCATACATTCCTCTAATTTTATTAATAAGGAGTACTGAGTAATAAAAAGGATCGGAATAAGAAGATAAGGGAATATATAAAATGCCATACCTTAACCTGCACGTTATGATTGGATTTTACGACTATACGTTCCAGTGAACAAATGCCTTCGGAGGTTGGTACTTTACCTTCTACCTTCTACAGTAAGAACACAGTGGATCCTCGAGATTTATTTATGGATCCTCTTTCTATCCTCATTTCAAATTTTATTCCTAATTTTTGTGTAGTTTAAAACGTTTATAAATGAATATGAGACTGAACCAAAAAATCTAATTATTGTGCTGCAATAGGTATTATTTTTGAAATGTACTTATCTTGAAACAAAGTTTTAACGACATCAGTTTTATTTGGAATTTGGTCCATGAGAGAAGCTCGAGATTTTAGTTAAGGTGGTTGGGGTTGCGGGAAGTTATGGAAGGTGAAGTTCAATCGAATATTTAAAAGTTGGAAAGATCTTGTGAAGGAGTTGGTTCGGTTTTTTATTAGCTTTGCTCTGTTTTAATGATCCTTGGAAATTCAACTGAAAGCGAAGAGCGCTTATTTTCATTTCTTTTTGTCGTTTTAATGGCCGTTGCTATAAATTAGAGCTTAAGCGGTCCTTTAACCTGGAATCACTCGGAAATAAGGGGGTATTTGAGCATTTTCAGCTGTATTTCATTTTTATTCGCAGGTTTATGTAATGGGGATCGGACGCTTTGTGAGTTGTGGTTTCACCATCTTTCGTTTACTCTTTCAATATATCACTGTGAAATTACTTATTTAATGAATTCTCGGATGAACCCTCAGATCCATCAAATCCCTACCACATGTTTATTTTATTACGTTCTAAGAAATTTTAAAGATTATAAAGAGTTCAGAATGAACTCATCGTTATTATAGAGAAATATTCAGAGTTTAACATATGTTGCGATACATTTCTGCAAAACTGCCAGTTTTGTCGTTTTAACTAATTTATTATCTTACTGACGTGTTATATTTATTAGATCAGATACTACAAGTTCGATATAATGCACGGCGCAAACCATAATTTGTGCAGACTTCTTTGTAACTTTAGTCTTCACATGTCGAAAAATTTTTCATATCAGCTTGAACTGGCTAATAGTTTTGGAACCGTCTGTCTAAAAAAATCTTGTAAGTATCACTGTTATTCAGTTAAATTTTTGATCATAAATTGATTTTGAATTATTTTTATATTTTTGCAAAATTTCATCATTCTTCTATAATTTTCTTTTATTAACTTTTCATTTTTCTATTAATTTTATTTTATTTATTTAATTCAGTAAATTTACAGGTTTTTTGTTTTTTGTTGGTTTGCAGTTTTTTTTAGGTAGTTTGACATCAAAAAATCCGTTCCGTCCAATTCATACGAGCAGTATTTTTTTCGCAAAAAGAGATTATTATGAAATATTAGGCCTCAAAAATGATGCCACTACTAATGATATCAAGAAAGCCTATTATGAAGTTGGTATTTTTCTATATGGTTTTTAAAGATTCCTTTTTTTGACTCCCATAAGATTTCCATATTTTTTTGTTTTTACCAATGCTAGTTTTGAGTTTGAACAAGTTTTAAGTACGGATAAGTTTGCTTTATAAATATTTTTCATTTTCGTTTTTAATTTAATTTTTTTATTTATTTTTAGTTGGCAAAAAAATATCACCCAGATGTAAACAAAGATCCTGGTGCAAGTGCTCGTTTTCAAGAAGTTTCTGAAGCCTATGAGGTTATATTATTTTTTAACTTCAGTGATTATTCTTATTTTCGCTTGATGAATTACTTCAGATTATCTTTTATGATTAAATAACTGGTTTTTCTTCAAGATATTAAGTGATGAAACAAAACGCGCCCAGTATGATCATTATGGATCTAGTTCATTTTTCAATCAGGGAGCTGGTAATAAAACGGCGAATGGATGGCATTACCAGTCTGCTACTGATCCAGAAGAGCTGTTCAGGAAAATATTTGGTAAGATTTAAGAAAACATTAAATAAAAATAAATATAAAAAATATATCAATAAAAATTAATAAATAAACAGTTTATTGAATGAGCAAATGTTGTTTTATTCTCTGTTAATAAGTTTTTTATTGATTGTATTAAATGGTTTCATGTATGATTGGTTATAAATTGGTATGGATATGATTATATGATTTTTATTTAACATTTATTAATTCCTGTAGGTGATCGGAATCCTTTTGCTGATTTTGCCAGTAGCTTTGGAAAAGAATTTGCTGAAACTGACTATGGTTTTGAAGCTTCGCAACAGCATGTAATGAATCTCACATTTGAAGAAGCAGCACGAGGGGTTACCAAAACAATATCAGCAAATGTTGTTGAAGATTGTATGATGTGCCATGGTTCTGGAGTCCAGCCTGGTTATAAAAAGGTTTTATTTTTTCTGAGAAGGAAATGGTAAATTTTTGGTTTAAGTATTAAGTATTTCCATCCAACATTCCATCATTATTGCTTTTTTTTAGGTTTCATGCCCATATTGTAATGGTACCGGTTTCGTGACACAGCGTATGGGTGGTTTTTATATGCAAACCACATGCAGTCGTTGTCGAGGATCCGGCTCTTTTAATAAAAATCCATGCCTTACTTGTGAGGGTCATGGGCGTTCTGTTCAGCGGCGGTCCATGCAGTTCACAGTTCCAGCGGGTGTCAGTGACGGCGAAACTGTCCGCGCAAATCTGGGAAATGTTAGTAAATGTTTCGTTTTAAAAGTTTCTTGAAAATTTTAATCAATTGGCGAAAATATTAAGACACATTATTTATTGTATTAAAAGATATTATTTATTATTTATTGATAGATTTGCTTTCTATAAAATATCCCCTTTATATAGTAAAGCGAATTTCCTATTTTACTTGAAGAGGTAATTAAAAAAGTAATTTATTTGGATATAGAATTATTTCAAATTTTTTGTAGAATACGATCTATATCACTTTTAAAGTTGCATCTTCAAAGCGATTCAAACGAGATAAATTTGATATTCATTGTGACGTTGAAATTTCTTTAGCGCAGGCTGTATTGGGTGGTACAGTTCAAGTAAGATTAATACGTTTTTTCACGGAAAAAGAACAAAAACATCGTTTTAAAAACTTTATACATTTTGGGTAAATATTTCTGTTTTTCAGGTACCTGGAATAGAGGAAGATACCTACATACAAATTCCACCTGGTACTAGTTCGCATACAAAACTTCGACTCACAGGTAAAGGTATAAAACGGCTGAACCAAACTGGTCGAGGTGATCAATACATCAATATTAAAATAATAGTGCCCAAGTAACTATTTTAACATTTTCAGATATTTTCAGATTTTAATTTAATTTTGCTCTTTCATTTTTATTTCACTTTGTTATTTGCCTTGTCATGTCGTTTTTTTTAAAATATTGATATTGTTATATGTTCAATATTAGACTTTTTCAGTGATTTACTGAAAATCGTTCCGTTGAATATCATGCAAAAAACTTCTGCAAGTTTCTTTCCGCGGCTTATTTTGTAATCTTAAAGGACAATCGTTTTTAGGAATTTAAATGATAAGCAAAAAGCATTAATGCAAGCGTGGGCTGAATTCGAAGACACTCCAGGAACTGTGAATGGAATCAAATATTCAGTTGAAGGTCAAAATTTAATTATTTTTACAATATTTAATATTTTATTATTTTAATACGTTAAAATTATATTACTCTTCTCCTCTATTCTCCTCTTCCAAATTTTTTAGGAGCCGAATTTGCGAAATCGCCCAAGCGGGCTGAATTTGTCAGTGATGAAAAGTTTATGAAAGAGAGAGATCGTAATAGAGGAGAAGAAGAAAAAGAAGGATTGTTTAATCGTATTAAAAAAGCAATTTTCGGTTGATTCTTTTGGTCTTTAAAGTAAATGGCATTAATTATTATGTGATTAAACTTGTAATAATTTCGAGAAAAAAAATCTGAGTGGAATTTAAAATGAAATGAATGCACCCGCCATTTCTGGTCAGACTGGCTGTGAATATGATTAGAAATTTTTGCCAGGTTTCTTTTGGTGGTTAAAATATCACTGAGTTTTCACCATCGGCTGGTTTCTTTAATGACAGATTTCTTCCTCGCCTCTGATGGTCTGTACTGATTGATGCAATTATACCACTTGATTATTCCTTCTCTTCTGTTAAGAATATTCAAGCGTGAATCGCTAACCAAATATGAAAGAAATATATGAAATAACACAAATAAGATAAATAACATAATGATTATTTAATAGATCTTCAGGTTTAAAATTTACTGTTGATCGTTCAGAAGTGTTTTCCAAGATTAAAGATGTTCTGTACGAGATAGATTATCCAAGAAGCAAAATAATTCGAAATCGTGGATTATTTAACAGTGGGACAAATGGCAAAAATCATGACGATGGAAAAGAATGTAAAGGCCATTCATCATCCTAACGGTCATAAGTCACTAGGATATTTTAAAATATAAATATAATGTAAAAAAAATATGAGAAGGCTTTTTTTCCTTTTTATTTCACAAAACAATGATGGATAATATTTAAATGATTGGGTCATTTATGATCATTTTCTCTCGACTTCCAGGTTCTACTTTTTTTCAGCGTTTTTAATTTTATTTAAATTTATGTAAATATTTCGGAAATTTACTTTATCTGCGTTCTCTGTTTTCTGTTATGTTTTTAGGATCATTGCCCATATTTTTTGAAACTGTGGTCATCGATCGACGATAATTAGTTAATCGTTCAGAAAATTGCCTTTATTCGTTGCTGAACGATATTTTTATTAGTGAATTTATATTTATGAAAAAATTAGATTTTTTTTTGTTGCATTGCTCATATTATTTATTTTGTTACATGTAGAATTCTGTTATAATGAAATAAAATTGCTGATTTCATGATTCGTTTTTATTCCACATTGGTTCCCCATTTCAGATTTTATTTTATCAATGCATGCATATCTTTTAATATTTTCTATCTAACTAGTCATAGCTTTATATTCTGTGGAAAATCTTCCTGTGTTATTGAAGTTGTATTGCTTAAAATATCATTGGAAGCATCATGGCTCTAATCTTGTCTCTGGTGGGATTGATTTATTCTGCTATAATATAATATAAGCGTTAGTTATTCTATTTTTTACTAACTATACCACATGTTGGCTTTTTAGCCGGAATCATCTTACTGATTTTAATTGCAGGAATACAGCATGGTGATCGATCTATTGATGTATGTTTGATTTCATTGGTTTTAATTTATTTTTGGAAAATATATGGTCACTTCGTTGCAACAATGTCGCGAGGTAGTATTTTAACGAATTTTAAATATTTGATGAAAATAGGGTAAAAGAATAAATAGATTTTAATATGTATTTTAGCAGTGGAAAATGGAAAAGCAATTTTGATTGGTAATGAAAATGATATATTACATTGTGGTTACAGTCATGCTTTGAGTGATGGCGGCAAACGGTTATTTTTATTTTTCTCGTGGCTCATTCTCTAGTCTCCAATTTTTATACTACATTTATTCTCAAAATGAACTGCAAGGATCTAAAAATCTCAGCATATTTTTCAAAAAATGAATGCTCTCAATCATCGGAGTTAGCCAAATCTGATATTTATTGTGATTTAGGAATTTTATAGTTTTATGCTGACTAAAAATTTATGATATTCACATTTTCAAATTTTTATTTATAATAAATATACTGAAATATATTTTTGAGAAATATTTGAAGCAGTTTCTCTATGTTTTTGCTATTCAAAGTGAAATTTAAAAAATAAATTTCATAGATATCCTTCTGCCGATCATTATGCTCACTCAATGATTCTCACCCAGTTGGGGTTGGATGAAGCCCTTATTCTTGAGCTTCTATGTACTTCAAGTGCTGATGTGCCGATAAAGGTAAATTACAGTTTTACTGCTTGTAGTCTATATTTCAGCAAGTTTAATTTTTTTTTTCGTTTTTTTTCTTCATTATAATTTTGATTATGTTCCGAAATTTTGTTTGGAAAATGTCAAGCAAATTAATTTTCTTTGTAATATTATGCTTTAATTACTATTTTTTTAATATACTTTTTAGGCTCGTCAGCTTTTGGAAGAAAATATGCCAAGTGGACATGATATGAATTCATTATCGAGTTATTTGCAAACAAGTCGTCAGTCATATACGATGCAGGGATTGCGTTTACGTGTAGAACAAGATGCCGGTTGATTTTTTAAAAATATTTATAAGAATATGACTAATCTCTTTTTTAACGAAATTTTTATTGAAATAGATTTCAGCATTTGAACGAGCATTGCTTGATACAAAAGATGCTCTGTTGATTGTGTGCGATGCAAGAGATAGTGAACTTGGTATTGGAATGGATGAAGATGCCTTTGTTGATTGGATGGCCAAAGAAAAAGTCGATGTAGAATTGCTTGGCCACTGGATGCGAAATGAGCGCGGGCGACCGTCAAATTTAGGTCATAATCAATTAGGATATTTTTTAATGTGGCTCAGGTAATAAATATGCTCATATAATTTTTCAATAATTTTTCACTTAAAAGTGTAATTTTAAGCTGTGAATTAAAATTAAACTAGACATATAAATCGATTTGAATTAGGTACGAAGTGACAGAGAAAAAACGAGCTTTGTTATTAAGTACACAGCCTATTGAAGTTGCTGGTATTTCAACTGATCAAAATGGTGAAACAGTTCGCATAACTATTTCTGATCTCGTAATTTCGCTTCAGGTATAGATGATTAACTGTATTTTTTATACGATTTTTTTGTTGTATGTTATTGTTATTTTGTTATTATTGGTGCCTAATTTGGACTTCAGGGAATTTTTCGCCCATTGAGTAATTATTTTGCGCTTCCTTTTGAAATGAAAGGTGAACGTTACCGATCGGTAGAACATTACGCTTATCAACGATTGTTCGAAGCCCTTCGTTTGGATGACAAATTGATTGGTGTGACAATTTGCATTTATTATTTAATATAATTTTTTGACTATATTTCAACGATTCATTTTCTGGAAATGGCTGGTTTTTTGTTTTTTTATAATTTTTCGAAGTTTTATTTTTGCAAAAAATGATGATAATGCATGATCATTTACAGAAAAAATACGCACCACAGTGGATCCTTTGGATATCACTAAAGTAGCTAAACGAGTATTTAAAGAGCAACAGGTATTTTTTTAGATGTAGTTCATATTTAGTGGTTTTTAAAATCAGAATCTCTTGCAAAATACATATATTCATCAAACACTCAATTTTTTAACCACTGAATTTAGCTGACACCTAATGCCATTGAATCAAAGTTAGCTCGTTTGGATCGCTGGCGTCAATCAGCTATGAAACATAAGGTAGTTTCTAAAACGAATTGTATTTATTTTTGCTTTTATTTTTTTAAGGCATTTTTTTAACGTAGATGATTATGATTGAAGATGACAAAAAATGAAGGACTCCAGCAGTTGTTGCTTGCCACTGGGTATGCAATTCTTATTGATTGTACAGAAGGAGGTGATTCGTCATGGATTTCATCAATGGATGAACTTGAAATACAACATTTGTTGACAAAACAATATATTACTCCTTCGCTTATCATCGACTGGATGGCCGAACGATCCAAGCCGTCAACAACATTGTCACATATCAAAGTATTCAATTATAAATTATTATTCAATTATAAATTATGTTAATAAATCACTAGAATGAATTTTTGTCCAATTTAATTTAATTTATTTGTGAAGAAGTTTTGAAAAAAATTTATAAAATTTTTCATAAAATTTTACTTATGAAATTTTTTCAAGTTTTTTTCTGAAATATCTATTTTTATTATCTTTTATCTTCCAATTTTTTTAATTATAGGGTAACAAGACTGGTCTTTTGCTGATGGAATTGCGTTCAAAGTTTGCTGCATCGCTAAATTCTCAAAACCGTATCCCTCTTGTTTCACCATTGGCTACCGCTCATGAATTGAGAACTTTATTATCATCACATGTCATTTGCTTTACGGTGGAAAGTGTTTTTCACTTTTTATATCCAGCTGAAATACGAATTCCAAACACTAACGAATTTTTTCCATCACCATCACATTATATTGCTAATGCTGCTATCAAGTCAGCTAATATTCAATTGGTTTTTTGCAACTTTTCCAAACTATTTTAATTTAGCTTCAAAAATTTTAGCATTTCATAATCATTATTTTTTTACATAATAATTTTACATTTTACATAATAATAAGGACTTTTATATAATGACTTTTTTATTGTTTATTAATTTGAATTGTGTTTTAAAAGTTATTTTTGGAGATGATGAAAAAAGTTTTTTAAGATACTTCAATTTTTGCAAAAATGATGCTGAATGGATTATGGAGACTCGAAAAAGCATTGAATGTTGGTATCGTGTAAATTTCATGATTGAAGTGAGCAGTGCATCTTTCGATAAAATTCAAGTGTGTTTTTTTAATTTAAATTATATAGATGTCGTTCAAATAATGATATAAGTGATTAAGGTTTTACTTGGTTCGTGATATTTTTATCCGTATTAACTTTGCTAAATTTTGAAAATTTTTGAAGGGTTGGTATATGGACGAACGACAGAGAGCGATTAAAGCAGCATTGGCATTAATGTTTGAACAACATGCGCCGCTTTTGAGAGCGCTACTCGATACTGGTGACGCTTTACTTGTGTATTGTGCGCGATTTTCCTCTCTTGAATGTGAATTAACAATTGGAATGCGTGAAAGAGATTTAAGAGCTTGGTTATTTCATGTTGACATCGACACGAAACAAGTATTAGGAAATTTTTTCAATAATTAAGAAAAATTAAATTTTTTTACTGCTTTTTCACAATTTTTTTACTGCTTTTATATAAATTATTAATTTTACTCAGAAATATTTCTATTTCTTTTTAGCTATTTGATTCGATTTTACGGCCATTAGCGTTCCGACCTCCTTATCTTGGCGGAAATCGGCTTGGTTGTATTCTTATGGAACTCCGAAGAGGATTTATTTTAAGAGGCATATTTCCTCACCAGTTACCAGAATTGCAAATAGGCGTCGATGTTGTTAGTCAATTTTGATTTCTCTATTAAGAAATAAGAAATAAAATGCATTAACGCCAAGGGCTTATTTGATTTACAGAATATCAATTTTTTTATCGCTAGAATCATAATTGAATTGCAACTATAGTCATGTGGTTTCATGGTTTTTTTGTTAAGTCTTTGTAGTTAAATGCAAAAAAATATTATACGTACATACTAGAACACTAAAATATTAAGAATTTATTAGAAATAGAAGGAATTTTCAAGCAGTAAAGTAATAAATTTTATAAAAATAAATTTTCATTCTTATAAAATTGAATTTTTAATCAAATAAACGGATTCGGAGGCTTTAGAGATTCTAAAGAAATTGAAAATCTCTGCAATTTTAAAATTGCTTCTTTTAAACCGGGTTTTTTTTAAAAAAGGTAATAAATTTCATTTTGCAAAAACATTTTAACTACGACGAAATATTTTAATTACGATAAAATATTTCATTTTATTTAATTATTTATTTCATAGTTTTGCAAACTTTTATCTTTAATTTTTAATATTTATTTAATAGTTTATTTAATAGTTTTATTGTTATTCGATTATTAAAGGTAAGAATGGGACTAATTTCCTATTCTATTTCTTATCTTCTAGACTCTTGCGTCTGATTCGCCAACTGAAAATTATTTCACCGCAATTCCATTTGATGTTCTTGATGTCAACAATTTTACCGCACTTTGGGCCAGTATGTTATTTATTCATTTTTTCTTGCTTATTTCTTGTTGTGATTGCTTTGACCATTTTTGGTCCAACTAAGATGAACTTTCTCAAGGAAGTTAGGAGGATCTTAGAGATCAAAATTAATGGTAGTCCCGACCTCCTTATTTTTAATTACGAGGTTTACTTCCATAAGAATCGAATGATGCTTGAATTCATGGTCAATATATTGCCCACTGTGCTTCCATAAATATTTCTTCACTTTTTTTGGTTCCCATAGAATTTTTCTTATGAAATTTTGAAAATTTTTCAGTCTTTTTTCCACTGCCTACTTATTGTAATTAAACCTGATTCAGATCCATTTCTTTTATTGGCTAAACAAAAAAAAGATGCTGAATTGTTGGCCCAAGCGCATTCTCAGAAAACTGCTCCAAAACTCGTTTCTGTTAACGACCAAAAATTAAATATGTTGATTTCAGGTTGACTTTATATATATGGTTGATTATTTGATTGAAGAAAAAAAACTTTTTCACTAAGTTTTTCCACTAAGTTCTGTTTAGAAATTGATGCTACGGACAAAATAAAAGAGAAAGACATGGAATTTTATGCAATTGAAGATTTACGAGCCATCTTTCTTCGATTGGCTGTTCGCATGCAAAATCGACTTAATGAAACTGATGCTCAGCAAAATGAAATGAATTTATTGGCAAAAGAAATTACACAAATGCAAAATATCAAAAGGTAGACGTATAAAATGATTTCTAAGAGATAGTGGTTAAAAAATAGATTTAAAAAAATTAAAGGAAAAAAATTTTAGTGAATCTCAGTTACTTTTAAAATATTATTTGTAGATCGTTAGAGGAAAGAAAATTACAAATGGATGGTCGGTCACAGGAACGTCGTGATAAACGTGAACCACTCCCACCTCACCGTCCTTCATCCCCATCTCAAACATCGCATTTATCTTCTACTCAGTCTTCACTTTCAGTACCTCCGGTTCCGTTGTTGATACCGTATTCGATATCACGTAAATGGGAAGACCGGCGAAGATTTGGAAGACGGTATTCACCAGAAGAAAAAATTCTGAGGAGACGCAGTCCTCTACATCTAAAAACATTTCCAGTATCACCACCAAAAAATTCGCCGTCTCCTCCAAAGCAAACGCCTCAAAAAGGAACTGTTGATGAAAGTGAATTGTCTGAAGGTGAAATCGTCAGCGATTAGCCCATTTTACCAGTTTCTGCTTTAATTGATTCAAATAGTATAGGAATTTCTATAGAAAGTCGTCTCTGCTTATCTTTGGTAATCTTTTTTTTATCTCTTATAAAGATCTCGAATGGCATTCGTTTCTTCGTTCATTCTCCTCCTTTACTAATTGTTTGATCTTGAAGAATCATTTTCAGGTTAAAATTCTTGGTCATTTTTGGATTTTTTTAAAAAATTTTTTACCGAATTGGACATTCCTAATTTTTTATCATAGCTCTCGGTCAGCTACTCGATTATGTTGGGTCATTTGTGATCTTTAAGCAAATATAGGATGGATATGGAAAACTTTGATAAGTTATTGATATAAAAAGTGGCTTAGATTGTCGTATTGAGAAGCATGACTCTTGTCCTCTGGCACGAATAAACCTACCATTGAAAAATCTGAGTGGAGCTGAAGATCTGTCCTTCATCAAATCAAAAATTCCTAATCTTGCCAGTGGGATAAGCCTAATCGATAATGTTATATACTTCACTTACTTGCTAATTTGCTGCAGCGAAATTTCATTTAATGAATTTTTTTATCATAAATAAATTTCGTGAGTTTTTCAAAGTTTCTGGAAAATTCAGCATTTGAATGTACATTTCTCTTTCTAACAACATTTCTATTAATCATTCACGATTTACTAGGTCTATTGAATGTCATGAAATTCTCTAATCGGAAAATTATAAAATTATAGAAATAAAATTATAGTCTGCCAGTTCTTACTACTGAATTTCACTTTCAGAGATAGGTTTATTTTGGTCAAGTAATAGGCCCATCCGGCCCATTATAGATCTGTCGGAACGACATACCACGTGTTTATATATATTTATTTGTTTCACATGACTATTCGAATTTCGGTTATGCTATATATTCATCAATCTTTTTTAGCTAAAAAAACAGATGAAAGATAATGTTTGAGCGAATTCCACCAAAAGATCCAGAACACATCAGAATTTGTTACCAAAAATTTTTTTTCTCATTTGATCCGAAGAAAATACCTTGAAAATTCACCACAATTTTTGATTTGTTACCTTTGAAAAGCAATTTTATACAATGTTAAAAGCAATGTTATTTAAACATAAAAACTGTAGAATTAGAACGCAATATAAGTTAAAATATACAAAAAGCCGAAAATGTTAAAAATAGAAAATTAAAATTTCAAAGAAATTTGTTCAGAAATATTTGGATTATACTTCAAAATTATCCGTGGTGAAGCACCTTCATTTCCTCGAGGTTTGGCAACTTGGGGCAATTTAAAGTGAACTGCATTCTTTGTTTTTTAGTCTTCATTTCATTAAGGTGCGAAAGTACTCCACATCGGTACTTAAGAACAGAAGACATAACGTTTTGGGAATAATTAGGATTAAATGTTGGATAGTGAATTTCCAGCTGGACCTTTGAAGAGGAACAAAAATTTCCAGTGATTCATGTGTCCCAACTCATTCTTTCAGCCAACTGAGAGAAGATTACGCAGCACTTTTGCCATGATTGTAATGAATATTTGATAATCAGTAAATGAACATTTTTCTCGGGAAAAATGTAGACATTTTTTGGAGTAAAGATTTTCAACCTCCGGTTGGGAATTCTGCAATTGTGGTGAGAAGAATGAGCAGCTGCGTCTGGTGGTAAAATTCTGGATTTATTTTCGGCTCGTCTATTTCCACGGAAAAAAGCTGATTTCAAAATTTAGTTTGAATCGCACGAAAGACTTCGATTTCACCTGTTATTACCTGCGTTGGTCAAGAAATTTTGTTAACTTCTGAGATACTTTTTAAAGCTTCAAAGATGACTCGACTGCTTAAAAAAATCACATTCATTGGCCTCTAAGTTAAAAAATGACGCGAATCAAAGTAAGAAATGAAATAATTAATATAATATAATAATAATTAATATATCGAAAATAATATGGAAATTCATTAAACTTTTTGATAAAATTTATCACAAACGAGGAAAAATTTCCCATCAAAAAATATATTTTTCTCATCCATACACTAAATTTTGCATTAAATATAAACGTAGCATCTTTTGAAAATACACCAAACGTAGTCCCTTCCCCAATTTCAGCCCATAATTGCACCTGGTTCACGCCAAATCCGTTAACACTACGCGAACAATCCCCCCCTAAACGGCAGTTCTGAAGCTGGGAATTAGTTATAAATACTAAATGCTATAAATCGGATCGGCTTTGTATTATTTGAAATCGCAATTAAAATTATCTCATGGTTTCACTCCGTTTCAGTTTTCTTCAGCTTCGTGGTTTACGATTGTTTGTCGTTGTTCGTTAATAAGTCGTTAATTAATTTATTAATCAAGCAGTAATTAAGCAATGAATTCCAGTAGTTTTAAGTAAATTTTTCCGATTTTAGAGCAGAAAAATTTCTTTAAATTTGGCGTAAAGAAGCGAAAAAAAATTGAAGTAAATCAGTGGGAATTGCGGTCGATTGCTTTGCTTTTCTTATTAATTATTATTTTGCTTTTTCTTATTGTATTTCTGAGCTTCGCTCGCTCGAACTCTTCCATATTTTCTTAAAATCTGATTTCGTCTTCTCCTTTCCCGTTCCGTTATGATTTTTTAATTCAGCGCAGAACCCATTGTCTTTTCTTAATTTTCCTCTTTAGGCCTCGTCGAGACTTTCCTATTTATTATATTTTTTATCTGATACTGCATCGCTTTATCGATATGACGCTGATTGTATGGATTGCTAGAATACGGCTCCTTCCTCGTTTTGCCACTTCTGCTTTTGCCAGCTTCGAATCGGCTTCAACTCATTTCTCTGCCGGTCGATTTGCATGTTATAAAAAATTTGGTTCATTGCAATATATCAGAAATCTACGTATTGGTGTTTAAATACCGAAATTTGCTTATTCACTTTTAATTTCCTGATTTTGACCTTTATTACTGCTCTTTTCTAATAGAACTGGCATTTCTTTTTTTTTGCTTATAAAAGTTATTTGGCATTTGTTCACAGAAAATGGAATGGAAGTTGAAAATCAAAAAGTTTTTTCATTTGTTGGCGAAAAATTTTTGCATAGCAAATATTATTTTTTTTCATCCATTTGTCCTGCTTTTACATTTTGTTTGAAAAAAATAGCCAAATTTTGAAATAATTTCTTTTGTTTGAAATTACCTTTCTTTTCATCTTTCTTTGCTGATCCAGAAAGAATTATTTCTTTTGCTTTTAATTAAGTTAATTTATTAAAGCCGTCGGTGAGGAAACTGGAATGCCCCTTGATTTTTAAAGTTTTTATAAATTTTACTTTGCTGAACAGAATTTTCTGCTGAACAGAATTTTTGTCATTTGCCATTTAAATATCGGTTTTTGTCGATTAGGGAACTTTTTGGAAAACTTCATCTTCGATTGATTATTCTTTTTTATTTTAATTGATTGTTAATAAGTTGAAGTTTCTTGTCATAATTTGTCTTTAGTAAATAATTATTTACTAAAATTTATTAAATAATTATTTATTTACTTTAAATTTTTTTCAACTTATTTTCCAGTTGAAATCTGCATTTTTTCGAATTTTACTATAGACAAATCATTATGTCGGCTGGTTCATCCAAAATTCTCGCTAAGCGGGTACCACAGCGTGTTGTCGATGTTGCGGAAGAAGTGCAAGATTGGGAAAACTATATTATTGTTAGATTTCCCGATGATGTGGCGCAGAAAGTCGGTTTGTTTTGTTTGATTTTATTTCTGTTTACATTTTTATCTCCATTATGACAAATCATGTTTCTAAAATTTTTTATTTGCAATGATGCAATGATATCACATTGAAAGGTAAAGACTGTCGAAAAATATTGAAAAATATTAAAAAATATTGTTTCAGATTATTTTTACGAATTTAAAGTATTAAAACTTCATTTTAAAAAAGATTTTAGCTAAAATGGTTGATGAAGGTGGGTGTGAAGAGTTAGCAATAAAGTTTGATACAGAAATGCGAAATGCAACTGTAAGATTCGGAGAACAACTAATGCCAACAAAAATTTATGATTTACCTTGTATCATTGAAGTAGGTTTATTTTCTTTAATTTGGTGATTATTGGAAATGAAATCCAAGTGAAGAATAAAAAAAAAGTGAAGAATAAAAATGAAGAATGATCGTTGATGCAGAGAAGAAAATTTGAAAATAATTAAATAATAAATAAATGGCAAATTAGCCAGCGATTTGCTTTCACTAAAGCTAATCAGAAAATTGTGAAATTTATTTTGGTATTAAATGAAACTTAGAATGGCGTTTAAAAACCACAGATTAGACAACTTTTATAATTAATTGCTATGTCTCTGGCATTTTATTCTTTGAATTCAAATCACTAAATTGTGATATAAATACCTAAATAAATACAATTCAAAGACTGGAAAGGAGCTTCTTTATGCTTCATCTTTCCTCAAATCATCTTCAGTTTTCATTACCGCCATCTATTTTTGCTTTTTCCTAGATTGTAAGAATCGTTGCTTTCATATAAAATAATTTATTTTATAATTCATATTCTAAATTTCTCTAAAAGAAATCATTCAGAAAAACATTCTACAGTGTAATTAAACTGCAGAAATAGAAGAATTTTTTCTTCCTCATAGTGGTCATTAATCCTCATCCATGGTTTGGTTAAATCAATACTCTACGACCGTAAGTACCTTCCAGTCTGACTCCTGGCTGTATTCATCAGCTTTGTTTATGCTTTGTTTTGGCTAATTTAAATAATCTATTAGATGAATTCATTTTTTTGATTTAATGGACTATCTTTTTAGATTATGGAATTTGGTTGGAATTTGTTTAATTTTTTTTTAAATTTTCACTGCAAGTTGTTCTTTAAAGATTGGAAGTTGCTTAGATCTTATTTTTTTATATTTCAGGTAATGAAAACTATTGATAAGAAAAATATTTACAAAGTCGCTGATGCACCTCAGATCATGATTTGTTCACATGACTTGCAATCTGTTACAACGAATTCGCATTCTGATGAAACTGCCAATTTAAAAAGAGATAAAATATATCAGTGGCCTCATGGACGTAAATCTTTGTTTTCCATATCCCGTTTTTTTGAAAAAAATGATTTGAGAATTTTCTGTTTTTTATTTTCATGGGAACAAATCAAAGCTAAAGTCCATTTATTATGTGCAGGTTGCTCAGCTGTTTGTTTTCATTTGCAGTGCGGAAGTAATAATGTACAATTTAGTGACGCCACCGATGAAAAATGTTCGTCGACGTCGTTTTCGAAAAACAAAAAAAAAGAAATATATGGATGCACCTGAGGTGGAACGTGAATTAAAACGTTTGTTAAGAGCCGATTTAGAAGCACATTCAGTTCGCTATGAGGTTCCTTTTTTCATTAATTTATAAATTTTTACAAATTGAAATCTTATTGTTAATTAAAAGAAATTTGTTTAAAAATTTGTTTTTACTTCATAGATATTTTTTCTAAGCAAAATTTTTTTACTATGAAAAAAGAGAAAATAATTAGGTTCAGTAATCATTAGATTAAATTTCAATATTCAAATTTTAAAATTTATGTTAATATTTATATGGATTATTTATTTATTTATATGGATTATTAAACAAATCACCAACAACAACAAAAGGACTAATAGTTATATGCTTGCATTAGGTTATTAATTTTATGACTAAAAATGAAAAATTAGAAATGCTAACGGATAAAGGAATTAGTTCGATTTTCTCAGTTATTTGTTGTTTGTGTCCTTCATTTCTTTTTATCATTATTTTTTAAAATGCTCATTTAGATAATATCTACTGAAGAAGAAAGGAAGAAAGGAAATGAACCGAGTATTGAAAGTATTGTTTTTGGTGAAATGAGTAATTCAGAGGATGAATTAGCAAATTTGCCGCAGGCAAGTGACTCTCCAAGAACATCGCAACCTGTTTCTCAATAACAACACAAATCGACATTTTAAAATAAGTTTTTGAAAATATTGAAAAATTTTTTTACCCTATTTCGATGAACATTCGTAGTAATGTTCCCAGAAGGATAGCAATACGTGTTATAAAGTTTTCTTATCCAAATTTTTGAAATTTTTTGGTTTATATGAAGCAGAAAAAATGCATTAAACCAATCTTCTTTGAATATTTACCACATCTGGTGTGGTTGCTTATGTTGCTTCAGGTTAGGAAAAAAGATGAACTCACAAAATTAATAGAAAATGTGATGCAGTTGCCTCACGTTTGGTGAGAAAAATTCACTCAAATTTTCGTTCAAATGCTTTAAAATGGATATTGTCGTGTAGTTCATTGCGAAAGCAGTAAATTTCATAAAATTCAAAGGACATCGACAATTCTTGGAGCTCCTCAAAAGTTTTTATAACTTCTTCTTTTAATAGCTCTCACCATTACTGGTAGGGCTGGCTGCATTGGCTGCAAGAATAAGATCTCTCCAAGCTGCTCGGTCCAACGCCATCACTAGCAGTAATAAAAGCTATTCCTTTTTCCATCGTCTAAGTCCATATATCGATGGTTCCCTTATATGTTCAAAATCTTTCCTATATCAGTCCAGGTCTTGATTAGCTCTCCTCGCTTTTGGCACCAACCACCATAAGCTTAGCAAGTAACGAAATATGCGTCAACTCCTGTGGTGGACGACGGAGAACGTGTCCTAACCAGTGAAGGCGACGGTCTGTGATAACATTATTAGTAATTTGTGTTTGAACGAAAATTGATTACAATCACGTGTGCTATTTTATCCGCTTGACGGACCTGTAAAATGTACCTTAGGCATGAGTGGGCAAAGGCTGATAGCTTTCTTCTACTATCATTGGCTAACTTTCGCAGCCGTATAGCGAATTGCAGCTATATGGACGCGGATTTTCGTCTTTATGCTGATTTCGCAACGGTTTGCTAAAGGTTTCTTCAACCGGAAAAACATTTTTAGCTGTCGTTATCTGGGTTACAATTTCATCCTTTGCCTGGCCATTTGAGATTAGAGTGGCACGATATTTCCTGTGACTGTGAAATGAAAATATCATTTATTGAAATAAGATGGCTAAGTAAAAGTAAAAATGCTTAAAAACTGTGGTATCAAGTTATTTATTTATGGGATGTGAAAACCAGGTGCTAGAACTTGTAAGGATGTGAAAACCAGGTGCTAGAACTTGTAAAGGAAAAGTGGCTCGCATTAAGCATTTTTCGTAAACATGATTTTTAAAGGAGTTATATATATTATATGTCTGGTGAAAGCCAAGACTGTATTTCAAAACAGCAGTATTTAAAAATATCTTAAATCGTCTTAAATACGAAGCCCAATTTATGAGAAGCATAGTTTTATGGCATATATATGCATTTTGATATGTTGGCTAAACTCAGTCGTGTGAAATTTTTTGTAAACCGCGAACAATGTACAGCCTTGTTTTTTATTTGAATTTGCATTTGAATTCTTGAAATTTTTTGAAAAATTGAATATAATGATTTGAAAGCAAGAAAAATTATTATTGGTATATTTCCAACTCCATTTTCAGTCGACATAATTACATTACTTGCGAATTTTCAAATGGAATGCATAGAGTTGCAATCATATTTTCAGCAAGAGAAAAAATAAGATCATATAATTCTTCTTGGCAGCACGTACATTTGACCATTTTCTGGAGAACTACTTTATAGGATGAAAAGCGTGAAGAACGAAATTAGAACACTAAAATTTCTGGTAAACAGCTTAACTCATTGAGAATTGCGACTACTTCCACTGAACCAGACATTTATGCGTTATTTTCACAAAAACAAAGTCAAATATCCTATTAGTTTCATATTTTATTTTATATGCGGCTTAAGATATATTCTTTACTGAGTGTGGCTTAAGAAGGCCAAAAGGTTGGATATTCTTTCATTTGTTATTATTAGTTAATGAAGCATTTTTTCGTTTGATCTAATCTAATATTTTTCAGTTTTCATTTCGTAAAATAATAAATTTAACTTTTAGTATTTTAGATGTATTATTATTGTATATCGTTATATCGTTACACAATATTTGGTATGAATATGAACATTCATTGAAATTTCATTTAATTTTGATATTTTCATTGTTCATTTATGTTTTCTTAATTATTTTTCTTAATTATTTTCTTTTTCTTAATTATTCTTTTTTCTGAATTTAAATTTTATTATTCATTCATTTTTTATTAACATTGTTAATTATTATTAATTTTATTAAATTTTAATTTAATTTTAATTTAAATTTTTGTATTTTGATTCACATTTACATTTACATTTTGTGTTTTTAGCTGTTTTTATTTGTTTTATTTCATAACTTTCGTATATTGTTTTTGTTCGTGTTCGCATTGAACGAAAATTTGGCAAATTTGAAATAGTTGTAATTGATCATGAAAGCATTGTGCGGTGTAGTTGATTTTAGATTAGGAATGTGAAATTACTAATGTTATTCATAAATTCTTATGACAGGGGAGAGGTAAAGAAGCTAATCATAGAACGATTATAAGTAATAATCAGACGATGAAACAAGGAATATATGACCAAATAAGGTGATTCCTGAGAATCTGAAATAAGAAATAATGTTGAGAACTGATGACTTATAACTAATGTTCATTTGATTAATTGATTCGGATAATCAAGAAATTGATTAAATGGTGAGTTAAAATGAATTAAAGAGCGATTATAAAAAATATTCTAAATTTTTAGGTTTAATTAATATTTTATTTAATATTTACTTAAGTTTATTTGTTTATATTTACTTAAGTGAAAATCTTTGTTTTTTGATGAACAATAGATGTTAATTATGGGAGAAAATTTATTCGATGAAACGTTATGCAAAATTTCAAACACTTTCGAAATTTCAAGATCGATAAAATGTCCAAATCTTTCTTTAAATCTGAGTTTGCAATTTTTTGAGGCGATTTTTCGATGACCTTGGAACGCACGTTCGTTTGCGATTGCAGTCATCCGATTTTATATTTCTGTATTATCGATAAAATTACGCAAATCTGTTTTGATTTGTTTTTATTGCGTTTTTAATCGCATTTTTTGTTTCATCAATTTGCTTTTATAATATTCGCGGAAAGAGATATTCGAATTTTTTGCGGTTTGCGTTATTCTGCGATTTGCGCTTTCGAAGCACTTACGGATTGCGGACGGACTTAAATAAATGGCAATTCAATGGGAAATACAAAATCGAGTTTTCGAGCTTAGTCGCTCATATTTGTTGGCTTTACCTTTTGAAGCGCAGTTCGATTAGTTTGGATGATATTGATTCAGACAAAAAAATGGCAATTTTCGATAAGTCGCCGTTCATGATACCTTCCGTGTTGTTCTGTTATTTCGAAAACGGCTTTCCGAATGGATTTCCGATCGTCATTTTAGAATTGTGTTTTGGCTTAACATAAGGGAAATTCAAGGCTTTAAAAGACCGCTGATGTCTGATTTTTGCGATAGTGACACGCTGGTTGAATCATGTCTCTTGATCAGCTGAGCGTAAGCATCAGTGTGATTGGAGGCGAAATCGCAGTATTGGTGTGTGCCCCTCTCTCGAGAAGGTTCGGCCCTAACAGTCGTTCAAACCAGAAACCAGCAAGAGAAGATCCTCGTGATGATGAGCGTTAATGAACGACGTTGTAAATAGTGAAGATGGTGATGTGTTTATAAAAATATCTGCGAAAAACGAAGCACTGCCTTGTGAGACAAGGAAGCGGGGCAAGTCTAACCAGTAATGGTGAGTGCTCTTTAAAAAAATTAATATTGGTTCGTGTTCTTTTCATATTTATATTTATAAATTTAATTATTTTTATGTTGGGAATCTTAATTTTTTGCGTTCACGAGTTCATATTTTGTTCACAAATTTTATAAATATTATTTTATATTACTGAAAAATTTGGAATCTTTTATTCCATCGAACCGGTTTTTTAAAATTTTATTTTATAACGGGCAATAAGAAATTCTCTTTTTAATCGAAAAATCTTTTTTTTGTAAAAAAAGGTGATAACTGGATTTTATTTCTTAAGTAATAGTGCTTATGGTGCAGAAATTTTTTTACGATTGGGTGTCCAATTTTTTTTTAATCGAAATTTTTTTCTAAAAATTAGAGTTTTTTAAAACCCGTTCTATCTTTATATATATCTCTGGACTAACTTATCAATTTTTAATGAAATTTTTACTATTTTTGGTTAGAATCGCTCCACTTGCTAGAGTGAGAGATTTCCGCGAAGGAGTTATTTGGCGATGGATGTGTGCGAATGTATTCCCAGCTTTCTGATTTCTCAAAAACAGCTTTATTCCGTTTCTCATTCATTGTTCGAGGTAATAATCTGAGCAACAAGCACTCGGCTATCATTTTCTTTCACTTATTATTCAAATTCATATTTGCCAAAAACGATCAGTGTTATCAGTCG